CCCAGTTGGGGGTGTGTGAGAGGCAACCTACTCACGTTTCTCTCTCACCTTGATGTTTCTCTGTTGGGAACTGCCCTGACTGGTTTCAGGGGCTGTAATCCCCCATGGCTAGGGCTGAGTGAAGAGACCTTGGGACCATAAGCCACTGAGACAAAGCTTATCTTTCTGGCAGGGGTGCCACCTCTGTCCCCTTTTACTTCACCCTGCTTGGCCCTGGGTGGATGACTGGTTAGCCAATGAGAGGTAAAATCCCTCAAGGGAGGGATGACCTAAGACAGGCATGGTTTCAAAGGAGCCCTCAGGGAAGGACTTGAGGGCTATAGAGAAAGGGGGGGTGATGGACCCTCATCCCTTGGCTTCAACATAGCCTGAGTCCTCATTATGTCTGCAAGAAGTCTCCTAATCTCTTGACTGCCTGGCTTCCCTTGCCTGACTTAAGCCTGAAACAATACCAGAGGGTGGTGCAGCCCTGGGCAGGAACAAGAGGTTCCCCAGGGTGATCAGGTCTAAGAAAGAATGCATAAAATCTTATGAAAACTGCTTGGCTCAGAATGTCCTCAATTTTCTGATAAGGATACAAGCAAGAAAGGAGTTTGTTTCCCAAAGTTTTACAGCCCTTTAGCTAACTGACACTGACTCAGAATAAGCTCTCATAGTTCTTTGAATGTTACCTATCGTTTGATCCTTACTGCCTGACAATGACTGATGAGGTTTACCTGTATTCCTGTGCTAATTGAACCCAATAAAAGCCCATTGAGGAACAGGCTCCTGGCCCTTCTCCTTTGAGAGATCGACTGACCACCTTTCCTCCCCAAGCAGATCATGTCTTGGTGGACTTATTCTCATCTGTGGTGGACGGTGGGGCAGGGGGGCTTTGCAGGCAGAAGACCCCCCCATTTCTCTTCCTCTCTTCTCCCTCCCTTCCTCTCTTTCTAAAAAAAAAAAAATATATATATATATATATATATATATATATATATATTTATTTTTTTAAAATCTCTACAGGTTTGGATATTTCTTTTTTAATTTAATTTTTTAATTTAAAAAATATTGATTTTTGAGAGAGAGAGAGGAAGGGAGAGTGAAAGAGAGAGAGACATTAATTTGTTTTTCTACCCATTTACGTATTCACTGGTTGATTCTTGTATGTGCCCTTACTGGGGATCAAACCTGCAACCTTGGTATATGGAGATGATGCTCCAACCAAGCTACCTGGCCAGGGCCTGGACAGTTCTTACATCAACAGAACAAACACAGAGAAATCAACCAGTTTAAGCCACAGAAAGTTTCCTTTCAAAGCAAATATCATTTTTTCCCCTTGAATGAAAATGTCTTTCATCATCTCCTCCATTTCCAAAGTCGGTATTCCATGGTGACTGTACGATCCACATGGAGGAGGAGAAGCACAATACACGGCTTATTTGGGGTTTGGGTAGGGTCCAATAATATCTACCAGAATGGAATATGGTTTTACCGAAATCCAAATAGGCTTACTGAATGTTTGGTTTCTTGTTTTGGATCTTGCTGGGGACAATCGCTTATTTTTAACTACCTGAGTGTAATTCTTAGGCACCAACTACTTTAACAGTTTGGGGCTGTGAATAGGTGAGGTACTTGTTTTACAAGTTTAATTAGTGTCTGTATCCTGGTAAGGGAACCTCATTACTTTAAGGGCTCCAGGACTCCAGCTCCTGTTAATCTTAGCAAGGATGGTTGGTCTTCCCAGGGAGGAGGGCAGAATACCCAGGGCCTGGGAATTTCTGGCCAATTCAGCAACGATTTGCCATCAAAGTCAGCTTTCCCTTCCCACTCAGGCTGAGCTTTGGGTTTACCACCCATCTTAGACTTTCCTTGTTTCTCTGGTACAAGAAGCTGTTTGCCAGCAGTTGCCAGTGTGAGCCCCTCCCCCTAAAAAAAACTACTGGCTTTTTCTCCTGGGTCAGTGTCAGTACTCCTGAAACCTTCTTGACTAACTTTAATACTAGTTGCTTTTCCTTTCATTAATACTGTACATTTAACATCTACCTCTCCCCAAATCCCCACCCTTCTCTCACCCCTACCCCACCCCTCCATCCTCCACTTCTAGTTATTGTATGAGTGAATGATGCCTGAGGAGGTCTGGCCAAGGAGGGGTCTAAAATCCAACCTACTTGCCTACTTGCCAAGCTGGATGGTTAGGGTGATTTTTTCTCATGTGCCATTTGACTTAGCAGGAGCCAACCACTTTCCCTCCCCCTCCCTTCTCTTCTGGTCTCCTTCCAGTTCATTACCAAGTCTCTCTGTATTTTCTCCCCTATCGTTGAATCTATCCACTTCCCTCCATCTCCAGTGTCCAGTGTAAGCCACCCTCATTTTTCACTTGGACAACTTAAATTGCTTTCCAACTGTCTGGCTGCTTCCGTGGTCACATGTCCTTCCAATCATTTCTCACCCATTTGCCTGGGTAACTGATATATTTTTTAAACGATATTACTAATTTTTTAGAGGGGCAGAGGGAGAAAGAGAGGGAGAGAAGCATGGCCATGAGAGAGAAATATCGACTGGTTGGTTGCCTCTTGTACAGGGACCAAACCTGCAACCCAGGCTTGTGCCCTGATGGGGAAGCCAGCAGCAACCTCTCACTTCGAGGGAGCGTGCCAACCCAACGCTGCATTAGTCAGGGCGTAAGTGGTCTTTTCTGAAGGGAAATTGAATACATCTGCTCCTTACTTAAAACCTTTGATGACTTCCTGTTGTTCTTACCATAAAGATCGAAACTTAACACCACCTCCTGTGTGATCTTGTTCCTAACTCTCAGCCACTCTGCTCCTGCTTAAGTTACCCTGGACTTCTTTTTTACCTTGTCTTAAGCTTTATCTTGGCCCAACAGCTCCTACTGCCTCAGGTTTCATTTAATATCTTTTGCGGGGAGGACTTTTTTACCTTCAGATGACATTTCCTCCCACCCCCACTGTGCTTTCTCAGTGCCCTGACCATTTCCTTTGTAGAGCTTATCTGTTATTGAAACGAACACATTGTATGCATATGTGTAAAAATCTGTAGCTATGTTAATGTCTCTTTAAATGATGCAGACTTTCTCTTGGACTCTAGTTCCTATTGTGGAGTGGGCTAACTTGCCAATTAAAGTTATCTGGTCTTAAACAGTCTCATCTGGAGTAAATTCCATCAGTTCAAAGTTGCAGCCCTGTCAGAACTTTCCCTTACCCAACTTGACTTCCACAGATGGCCTTTGGGATCAAAGGGAAACTTCAGGAAGTGGCAGAAGCTGGGAACTGTAGCCAGGGTCCTCACTGGCCTCTGCACCCTCAGCACTCCTGGTCACCATGGCTCTGCTGGCATCAGCTGCTGTGCTTGTTGATTGGCAGGCTCATGATTTGCTGTTTCAGTACCTTGGGGGTCTCATGTCTCCCCTTCCCACCCCGATTCCTGTATCCCTGTTGTGCTTACCAGCTGACTTTGGGAGTACTTCTGCTGTTGCTGGGGTCTTGGGCTTTGCCCATCCTTGGGGTCTTAGCCACATTCTCTAGGCATTCCCTGCCAGTCAGTTAGCCTTTGCCTTTGGTTTAGGAAGACCTGACCCTTGGCACAGTGCCCAGTGGCCTGTCGGTGGCTCTCTGCTTGCCTGGCAGGGAGCATACGTAGAAGGCTGGTTTTCTGTCATGCCACGTGCAAGCTGTGGACATCCAGCATCATTTTCTCACACTCCTCTCCCTCCCCGATGCTGCTCTCTGCTCCCGAGCTCTGCTCAGTGTAAGGCTTCTGCCAGAATTTGGCAGCCTTCCCAGATGGGTCAAAGGAAGTGGGCTTCCTGCTTCCCTGGATACTTCTGTGCTCCCGCCTCAGCTTTAGTAAGGGAGCACCGACATACTCACACTAATCTTTTACTCTACCTCTTTCTCCATGAAATTTATCTTTATTGCTCCAGTTCCTCCTAAGTCTCTCTGCGGTTCATAGCTTAAGACTCAGGGAGGTCTTTCCTGCCCTTTCACGTAAGATTGACTGTAAATTTCACAAGGACAGAGCTGTTTTGTTCATCTCTGATTCTCAGTGCCTAACACAGTGCTTGGCACACAGTGCCAAAACACAGAATAGAAATATAATACAAATTTGCTGAACAAATATTGTTAATCTGCTTTACCCCCACTAAACCTAAACCCCTTGATTCCTTTATGCAGTACTTTGGAGTCAGTTCCTGGCCCTCTTATTTATTCATTAACAAGTACTTATCAATGCACCGGGTTTGCTGTTGGAAATGAAAAAGTAAATTTGTTAAAACACTTTTATTAAACATTAAATACATACAAAAAGTGGATAACATATGTAAAGTATAAGACAATTACAAGAGGAACCCTCTCTAAACCCACCTACCATCCCTCTCCAGTGGTAAATCTTTGCATACTGAGAACAGATCTAAGTGGACAGAAACAGATTCCCGGAGACCACTGGGAGCCTAGGGCCACTCCGAGTGGAGAGATGAAGGTGTCAGGGGCAGGGCGGTACAAGGCAAGGGAAAGGGTAGAGTGGGCTCAAGAGATATTTAGAAGGAAATCTGGACTTGATAGATTGTCACTCACTAATTATGTGACCCAGATAAGTCCCAGTCTTTTGAGCTTCAGTCTCTACACCTGCAAAGTAGGCGGTAATATCTATAGCTATTTGTATTCCTAGCACCTTGCACAAAGCTTGGTATAAGATGACACAAAAATCACAGCCACTGCGGTTAATCCTATACTGTGCAAGTTTCATAAATGCTGGCAGAATGAGGACTCTGTCAAACCTGGGGCTGGAACCCTCCATTTCCTTCGGTAGGAAAATAATACATGATGGTGACTCTGCCGTAATCGATGCCCATACTTCCCAGGAGAGGGGAACTGGGTAAGTGCCTGGGCCAGGATCAGTCCCCACCCTGGCTCTGCCCACATTCCAGAGGGCCCCGCCCCCCCGTCAGCGCGCGCCACCGCGCAGCGCGCGCCCTGCCCCGCCCCTGCGAATGACGTCGGCAGCCGAACGGGCCGGGCGGGCTGCATAGAACCTTGTGCTTCCGCGCTCCAGGGTCGGTGGGGCTTCGTGGCGCTTTGCGGAGTTTCGCTCACTCTTTCACCTCGCCTGTTCTGTCTCACGGAGTCCGGCTTGGCCTGCGTTTCTGTCGGAGTCCAAGGAAAGGGTGAGTGTTGGCGGGAGCGGGATGGGACCCGGCGCGAGCGCGCTCCGCTCTCCCCGGCCTTGTCTGGGCGGGGGGTGGCGCGGGCACGTGCGCACCCCTCCCCCACTCCACTGGCCACCGGCTGTGCGGCCCCTGGTGTGGAGCAGAGGGAGGCAGCGTGTGACTGCAGAGAGTAGAGGATCTGGAGGAAGACAGCTGGCTCTCGGGTGAGTGTGTATGTCCGGGGAGTCTCCGAAGCGGGGGCCCGGAGAGTGTGTGTGTGTGTGTGTGTGTGTCCGTGTGTGTTGCGGGGAGGGGGGGTTCCTTTTCTAAGGGCCACAACGCTCGCTGGGGGGTTGGGGGTCCCTTGAGCCTCAGTGGCCGGAGGGTGTTAAGCTTGGTGGCCTGTGATGGGGTTGGAGTCGAGATTTGGCCCCAGCTCTAGTAAGTTATGCTTTTACCAGCAAGAATCCTGAAATCTCCCTCCAACCTGTCGCCATCCCTACCGTCCCCCTCCTCCACGTAGGATAAGTAGGGTTTAGAAAGGTTGGAGATCTTCCACAGATGGTGCCCGCATCAAAGCAGGAAAGTGTCAGACTGCGGGGTTGGAGTGGAAAGCTTGGGAAAGTGAGTACTTGGAAGAAAGGCTGGTTTGGTGGGTTGTGGCCAGATTGCAAAGACAATGAGATTTATATCATAACATTTTTTCCTGTTATGAAGGCAGTTATGTTAAAGATAGAAAGTAGAGGAAAATAATCTTTAGAGTTTTATATATGTTAGCTAGTATTTAAATCAAAGCTTGTAACTTAAAACAATTAAAGACTACCTACAATTTCCCATTCCCTTTTCTGGTTAGCATGTAAAATGCGATGGAAGTGTAGTGTTCAATACATATTTGGAATATGTAGTATTCAATACTATTCCCTCTTTCTTAATAAATGAGTAGTGAATATTCATCATGGAAAAATTTAAAAATAGACAAGCAAAAAGAGAAAAAGTACCCATAGTTTCCCTGTCTATGGAGATTATCATTGAGTGTATATTTCTGGCTATGTATATTCTTTCAAAGATAGGAGCAGAGACTGCCCCGTTTCAAATTCCATTTTTATGTGAATTCTTTGAAGGTTTCAAGTGGGTGAGGCTCATAATCTGCTATGTGGAGACCAGTTAAGATAGTGTTTGCATATCTTGAACTCCATGATAGTGGATATGGGAAGGGTAAAAAGATTAAAACATATTTTAGAGGAAGAATGAACAAGACTTGGAAATTGGTTAGGGAGAGGGAGATGTCTTTGCTTTTCAGTATTTGCTTTGAGCAACTAGGACTAGATGGTGCCATTTACTGAGGAGAAAAATGGAAGAGAAATTTGAGGTGGGAAAAATCATGAGTTATGAAAGATTATGCTAATGAAATAAGCCAGTCAGAGAAAGACAAATGTCATATGATCTCACTTATATGTGGAATCTAATTAACAAAAATAAACTGACAAGCAAAATAGAAACACAGGCATGGGCACATGGAACAGACTGACAGCTATCAGGAGGGAGGCAGGAGGAGGGGAGAAGGGGGGACTGAATGAAAGAAGGGGAAGGGATTAGCCAAAGAACATAGGCTATGTATGCATAGCCTATGACACCGACAACAGCCTGGTGATGGCCAGACCAGAGGGAATGGGGGCAGGGTCTGGGTGGAGGTGAGCAAAGAGTGAATACATGGGGATATCTGTAATAGTGTCAATAGTAAGTATATATATAATCATGAGTTTTGCTTTGGATGTATTAAATTTGAGATGTATATTAGTTATGAAGTCAGTATGTTGAGGAGGCAGTTGGATGTACAGGTTTGAAACTCACAGAAGAGAGCCTAGAGCTTGCAGATAAAAATTTGGGAGTACTCAGTTATATCGATGATGCCAAAGTTTTGGGACTATATGAGGTCACTTGGGGAGAAAGTATAAATAAGAGGTGAAAATCAAGGCTCAGGAACTCCAGTGCTGTGAGGTCTGGTAGAGGAAGAAAATTGAGCACAGAACAGGAAGAAACAGCCAGTGAGGTAAGAGAAAAAAGCAAGAGACAGGTGTCGTGGAAGCCAAAAGAGATAAGTTTCTGGAAGATGGAAAGTTGATCCTTTTATCAGCATTTCTTAAGATGCTTTTGATAAGATGTGCAATTGGATTTGGCATCATGGAGAGTTTATTTTATTTTATTTTTTAAGATTTTATTTATTTATCTTTTAGAGGGGAAGGGAAAGGAGAGAAGGAGAGAAATACCAATGTATGGTTGCCTCTTGTGTGTCCCCTGCTGGGAACTGGCCTGCAACCCAGGCGTGTGCCCTTACTGGGAATCTAACTGTTATCGTCTGATTCAATCCAGACGTGCTCAATCCACTGATCTACACCAGCCAGGGCTATTTTATTTTATTTTTAATCCTTACCCAAGTATATGTTTTTATTGATTTTAAGAGAGAGAGAAACACTGATCAACTGGCAACCTAGGTATGTGCCCTGAGTAGGAATCGAATTCACAACCTTTTGGTATACAGGACAAGGCTCTAACCAACTGAGCCACCTAGCCAGAGCACATTGTGGAGGTTATTGGGTTTGTTCTTGGTCATTGGTAGTACTCTCCAGAGTTCTAGAAGTGGAAGGTGGGAAACAGATTGGAATAGTTGAATGGAATGTGAGGAAGTGAAGACAGTATGAATTAGAAAAGTGTACCTTCTTCAAAACACCTTATTTCCATCTACTCCAAAACTAAATTTGATAGATGAAAAATGTCTTATTTAATTTTTTCATTCCTTGATTACTAATATGGTTGAAGTTTTTTTCACATTTATTGACCATTTATGAATTTCTGTTCCTATCCTCTGTGGGTTTTTTTTTTTTGTCATTTTATAATTTCTTGCTTTTAAAAAAAAGACTATTTATTTTTAGAGAGAGGGGAGGGGAGGGAGAGAAACATCAGTGCATGTTTGCCTCTCACACACCCCCAACCAGGACCTGGCCCACAACCTAGGTATGTGCCTTGACTGGGAATTGAACCAGTGACCCTTTGGTTCTCAGGCTGGCACCCAATCCACTGAGCCACACCAGCCAGGGTAATTTCTTGTTTGTTTGTTTTTTAACTATACTTTATTGCTTATGCTATCACAGTTCTGATTTTCCCCTTTTGCTTCCATCCACGAAGCACCCACACTCCCTCAGGCAATGCCTCCACCATTGTTCATGTCCATGGGTCTCGAGTATAAGTTCTTCAGCTACTTCATTTCTTATGCTATACTTTACATTCCCGTCGCTATTTGTACTTCTTAATCCCTTCACCTCTACACCCATTCCTCCACATCCCCCTCCCCCCGGCTACCATCAAAATGTTCTCTGTATCCATGATTCTGTCTTTGTACTTATTTGCTTAGTTTTTTTTAATTCAATTGTTGATAGATTTGTATTTCTTGCTATTTTATTGTTAATGGTTTTTATCATTTTTAAACAAAAGATTTATTTTATTTTTAGACAGAGGAGAAGGCAGGGAGAAAGAGAGGGCAAGAAACATGAATGTGTGGTTGCCTCTCATGCACCCCCAACTGGGGGCCTGGCCCACAACCCAGGCATGTGCCCTGACTGGGAATTGAACTGGTGACCCTTTGGTTTGCAGGCTGGTGCTCAATCCACACAGTCATACCAGCCAGGGCTGATCTTTTTATAAATAAGTCTCTTTAACATTTCATATAGCAATGGTTTGGTGATGATGAAGTACTTTAGTTTTTTTTCTTGTCTGGGAATCTCTTTATCTGCCCTTCAATTCAAAATATCTTTGCTGAGTAGAGCAATCTTGGCTGTAGGTCCCTGCTTTTCATGACTTTGAATATTTCTTGCCAGTCCCTTCCAGCCTGCAAAGTTTCTTTTGAGAAATCAGGTGACAGGTCTTATTGGAAATCCCTGTAGGTAACCAACTTCTTTTCTCTCTTTATCTTTATCTTTAGGCATTTTGATTATGATGTGTCTAGGAGTGGGCCTCTTTGCATCCATCTTGTTTGGGACTCTTTGTGCTTCCTAGATTTGCATGTCTATGTCCTTCACCAAATTAGGGAAGTTGTCTTTCAGTATTTTTTCAAATAGCTTTCCAATTTCTTGCTCTTGCTCTGCTCCTTCTGGCATTCCTATACCTCTTGAAGTTGTCCCAGAGAGTGCTTATAGTATCCTGTTTTTGTGGATTTTTTTCTTCTTTTTTTTTTCTTGTATGGTTTTTAGTTCCTTATTTTCCAAATCATTGATTTGATTTTTAGCTTCATTCACTCTACTGTTGTTTCCCTGTAAATTGTTCTTTATTTCAATTAGTGTATCCTTTGTTTTTTACTGGATCTTTTTAATGCGGTTCAGGTCCTCACTACACTGCTCGAAGGTCCTCATAACCAGTATTTTGAACACTGCATCTGGTAGATTGCTTATCTCCATTTTGTTTAGCTCTTTTTTCTGGAGCTTTGATCTGTTCTTTCATTTGGGCTGTTTCTTTGTCTTCTTGTTTTGGCAGCCTCTCTGTTTGTTTCTGTGTATTAGGTAGAGCTACTTTGACTGTGACTTGAGAGTGTGGCCTAATGTAGGTGTCCTATAGGATCCAGTGGCACAGCCTCCCCTATCACCCAAGCTGTGTACCCAAGGTGCTCCCTTTGTGTGGGCTGAGTACACCTTTCTTTTGTTGTTGAGCCTTGTTTGCTGTTGGCAGATCAATGGGAGGGATTTACCCAGTCCAGTCAGCTGCAAGGATTGGCTGTGACCACTGACTGCCTAGTTCCATCCTCCATGGAGGATCAACTATGCAGGGGCAGGGCGGTGCTCCAGTGTGGTCTGTAGCTGTCTACTGGATATGCTGGTTCAGGGGTTTCCGGGGTGGTGCTGGCCAAAGTCAGCCCCCACTTTTGTTTTGCCCAGAGCTACCTGCCCAAGCTTTAAAGCGTTCTGAGATGGCTGCTACTTGTGCTGGGCTTGGAGATTCCCCAGTGAAGCCAAGCTGTGAATCTAGCCTGGCTGCTGCTAGTGCTGGCCCTGGTGCTCACTGAGGCCAGCTGTTGCTTGTTTGATAGGATTGAGGAAGCTGTGCAGTATGGGCCAAGACCAGCCATTCATGTGGAAAAGTGTCTTGGGTGGGCCTGTAAATTGGTTGATCTTCTGGGGATCTTCTAAGGCAGCTCAAACAATGATAGCCAGGTTGAAGGAATCTCAAATATGGCCTCAGCTTACCGGGTCTGTGCAGGGAAGGTTTAGAAAAGGGACAGTGGCTTCTGTTTGCCTTAATGGCAGACACTTCAGTTTCTCCCTGTGTACCATGGTGCCTTCCAAGCTGCTACCCTGGTGCTGAAGCTCAGAGGGAGTGAGTACGTAGGTGAGTCCATGTGTGGGTCCTTTAAGAGGAACTGCTTGGGGCTCCAGAACTTTCTTCCACCGCAATCCCTGTTGCTTCTTGTAGCTGGAAATTGTGGGGACTTATCTTCCTGGCACTGGAACCATGGGCTGGGGGGCATCCCTCCCAGCAGTCTGGATGGATATGCTTTCTTTAGTTCCATAGTTGTCAGATTTCCATTCAGCTCGATTTCTGATGGTTCTGAGTGATGGTTGTTCTATATTTTAATTGTAATTTTGATGTGGTTATGCGAAGAGACGAGTCGTATCTGCCTACACCGCCATCTTGACCAGAAATCTCTTAATTTACTGTTAAGAGTTCTTTATATAATAAAAATATGTAGTTGACAAAGGGAATCATACACTATTTGTCTTTGTGACAGGCTTATTTCATATTTAAGGCCAAATAATATTCCAATGTATGTCTGTATCTATTTTGTTTATCCAGGTGTCGTGCCATGGCATGAATAAATTTTGTTTAGCCATGTTTAGAATAGTGTTGTTTGTATGAAGACTATAGAAACAGGGCCAAAGAATTATAAAATCATTATTAACATCTTAGAAACATTTGTGTATATGGAAGCAGTTTGAAAATGATTATGTTACTTCTCCCTACCCCTCCCTCTTTTTAAAATCAGATGGGCAAAGTTATCTTGAAAGAGCACAAAATTCAGTGGTTCTAAGGAGATTCAAATGCCATGAGAACCATAGAATTTTATATTGAAAAGATACCTTATAAAGTACATAGCAAATTATTCATTGGCCTTACTTTTCGATTTTACCACTTACCCCAAGAACTGGCCATGTCTCATGAGATGTGTCAGCAAGACAGGGTTCTGGGACTGTGTTTTAGGTTTTCTCTGATATGAAACTAAAACCTTTTACTAAGAATTCTAGTGACTATATATTACATAATTTTTGTAATTCCAATTATACAATTAAAATTCTTTTGGGGGGGTATTTCAAAGTATAGAATAGTAAAAGATTTTGGTTTGGGTCTTTAGCCTTTTCAAAAACTCAGACTAGTTTCTTTGAATGGATGTGATACAGGGCATTTCTGCTTTCTTATATTGTAAAATAAATAAAAATATACACTGCCTTTTAAAGACTAAGAACAAAGATAAAAATGTAAAATATCTTATTGCTAATTTGTTTATATTGATTACATTGTTTGAATGATAATATTTTGGGTATATTGAATAAAATATATTGTTAAAATTAATTTACACATTTCTTTTTCTTGTTTTAAATGTGGCTGCTAGAAGATACTAAATTTGTTTGTGGCTCACATTTCTTTTGGACAGTGCTGGGCTCAATAGCACATCCTACACTGACTCAGGGCATAGTAACAAGTACGCAGTGAGACACAGTTTGGAAGAGGAGTGGGACCCAGTAGAACTTTTGTCTGTTTGTTGAGAGGGGAAGGGAGGGAGAAGGAGGAAGAGAAACATCGATTGGTTGCCTTTTGCTCCATCTGGGGACCAAACCTACAATCTAGGCAGGTGCCTGCACTGGGAATCAAACCAGCGAACTGGTGACCTTTCATTTTGCGGGCCAACACCCAGCCAACCGAACCAGATCAGTAAGAGCTAGAACTCTTCACAATTATATTAATATTCTGTGTCTGTGCTGCCTAACGTACCTACTAGCTACTGGTGACTAGTTCTGAAACATGAAATACTGAAATGTGGGACAAAATCAAATTTTAGATTTTATTTCATTTTAATTAACTTTAAATAGCCATATATATTGGTAGTGGTCGATGAATCAGGACAGTGCAGATCTAGATTTAGTGGATTTTAATATAAGTCTGTACAGTATGTGTTTACTATAGGTAACAATAAATGATCAGTAACAATATTGAGTACCTGTTCTGTAGCAGGTACTGTGGTAAGTACCACAGAGAGGGTTTGTATAATAATAATAAATTGTTTATGGAGACTTTATGTTGCTCATATATTATAATATGCTTGATGCTTTGTGAATTCTGAGATATTGTGTGGGCTTTGCCATGTTTTCATTAAATTCAGCTTCCTTTTCTTTTTCTTCTTCTTCTCCTCCTCTTCTCCATCTCCCCTTTTTTTCCCTTCTTTCCCTTTCCTTTCCTTTTCCTTCTGTAAGGGCCCTTCTGTGAAAACCTGGCTTCTTTTGAAAAGTCTGAATAATGTGCTGCCTTGTAAAAGGGTTTTTTTTGAAAGGAAACCCATGATTTGTAACACATGATAATATGAGGATAATAATTTTTTTCTTAGTAAACTTGTGAAGTTGTGCTTTTGGCTTTTAAAGGGATATGTACACATATATTTGTAAGTACCAGTATCAAGCTCTTTTATTAATTAATTATTATTGCTTCATAGTGAAGAACAGATGTCATCATGTCTGGAATCAAGCGGACGCTCAAAGAAACTGACCCTGACTATGAAGATGTATCTGTGGCCCTTCCAAACAAGCGGCATAAAGCGATTGAGAGTTCAGGTAGAAATTCAGATACTTGGGCAGTTACTTATTTCTGCGTCGGCACATGTCTCCCTGTGAAGTTTGTAGGAGCTAAAGTGAAATGCATTTCCACTGTCGTGTATAATTCCAAGAAGGTTGTGAGCAGGATTAACTGAGCGCTCTGTTTAACAGCAGCGCACCGTGTGTGGTGTGCACAAAAGGAACAGTCAGGAAGGCAGTAAAAGCGTCAGTAGTGAGGTAGGCTGTAAGTTTTGGCTACCATCATGTGTCAGGTGAACCCTAAAGTCCTACGATATGTGTGCTACCATGTGGTGTTACACGAGATGAGTATAGGTGGTACATAGATTCAGGGTTGTTTTTTGTTTTTTTAAGATTTTATTTATTTTTAGAGAGAGGGGAAGGGCAGACGAAAGGGAGGGAGGGAAACAGTGTAAGAGAAATATTGGTCAGTTGTCTCTCGTATGTGCCCAGACCCTGAATCAAACCAGTGACCTTTCGCTTTGCAGGATGGTGCCCAACCAACTGAGCCATAGCAGTCAGGACTGGATTAAAAAATTAGGACTGGTTTTTCATGTTAATAGTTACAAATTATTTTAATGTCCATGATGGTTTCATGAGACTTGTGGTTTCATAACTGCTGTTGTCAAGAGAAGGCTAAGATTATTTTAAAATATTACTTGTTTTAAGTAGATGTTTCACATGGTTCTCCGACGTGATAGGTGAGGGGTGCCCTCAAGAGAGGGAGGCGTGTGAACGACGGAAGGTTGGGAAACATTGATGTGGTTTACCCTGCACGTAGGGGCCAGTAGGTAAAGGCCCCGGAGCGTTAAATTACTTGTTCAAGATCATATAGTTAGTTAAAGAGCAGATCACCAATTAAGTGTCTGTAATTACCGTGAATATTTTAACCTTTCGCACAAAAAAGTGCTAAATTTGAGTTTTTAACACAAATTATTTTTTCAAGTAATAAATCTATGTGTTAAAACTAACAGCTGAGTAAAGAAGGCCTCAGAGCCACAGAAAACATGTTGGAGCCCCACAAGGATGCCCCCTGGGGTTTAAGTAGTGAAGAGAGTTCCTGTCTCTGCTTGCAGTGGAGTCGGGCTGTACCCCCGCCCCCCCCCAAGTCTTGGTGGGTCAAAGTTACCAAGTCTAATCCCAAACAATGAAATATTCCACTGCCACTTTCCCTCCCATTCAGCTGTAATTTTATTTACAAGGAAATGTCATTTCCTTTCAGAAACAACCCAAATAAATGTCAAAAATATCATGAAACTCAAATGTATCACATGACATAAATTAAAAAAAATTAAAAGCAAGAATAAGGAAACCTGAAAGTTTTAGTAAACTTCATAATTTCAGTTTAGATTTAAGTTCCCAAATACTCAGCCTAAGTAGGGACAGTTTTTTGTTACTGAGTTACAGTTTGCTATTTTTCCTCTTTTGGTGCCCATATGTATTTGATTCCCAACCATACTTTTTTTTTAGGTTTTATTTACTTGTTTTTAGAAAGGGGGGGAAAGGAAAGGAGAACGAGAGAGAGAAACACCAATGTGTGGTTGCCTCTCACGTGGCCCCCCTGAGGACCTGGCCCACAACCCAGGCTTGTGCCCTGACTGGGAATCAAACAGGCGACCCTTTGGTTTGCAGCAGGAGCTCAGTCCACTGAGCTACACCAGCCAGGGCCATATTTTTATTTTTCAGAATTTTTCTCAAAGTAGATTTGGTTGGATGCTTCCTTTGCGTATGCTGTTCTTCGGGTTTTTTGTTTTGTTTTGTTTTTTAATTTGTAGAGGAAGGGAGGGAGAAAGAGAGGGAGAGAAACATCAATATGTGGTTGCCTCTTGTATACCCCACATGGGGGGCCTGGGCCACAACCCAGGCATGTGCCCTGAATGGGATTCAAATTGGCGACCCTCTGGTTCGCAAGCTGGCGCTCAGTCCACTGAGCCACACCAGCCAGGGCTGTTTTGTTTTTACTTATTCCATGAAAGAGATCATTTAGAAGGATGGGGTTATTTTGCCCTTGCTGGTGTGGCTCAGTGGATTGAATGCCAGCCTGTGAACCAAAGGGTCCCCATTAGATTCCCCATTGGGTCACATGCTGGGGTTGCAGGCCAAGTTCCTGGTGGGGGGGGTGTGTGAGAGGCAACCACACATTGATGCTTCTCTCCCTCTCTTTCTCCCTCCCTTCCCCTCTGTCTGAAAATAAATAAATAAAATCTTTTAAAAAGAAGAAGAGTTTATTTCTGAGGAACATAGGATAAAACAGCTTTCAGTGATCTTTGTCTCTAGGGAGACTTCCAGTCTTCTCTAAACATGTCTGCTGGTTTCTGCATACAAGGTTTATATAAACAAGGATATATACAGAATAAGAATAATAGAAAATATTCTTTACCTCAGATATGAGAAAAGTCAGTCATTTGCCTCTGCAGACATAATTATAATAATGTTTACACCGCCCTGGCCAGTGTGGCTCAGTTGGTCAGAACATCTTCCCCTAACTGAAAAGGTGCAGGTGTGATCTCCAGTCAGGCCAAATACCGGGGCTGTGGGTTCAGTCCCTGGTCCAGGTGTGTGTGAAAGGCAACCAGTCATCACATTGATGTTTCTCTCTCCCTCCCTTCCTCTCTCTAAAAGCAATGAAATAAAAATGTCCTTGGGTGAGGATGTAAAAAAACTTTTTAAAATGTTTATCTTGCCCTGGCTGGTGTAGCTTAGTGGATTGAGCACGGGCCTGCGAACCAAATAATTGCGGTTCGATTCCCAGTCAGGGCACATGCCTGGGTTGCGGGCCAGGTTCCTAGTAGGGGGCACGTGAGAGGCAACCGCACATTGATGTTTCCCTCCCTCTCTTCCTCTCTCCCTTCCCCTCTCTCTTAAAATAAATAAATATTTTTTAAAAACAGCAATGTTGGAATTATGTAGGCCAGTTATTTTGTAGAATGTCCTTCAGTTTAGGTTTTTCTGATGTCCCTGTGATTTGATTCAGCTTCCTTGGCAGGGGTGACACGGAGTGATGTAGTTACAACACACAAGGTTGGCCCTGGCTGGTGTCGATCAGTGGATTGAGCACCAGCCTGTGAACTGTAAGGTCCCTGGTTTGCTTCCCAGTCTAGGGCACATGCCTGGGTTGTGGGGCCAGGTCCCCAGTAGGGGGCGTGCGAGAGGTGACCTACCACTGTTTCTCTCACACATTGATGTTTTTCTCCTCCATCCCTTCCCCTCTCTCTGAAAATAAATAAGTAAAATCTTAAACAAAAAACACTTCAAAGAAAAACAATACACAAGGTCAGTTTGCCCCAATATTAATGATGTTAACTTTTCATCGTTGGCTAAATGATGGCCACTGGTCTTCTCTACTGTAGAGTTACTGTTTCCTGGGTTTCATTTGTGCTTGCTGACTTACATGAAGACAACCACTGATAATTAGACCTTGGATTGTTTTGTGTTCTTTGTGTAGCTCGAGACGCTGCTGTACAGAAGATTGAGACTATTATCAAGGAACAGTTTGCGCTTGAAATGAAGAATAAGGAACATGAAATTGCAGTCATTGACCAGGTATAATGATGATAAATTTTTTAAACTATTGAAAAAAAATGTGTACATGATGACTTGACTTTTTTTTTTTTTACAAATTGCAGGAAAAGATAAATTTTTTTAATTACCTAAACTTTTATCCCAAAAGATCATCTTTCTCTGCTGTTTTGCTCAAATTTTTGTGGACATTTCAGTGACTATGTACGTGTACATATAAATAGAAATATTAACATGTCTATATCCTTGCAAAAACATCGGGTTTTGTCATTCTTTCGGATCTTTTGTCAATCTGATAGGTGGAAAATGGTCGTTTTTATTTGTCTTTGATTATTAGCAAGGTTGAGCTTTTTTTGGTTGCTCGCATTCTTATGAATTACTTGTATATCTGTCTTATCATTTCCATCTTTAAAGTAATGAGTAACATTTGTTTTTAGCGACTGATTGAGGCAAGAAGGATGATGGATAAACTTCGCGCCTGTATTGTAGCGAACTACTACGCTTCTGCGGGACTTCTAAAAGTTTCTGAGGTAAGTTTTCCTCATACGCAGTCATTTCTGGCCATTCATATTTGTTGAATGAAGGAGAAATTAGTGTTGATGTGGAATTCTTGCCTTTGAAACATTTCTTTGTTGACTGATTTTGAGAGAGAGAAACATCAATTTGTTATTCTGCTTATTTATGCATCCATTGGTTGTTTGGTGTATGTGCCCTGACCATGGATCAAACCTGCAACCTTGGCACATCAGGACACTGCTCAAACCAACTGAGCTATCCAGCCAGGGCTTGAAACATTTTTTTATATCGACCTTCAGAATTCAAGAAGTGTAGATGAGCCTACTATGCTCGACCGTAATTCTTTTTTTCCCCTAATCCTCATCCGAGGACATTTTTTTTTCATTGCTTTTTAGAGAAGGAAACGTAGAGGTGAGAGAAAAATACCAGTTGGTTGCCTCTCACATGTGACTGGACAGGGATTGTTCATACTTGGACCAGGGATCAAACCCCACCACCTAGGCATGTGCCCTGACCAGGAATCGAACCTGCAACCTTTCAGTTATGGGACAATGCTCCAACCAGCTGAGCTACATGAAGCAGGGCAACCTTAATTCTTTAATTCTCACACCTCTCTATATTGTTAATAATCCTAAATAACATATTTTTCTTTTTTTACTTAATCCCACTCCTGCTAATATTTAGCTATGTTGTTAGGCTTTGCACATATAAAAATAACTTGCCTTATTCCTCTCCACTTGATTGTGTCTGGCTTTGGAGTAAGTTATAGATTAATTTTCCTTTGACCTTTTACTACTAATGAATGGTCATTTTTTTTTGTTTCAGATTTGCCCTGTTCAAAGAGGTGACTTTTTGTGAAAAAAAGTCACCTCTTTTTATGAAAAATTTCAAATACATTGAAAAAGTTCAATAAGCACCTAGTAATGTATTACTTAGATTTAGCAATTTTAAGACTTTGCCATATTTGCTGTATCTATTTTACTTTTCTCTAAAACAGTTGAAAGTAAGTTCTGAGCATCATGACACTTTATCCCTAATATTTAATTATGTGTTTCCTAAAGGTCATTCTTGCATGTAGTCACATTACCTGAGAGAATGATTCACTAATATTGTATGTTAACCAGTCCAGATCTTCCCAGTTGTTCCCAGAATATCTTTCAAAGTTTGTTTGTTTGTTTGTTTGTTTTAACAAGGATCTAATTGAAGTTCCTGGCTCCATTTGGCTCTTTTGTCTCTGGTTTCATTTTACCTAGACTGATTCTCCCACCTTTTTTCCCCCCAGGATACTGACTTAATTGAAGAGACCAGGCCATTTTTCTTGTCCACTCTTCCACATTTTGAGTTTACGTTTTGCCCTCAGGTTATTCCTTCATTCTCTTTATTTTTCTGTAAACTGGAGGTCAAGTCCGAAGATTTGATTCTATTAAGGTTCTTTTTGTCAATAATAATTCATAGGTGACACTGTATTTCACATCAGGAGATGTAATATTCAGGTTCTTGGTGGTAATAAGAGTAATCACTGGTTCCTGTGATCACCACTAGATTGCACCAGTTATGAGACGGGGGCAGGCCTGCACAGAAACAGAACAGATTGTTGGATGTTTCGGTAATTTTAACATAACTTTGTTATGTCTTTTTCCAGTTAGAATCAGGTAATTCTTCTTTTGGACAGTACTGGCTCTGTGAGAACTGGGGCAGGTACAAAGGCACACGGCTTTGCTCCATTCCCTTTGGCTTTTACAAATACATGTGCAGGCTTTCCTGTCATCCCGTGGGGATTTAGGTACGGGCACTGGTGATACTCCTGATGTAGATACTCTAGAGATATATGGAGTGTTATTTGAGTTTAATTTTAGACGACAGATACTTGTTTGTTCTATTGCAGGAGTCTCCATAAAAAACATTAACATCGAACTACTCTTCTGCAGCTACCATAACGAATTACTACAGCTTGGTTGGCTTCAAACAACAGGAATTTATTGTTGTGATTTTGGATTCTAGCAGTCCAAAGTCAAGGTGTTGGCTGGGCTGTGCTCTCTCTGAGGGCTCCAGGGCAGAATTCTTCCTAGCCTCTCCCAGCTTCTGGTGGTTGCTGGCAATTCTTGGTGTTCTTTGGCTGGTAGCTGCATCACTCTAATTTCTGTCTGTCTTCGTGTGGATGTTTTTCCTCTGTGTATCTTTTCTTACACTCTGTGTTCAAGTTTCCCTCTTGAAAGGACATTAGTAATTGAATTTAATGATTTCATCTGAACCAGATTACATCAGCATAGACCCTGTTTCCAAATAAAGTCACGTTCATAGGGTTAGGGTGGACAGGAGTGTTTGGGAGACACTATTTCACCCAGAGCAGGTTCTGATGTCATATGTGGCTTGCTTTTGGATTCAACAAGATGGACATCATGACCTAGTGCCTGCATGACAAAGGACTGTAGCTACTCTGAAGAGCTAGTTTTTTATTTGATATTTTCTTCCTTTTTTCTTTCTTGTTTTACTATTAGCAGTTTTAAATTGGGCTATTTATGGTCTAGAAATGCACTGATTTTTATCTTGTTATATTCTGATTAGGATGTATTCAAGGGTATTGAAGTATATTTTGTCTGTTATGATCTGTCATTTATTTTTAGTTTATTGTAACAAAGTGCATTTATAGCTCTAAAAGATGATACCTTTATTATTGAAATTCAACAACTTTGTTGCTTTGACTCCAAAACGCCAGTGCCAAGCTCCTTTTTTCTTTCTAAAACAATTATTTTAATAGCACAGTTTTTAAAAGCTGGGCTTCCTAGGAGGCAGCTACAGTGTACCGCATTATATAACAGAACACACTGTATTTTGAATGCCTGTAACAAGATACAGAAAAATACCCTAGGCTTCAGTACCGAATCTAGGGCAAACTTTATGGCAGTATTAAGCATTTTAAAGCATTCTATTCTATACACATACAGTTTTTATTTTTGTATTTCTTATAGAAATATTTTATTCAGAGTTTATATAAAGTCATGTGAAACTTTCAAGTCACATTTTGCTTTTCATATGTTGCTGTGTATTTATTTTTCATTTACCTTTAGAGGACTTGTATCTTTAGCTCTTGGTTTTTTAGTACTTTTGCAAAATTATTTATCACTGTTGTTGGTTCAGACCACATTAAGGAATTTGGACTTCATTTTATGGTAGTGGAGAGATTTTGAAAGATTTTAAGCATGATCTGGAAACAGATAAGGGTTTTAGAAAGATCAAAATTGTACCTACTTTTGGTGAATTTGGCTGTTTGTTTCTATTGCTTTTGTTTTTGCAGGGATCAAAAACATGTGATACAATGGTTTTTAATCATCCTGCTATCAAGAAATTTTTGGAATCACCATCCAGGTCATCATCTCCTGCCAATCAGAGATCAGAAACGCCATCAGCCAATCATTCTGAAAGTGATTCTTTATCTCAGCACAATGACTTCTTATCCGACAAAGACAATAACAGCAATATGGATATAGAGGAAAGACTCTCAAACAGCGTGGAACAGAAACCAAGTCGAAATACTGGAAGGGTATATATAGTTGGATGGATGGGAGGGAGCCAGAGAAGGGAACTAGTGTTTACTGGAGTGTGCACATGTTATTTCATTTAACGTTCTTTGGAACCCTGGGAAATAAGTTAATTATGTCCCTTTTAGAGATGGGGAGATTTTAACATTCAGGGTTCCTGTGCGTGGCACAGCTCCTAGTGCCACTGCCATAGATCGGAAAGAAACCCTGGGGAGCTGGCAGTGCCGCGGCCTTGCCCAGAGTCTTCTACTTTGTCATGTTTGTTCTCAAGAGCAGTGATTCTTCAGCATTTTCCTCTGTGAAACTTTATATTCTTAGATGCCTTGGTAACTGGAGGAAATGTGATGAAGAATAAGTAGAATTGAAAACCATGTATTGCTCTTTGACCCCGCCAGTTTGTGGAGCTGCCCTCTCACGCTGCTCTGAAGTTCTCGGTGTGATACTGGGCTGTAGAGATGAAACCGGGGGGTTTTCTCAGGCAGGTGTTGTGCAGTGGAGCAAATTTCAAGGTTGCTTTCCACATATTCAGACATCAAGGATATGATTTATTTTTGATAAAAATAAAAAATTTTTAAATTTCTGACTATAAATTTATGTGTTCATTGCTGGAAAGTAAAAAGAATAGAAAAATTATTCATAATGCCACCAATTTAAAACCAGTCCTAATGCTTGGAATTATTGTCAGTTTCAGTATTATTTCTGGGAAAATACCATATATGTTTTTCTTTTTACAGTTAAAAAGAGTTTAGGTTGTGTTGGTCATTGATTTAAGAATTTATCATCTTTTATGTAACATACATGCTTATGTTTATGTATTAGATACTTAGTACTTCTGTGTTTCAGGCACTTTTCTAAGAACTATACAAAACAATCATGGGAGGTAAAAACTATTACCCTTATTTTACAGGTGAGGAAATTGAGACAGAAAAGTTAAATAATTATCCAAGTGTTTTCACATCTAGTACATGGAAGAACCAGACTTTAAACTCTGGCACTCTATCTCCATTGTCAAACTGTAAATTAATCATTGTGTTTATATTACTTCTCACTGAAAATGTTTGGTAGTATAGACATTGAAAAGAAAGTAAATTCCCTTGGGTCCTTTCCCCGTTCTCATTTCCCAGATGTGACCATTGTAATAGTTTCTTGCGTATCCCTCCACATCCTTTTGCATATACAAAGCAGATGTGTATGTCTATTTAAAAAAACACACATGTACACATGCAAATAGAGTATAGAGACATTTTGTGTTCTTTTATGCTATGCGGTGCCACAAAGCCACAGAATTTTGTAGTAAAATTCTGAGTTATTCCATTCATACCTTGTATGATTTTGCAGTTCCTGCCTGTTAAAAACTTTCCAGATTGAAAATGAAAATTATTATTTCTTTCAGGACACTTCTAGTGTTTCTGGCTCCCATAAAACAGAGCAGCGGAATGCTGATCTTACAGGAGATGAGACTTCACGACTTTTTGTAAAGAAAACAATAGTAGTGGGCAATGTGTCCAAGTGAGTATCCAGCTGAATTGTCTCCTTTTCAGTTACCCATTTATGTTACTAGAACTCTGGCATACTCTTATCATAGTATTACAGTAGACAGAGGTCTCAGGGATTCTTCTTTCCAAACTCTTAGTTGTTTTAAAAGTAAGCTTGGATTCAGTGACTTGAGAATCTGCCTTAGTTGTCTGTTAATCTTTGATATAGAATAAAATTGGGCTTGGTAGAAATTTCTAAGACATGTACTTTTACACAGGCATATAAGTGTGGATAAGTTCGAAGGAATTTTTGACTTCTGACCGAGTTTTAACCTTAGAGGCCTTAGCTAGTTCCTAAATATGTGTATTTGGTTGCTCAAATTGAAATAAATGTTTCAAATTTGTAGTAGACAATTGCAGAGCAGGTCTTGAAGAACACAGAATTCTTCCAAGTTAAAGGGCTATCTCTTTAACAGGATGATCTCAGGCTGTTTTGTGGGAACGTTAGCATTTTTTGCCAAACATCTATGAATGGGTAAGGATATAAATCTTCAGATAGTGTCAGAATGTTATTTCCTGAAAAAGTCTTACTTGCCTTCTCCAGCCTCATTCGGTACACTTCCTGTTTCTCTTGTCATTTTTCTCATCCAGTCATTTCCCGTAGTCATACATTTTCCCCAAGTCAGACTAGAATCTCTTGTGTGAGGTGTGTCTTACTCGTTTTGTTCCTTAAGTAGTTGATGTTCAGTAAATATTTGATTGAAGAATAAATTGACCCACTTATGGAAGTTGTAATTAGATTCAATTATTAAAATAAAGGATTTGGAAGTATAATCATTAGCTGGGGAAAAATCAAATTGGGGAACTCTTCCAAGCCCCAGTTAATGGACAAACAAGATGTACTTTAAAAATCTCAGGATACTAAAAACAAAGATTCTTACTGGTCTTTGCCAGAGATGTCCAACCCGTGGGCTGCATGTGGCCCAACACAAAGTTGTAAATTTACTTAAAACATTACTTAGTTTTATTACTTAGATATATGTATTTTCTATATTAGTGTTCACAAACTTGGGACCTGCTCACTGATTTTAAAAGATTATCAAAAGGGCAACTATCTGACTAGGGTCGTTATGTGAGGATTTTTTTGCTTATCTGTGGTGGTGGATATCACAAAAATTATTCACGATGATTTTGCTCATCAGTTTTCATTAGTGTTTGTATATTTAACGTGTGGCCCAAGACAACTCTTCTTCCAGTGTGGCCCAGAGATGACAAACGACTAGACACCCCCAGTCTATATAATAGTGTGTGTTTGTTTATTTATTTAAAAGATTTTCATTTACTTACTTTTAGAGGGGAAGGGAGGAAGAGAGGGAAACATCAATGAGTGGTTTCCTCTCGTACACCCCCTACTGGGGACCTGGCCCACGAATCAGGCATGTGCCCTGACTGGGAATCAAACCGGTGACCCTTTGGTTCACAGGCTGGCACTCAGTCCACCGAGCCACACCAGCTAGAGCTATGTACTGGTATTCAAATAGAAGCAGAAAATACAACAAAAACAATTCTATTTTTGTTTTTCTTCTTTTTTTTAATATTAAATTTTATTTAGTTACTTTTCAAGTACATTTTTTTTCATCTATTTCTCCCATCCCACCCCACCCCCTGCCCTGTCTCCCCCCTCCTTCCCATTCCCCCCCCCCCAGTCCTCATCTCTGTGTCTTTCATACTTGTTCCTCATGTTTTTCTAAATTACTTTAGAGTTAGCATGTATTCACTGAATGGGACTAAACAGTTCGTATGAAGTGTTAAGAGTTGAGGTCTTAACTACCATTACAGGACAGATCAGCCCAGAAAATGCCCAAACTAGAAATCTAGATAGACCCACAAGAATATTGAGGAGAAACAGTCTTTGACATTTTCAAGCAGTTAGTGTAATTTGGAGACTTTTAAAGATGAGCTAGAACGAAAATACTGGTTAATCACAGATTTTTAAAAAATTTATCTTTAGAGGGAAAGGGAAGGAGAGAGGGAGAGAAATATCAATGTATGGTTGCCTCTCATGCGTCCCCTGCTGGGACCTGGCCCGAAACCCAGGCATGTGCCCTGACTGGGAATCGAACCGCAATCCTTTGGTTCACACGGGGCTGGGGATTGAGCCCGAGCTCAATCCACTGTGCTACACCAGCCAGGGCACGGATTTTAAGCAGATAGGAGTAAGTGGCATGAAAGTTGTAAAGTCTGCGCTGGGAGAGGGTAAAAATACTGATATACTTTAGAGGTTAAAAATACTGATATACTTTAGACTTTGTTAAGAGTGCTTGCTGGAATATATAAGATAACTAAAGGAATAGATACAGAGATTAAAAGTCTTCAGGGGAGGTGGAAATTGAATTAAAAAGGAGAAAAAAACTGATTCTAGAAAAGGGTAAGCGAGATCAGGAGGAGGGATATGAAGAAGAGAAAAAATTACAAATAGTATCAAATAATTTAGTAACAACAAATCAAGTATATCAACAATCATAAAAATACATATGGATTTAACTAATTAAAATATAGTAATTATTATATTGAGATAACATAACCTAAAATTCAGATCTCTGTATTTATCAATGATATCTAAATACAGAAAGATTGAAAGTAAATAAGTAGTATCTTGCTCCTGGCATATGCCCTTAGTTTGGCTCAAATAAACTCTTAGGAAAAAAATTTTTTTTAATTTATAAAAGAAAGAAAACAATCAAATAGATAAGTTAATAGGCAGAACATGCTAACTAAAGAAAGCTATTGTGGCACATTAATACCAGGTAGAAGACTTTAAGACCAAAAGCATTCATAAAGGTAAAGACAGTTACTATATAGTGATAAAAGGTTCTTTTCACCAAGAATACAAGTAAGTTCTGAGCTTCTGTGTACTTGATAACATAATCTTAAAATGATAACATATCCTTAAAGTAGAACCACAAGCAGAAATTGCCAAATGTGGTACCATACATCTCTCAGTAATGGCTAGATGAAGTGAACTACCCATATAAGTATAAAAAATTGGAATATCAGTTAACAAAACTTGATCTAAAGTACATGTCAAATCAAAAGAGGTAACCCGCTGGCTGGTGTAGCTCAGTGGATTGAGTGCTGGCCTGTGAAACAAGTAAAGTACATGTCAAGAACATTATACAAAACAATTAAGAGAAACATTTTTTAAGCCCAGAAGGAACATTGATGAAAATAGACTTTTTTCCTGACTGCTAGTGCAGTAAAGTTAAACATCAGTGACATTAGGATGACCAGAACACCTTTGTGTTACCTGGAAATGCACAGCACTTCCCCAAAACCCGTAAATCGATGAAAAATCACATTAACATCATCAGAGCTAGATAAAATTAAAAGTCGTAGGATAACACTAAAGAGATAGTTAAAGGGAAATTTACAGTCTTAACTGACTACAGTAGAAGAAAGGCTTAAAATTAATTAATTAGATGAAATAATGGAGTGGGGGAAGCAAAGACATTAGAGGGGAAAATAAGTATAGCATACATAAACCAGGTGAAATTAAGTAAGGAAAAAAGACAAATATTATTGAAAAATATAGGTACTGCACTATTAAAGAAATAAGACATTATGTAATTCTTTATGCCAGTACATTTGAAAACTTAGAGGAAATGAAGAATTTCCTAGAAAAATACAACTTAAAGTGACCCAATCAATAATGGAAAACTGAATAGTCTTAGAACTACTAAGTTTAATTATTGATTTTTTAAATATTCCTGTGACAAAATCAAACCAAGCCCCTTGGCTTAGAGTGCTTTATAGGCTGAGTGAACAGATAATTCCAGTTGTACGCAAAATCTGGGGGAAAAAGAGACAACACTTACCAACTTACACTATGAGCATTTACTGATGAGGCCTGACACAGGGTTCATAAGAAAAGGAAAACGTAGGACATTCGCACTTAAGAATATAGATGCAAAATTCTGAACAAATCCTTAGCAAACTGAATTCAGTTACTCTAGAAATGGTAGTCATGAGCAAGAAATGCAAGTTTGGGTTAACATTAGAAATCAATAAATAGACATATTAACATTAAAGAAAAACACAATCACCTCAAAAAATGCAGAAACAACATTTGACAAAGCTCAGCATCTGTTGATATTTGTAATCTTCCTGGCAGATTTGGAATTAACTCAGATAAAGAATATCTTCAGCCTGGCTGGTATAGCTCAGTGGCTTGAGCATGGGCCTAGGGACTGAAGGGTCAATGTTTGATCCCAGTCAGGGCACATGCCTGGGTTGCATGCCAGTTCCCCAGGAAGGGGCGTGAGAGAGGCAACTACACATTGATGTTTCTCTCCCTCACTTTCTCCCTCCCTTTCCCTCTCTCTCAAAATAAAAAACTTTAAAGTATATCTTCAAAAAACTTACAGCAGAATATAATACTGAGTGGTAAACTTAGAAGTCTTCCCTTTAGAATTAGGAACAAGCCCTGGGTAGTGTTGCTCAGTGGATTGAGCACTGGCTTGTGAACCAAGAGGTCCTCAAGTTTAATTCCCTGTCAGGGCACATTCCTGGGTTGCAGGCCAGGTCCCAGTACCCACCTGGGGATATGAGAGAAGCAACCAAACAATGTTAACTTCTCTCCCTGTTTTTCTCCCTCTCCCCTTCTCTCTAAAATATAAAATATTTTTTAAAAACAGGAAGAAGACAAATGCCTAGTGTCAGTACTCCTATTAAGCATTGCTTTTGGAGATACTAATGTGAAATTTTAAAAATTAAAAATTATACATTAGAAAATAAGGTACAAAATGTCATTAACAGGTCGTGTTGTCTATGTAGAAAAAGCAAACAATTTTTTATAGTTTTAGAGTTAATGAGAGAAGTCAGCAAGATTGTTGAATATAACAATACACAAAAGTCTATTTTTTTCTGTGTAATAGCCACAAGATTGGAACATGATTTTTAAAAGATATATTTGCTATAGCAATCAAAATATATGTTGGCCTTCCATGAAGAATTATAAAAACTTTATTAAAAGAAATGAAGTAACTAAATAGAGCAGTATACCATGTTCATGAATAAGAAGGCTCAGTACTATCAAATTGTTATGTAGACACTCTGATTAAAGCCCCATAGGGTTCATGAAATTCACAGGCTGGTTTTATATACGGAAGAGCAAAGAGTCAAGACTGGACAAGAATATTGCTGAAGAAGAACTAAGTTAGGCAGCTTCACCCACTGTATCACCAAGGATAACCATAGGCATAGACAACTCACATAGAAAGTCATTACCATGTTTTCCAGCAGAATGTAAGAAGGGGCCTCATGAAATAAAAACAACTGCAAAAGGGAAAGCTAAAGATACTAATTTTACTATCAACAGGACTTAAAGGAATGGCTTGTTTTGGCTTTTAAAAGGCCAAACCAGTTGCAACATTCTTGGTGGCAATGAGTAGGAACCAGAAGAGTCCACAGAGTCCTAGCACCCTGAAACCTGCATGAAATCAACCCAAAGTTTAGCAGGGGTGTCCAACCCAAACGCAGGCAGCATAAAGCCCCCAATGGCTGTGAATGCAGTCCAACACAGAATCATAACGGGCTTTGACTTAATACCTTTTTTTTGCTCATCAGTTTTCGTTAGTGTTTGTGTATTAATGTGTGGTCCAAGACAGCTGTACTTCCAGTGTGGCCCAAAGACACCAAAAGGTTGGACACCCCTGGTAGAGGTTCCCTAACCCAAGAATAAAATATTTATCAGTTTATTTCTGTATTATGTACCCACTTGGTGGGAAAAGCAAGGTTGATTTTTTAAAATCACAAAGGAATCAGAACATGAAACAGTGCCCCATAGACCAAAAGACATTTAAAAGGAAAGAATTAACTGCAATGACTCACTTTGGTTAGTTGATATAGCTGTTAAATCTTGCTGCAATTCAGTTTTTTTTAATTAAAAATTTTTCAGCTTTATTGAGATATAATTGACAAAAATATAAGTTATTTAAAGTGTACATTGTGATCATTGGGTTCCTCTTGAGTTTACACGCCTGTCATCTCACATGTTGATCATTTTTTATAGTTCTATTCTCTTAGCAAATTTATAGTACCATGTTACCATCTATATTCATTATGTTATGCCTTAGATCCTCTGTCATAGTTCACAGTCAGTACCCACCTACCAGCCTCTCTGTATTTTCTACTACCCTCAACCCTGGAAACCTTTCGAAGATTCCACCTCTAAGTGATGCTTTGCAGTTTTTCTCTGTCTGGCTTATATCACTTAGCATAATGCTCTCAAGGTCCATCCATGTTGTCACAAGTACGGACTCTCTTTTTGTTGTGTTTCCTGGCAGAATAATACTCCATTGTATATACATGTATGTACCTGTGTGTACATGTAAGTAAATAAATTAAAAAATCACGTCTTCATTCATCTGTTGATGGACACTTATTTCCTTGTCTTGGCTTTTGTAAATGATGCTGCAGTGAACGTGGGTGTGCAGATAACTCTGCAGTATCCTGTTTTCTATACTAGCAGCACTGATTTACATTTCCACCAATAATACACAAGATTTCCCTTTTTTCCATGTTCTTGCCAACACTCGTTTTATCTTGTATTTTTTTAATTTTATTTTTCAGTTACGGTTTATATTCATTATGTTTTATTAGTCTCAGGTGACTTCTTGTATTTTGACAGTAGCCATTCTCACAGCTGAGGTGATAATGCAGTGCAGATTTGACCTGCATATCCCTGATGTTTAGTGATAGTGAACAGCTTCTCCTGTACCTGCTATTTGTATGTCTTCAGAAAAATGTCTGTTCAGTTCCTCCATTTTTTAATGTTTTTTGTTGGGGGGGCTATCAAATTATGTGACTCCTTTACTTACTTTGAATATTAACTTCTTATTAGATACATGATTTGCAAGCTTTTCCCCCCATTTCGTAAGTTGCTTTTTCATTTTGTTGATGATTTTCTTTCCTGTGAAGAAGCTTTTTACTTTGATGAAGCCCCACTTGTTTATCTTTGCTTTTGGTATCAAATCCCAAAAGTCATTTGTCAGACCAATGTCAAAGAGCTTACTCCTTGTGTTTTCTTTTAGGAGTATTTTCTTTGTTTGTTGTAGGTCTTAGATTTAAGTCATTAATCTAATTTGAGTTGATTTTTATATATAGTGCAGGTGGGATTTCATCCTTTTGCACATGGCTGTCCAGTTTTCCCAGTTTTGAGACCATCTTTCTTCAGTTGTATACATATTAGCTCCTTTGTTGTATATATAAATAAACTATACATTTGCGGGTTTATTTCTGGGCTCTGTTCTGTTCCATTGATCATGTGTCTGTTTTTATGCCAGCACCAGACTGTTTTACTTACTGTACCTTTGTAGTATAGTTTGAAAGCATCAGTCAGTGGGGTTCCTCCAGCTTTGTCCTCTTTTCCATACAGATTTTTGGATTTTTAAAAAAATTTCTGTGAAAAATACCCTTGGAATTTTGATAGGCATTGCACTTGATAGGCATTGCAGAGGTGTAATCTGTACACTTGTTTGGGCAGCGTGGCCGTTTTAACAGTGTTCTTCTAATCCATGAACACGGAATGTCTTTCCGTTTGTCTGCATCTTCTGTTTCTTTCATCAGTGTATTACGGTTTTCAGTGTACAGGTCTCTCATCTCCTTGGTGAAAATTTATTGCCAAGTATTTTACTGTTTTTGATGCCATTATAAATTTAATTAATTTTTCATTTTGATATTTTATTGTTAATGTATAGAACTACAACTGGTTTTTTGTGTTCATTTTATGTCCTGTAACTTTACCGGATTTGTTCTGTTTTGGGGGAGTCTTTAGGATTGTCTGTATACAGTGTTATATGCAGACGGAGACATTTTACCTCTTCCTTTCTGATTTCTTTGTCTTGCCTGATTGCTCTTGTAGGACTTCCAATACTGTGTTGGACAAAAGTGGTGAGAATGAGCATCCTTGTGTTGTTCTTGATGTTAGAGGAAAGCTTTTAGTATTTTCACCTTTGAATACGTATTAGCTGTGGGCTTGTTGTATACGACCTTTATTATGTTGAGGTATGCTCTCTCTACACTCAGTTTACCGAGTTTTTATCACAAATGAATGTTGATTTTGTCAAATGTCTTTTTGGCATCTATTAAGATGATCATATGGTTTTTATCCTTCATTTCATAAATGTGGTGTAGCACATTGATTGATTTATGGCTGTCAAGCTTCCTTACATCCCTGGAGTAAATTCCATTTCATCATAATATATGATCCTTTTAATGTACTCTTGAATTTTGTTTGCTAATATTTTGTGGAGAATTTTTGCCTATATTGGCCTGTAATTTGTTTTTTTTGTAGTGTCCTTGTTTGGCTTTGGTGGCCTTATAAAATGAGTTTCTAAGTGCCCTCCTCATCTGTTTTTGGAGGAATTTGAGAAGGATTGCTGTCAGTTCTTCCTTAAGTGTTTGGTAGAATTTACCCTTTAAGCCATCTGGTCCCAGAGTTGTCTTTGTTGGGAGGGTTTTTTCATTACTGATTAAATCTAACTAGTGTTCCAATTTTCTTTTTTTTTATGATTCAGTCTTGCTAGGGTATATGTTGCCAGGAATTTGTGCATTCCTTCTAGGATGTCCAATTTTTTGGCGTGTAATTGTTAATAGTCTTATGATTCGTGGTGTTTGTGTGGTGTCAGTTGCAGTACCTCCTTCACTTATAATTGTATTTGAGTCCTCTCTCTTTTCTTGGTAAATGTAGCTAAAGGTCTTTCAGTTTTGTTTATCTTTTTAAAAAACCAGCTCCTAGTTTCTTTTATCTTTTTTATTATCACTTCAGTCTCTATTAATCTTTGTTATTTCCTTTCTTCTACTAACTTTGGGCTTAGTTTATTTTACTTTTTCTAGTTCCTTGGGATGTAAAGTTAGGTCGTTTATGTGAGATCTTTCTTTTTTCTTAATGCTGGCTTTTATTGGCATAAACTAACTTCTTAGAACTGCTTTTCCTGCATCTCTTGAATTTTGATGTCTTGTATTTCCATTTCAGTTTCAAGACATTTTTTTTATTTCTCTTTTGATTTCTTCTTTGACCCAGTTGTGGTTCAGTAGCATGCTGTTTAATCTCCACATAATTGTGAATTTTTTTGAAGGAAAAAAATTCAGTTTTTTTTTCTTCTCCTTTAGGTATATACCTCCCGATAAAAGAGAAGAAAATGACCAGTCAACCCACAAATGGATGGTGTATGTCCGAGGGTCTCGTAGAGAACCCAGCATTAATCATTTTGTCAAGAAAGTTTGGTTCTTCCTTCATCCCAGCTATAAACCCAATGACCTTGTGGAAGTTAGGTGAGCATCCTTGCATTACGTAACCTAAGAAGTATAGCTTTATTGAACTGGAAGAAACGTGATTTAACTTGTAAACACTCCCTTGAAATTCTCGTATTATTAATAGTTTACTCAGTTTGGGCTCTCAGTCACAGTGTAGTTTTAGCTGTAGTTCCCTGATGACTACTTCACTGAACAGCTAGCGTCCCCCCGTCAGGTTGTTACCATACAAATTGTATTAGCTGACTCTGCTCTCCTCCAGAAATAACTTGTTTATATAGATAAAAGTAGAAAGGCTACTGTTTTTTATGACTAACAGTGTAACAATTAAATATAAGATTTTAGCATTACAGAAATATTTAATGTTGAAAGTTCCTCATGATCTTATCCTCTCAGAAGTAATATTTTGTATAAATTATAGTTGCTGCTGTTATTAGTCACAAAGATAGAATGATTTTTATGCATATTTATATATACAATTCTGAAATTTGTTTTACAAAGGTATAGTCTTGATGTCTTTATGTGATGTTACATTGTCACACTTTCATTGTATGACTGTATTGTGGAAATGGTTGTGGTGTATTATTAGGGAAATCTCCTATATCCTCAGCTCTCTTCAGAACATGCCTTCTACTCCTGACTCTTAAACAAAACGTGCCTGTCTCCTGAGAATACCTTCTCCTGAGAACAGCTTTCAAGTGGAGGCTGCTTTTTTCTCTCACCCACCATGTACCATTGGTTGTAGGGGTAGGGCGTATGTCTTTCTTGCTCGTATATGTGGCTTCCATGTCACTTTTTTTCCTCACTTCAAAAAAAACCCTCAGCTTTTTAAAAACATTGTATAACTTGATTCTCTTCTTTGTTGCAGGCATTTATTAATTTTTTAGTCACCCCCCCTTTTTTTTTATTAAATATTTTACTTTTTTATTTTCAGAGAGAGGGGAAGGGAAGGAGAAAGAGAGGGAGAGAAACATCAATGTGTGGTTGCCTCTCATGTGTCCTCCACTGGGAACTGGCCTGCAACCCAGGCATGTGTCCTGACTGGGAATCGAACCTTGATCGAATGGTTCACAGGCCTGCGCTCAATTAACTGAGCTACACCAGCCAGGGCTCCCCCCCTCTTTCTTGCAAAAGGTTTTAGTACTGAACATACAGATTTTCTGTCTGCCATCATTGTTAAGGACTGACCTGCGTATAGTTCATCCAAAGCCCTAATCTCTCAGTTCATCGATTTCCTCACTTTAATAATAAAGATATGCTTGCGATTATACCATAGATTCTAAGCTGAATAAGGAGAGAAGGAAATTGTGTAAGAGCAGTGGTGGCTAGTGAAAGTTGGTGTGGGCAAGAACTGAGAGTCCCAGTGAGGGCAGAGGATGTTGGATCAGGAAGCAACTGGAAAGATAGGAGTTGGTTGTTGGAAAGTGGAATACTTGAGATTTTTTTGTAGGTGGTAGGTACACTTTGTTTTCTTCATATACATGGTAATTGTCCCAACATCAGTTTTATCAGTTGATCTGTCCTTTTCCTACATTTAACGTACTAAATTTCCATATAAACATACATTCAAAGCTAGACTCTGTTAATAGTTTTTATTCCCATAACCAGTATGCTGTTTTAGCTCTTGGTGTATAGTGTATTTTGATATTTGGTAATTTCCCCATTCTAAAATTTTTTCTTGGCCATTCTTGAGTATACATGTTGTTCTGTTTTGCTTAAAATACATTTGTCAGGTTATAGTTTGAAATTGCATTGAGTTAATGATTAATTTTCACATTTTTTATGATATTGTATCTTCCGCTGTCTACCCAGGAAAATCAGTCAGTGTAGTTGTTTTCTAATGCAAACAAGACTTTCTTCCTTTTGCTGTTTTTAAAACTTTATTTTCTTGACATATTTCACTGTACAGAACCTCAGAAAAGTGTCAATAGACTGTTTTATTCTGATGGCAGAGCTTAATTGCTAAAGGAACAATTTTATTTTTAGGCTCTCAAACATTAGTGTTGAAAAGACTTCATGATTTGTTTTACATCTGTTATGATTTGTGCAACCTTTGGGAAGTGCCTCATCTCGCTCATCAGGCCTCTCTCAGAATTGTGCCGTGACTTAGGCTTGTCCGTCAGGAACGCGGTCTTCCTGTTGTCTGTCTGTACACTCGCGCACACAGTGCGGCTGTCCTTCCGCAGGTCTGCCCTTCATTCTTCAGGACATGACTTAGAGTTTCCTTCCTCAGTTAGTACTTTTTTGTCTTCCTTTCTTCCAGAGATTAAATTATAGTAAATGATCACTTACTTGAATGCTTTGGATATTAATAGTGTTTTATAGTTTAAGATAGCTGGTAGAGTGATAATATTTGCTGAGTTTGGATAGTCTGACTCCAAATTAGCCCAGGATTTTAATACAGATGTTATAGTGAGTTTGGTAAGAAACATATGAGTTTAAAAAGTGCTGTGTCTAGCCCTGGCTTGTGTGATTTAGTTGGTCGGAGTGTGTCCCATACACCAATAGGTTGGGGGTTCAATTCCCAGTCAAGGTACATACCTAGGTTGTGGGTACAATCCCCAGTTGGGGTGTGTATGCGAGGTAACCAGCTGATGGTTCTCTCTCACACTGATGTTTCTCTTCCCCTTTCTCCCTCTCTGAAGTCAATAGAAGTTTTTTTTAAGTGCTATGTTTATAAAAATATAAATAATAAAAAGAATATATATTTTATTGTACAGCTCAGCAAGAAATTTCCTTACATCTTATGTGGTAAAAAATAAGCGCACTGTTTGGTAAAACATTTTATTTAATAGCAGTCATGTGAATTGTTTAAAATGTATTAGCCATATTTTTATTGATGATAAATGTCTGATTTACCAAAAAATGGCATTAAAAACTCATTACATTAACAAGGCAAATCAATGCCTATTTCTTCATTTCTCACCTCAAGAATTAGAAATTTGTAAAACACTGATTTTATGTTGTAGAAAAGCATCATGTAGCCCTGGCCAACGTGGCTCAGTTGGAGCGCTGTCCCATCACCGAAAGGTTGTGGGTTCCATCCCCAGTCTGGACACACACGGGAGGCAGCCATCGATATTTCTTCCTCATATTGATGTCTCTTTTCCCCTGCCCCACATTCTCTCACTCCGTCTCTAAAAAAAAACAAATATTATGGAGTAATATGGGAAATTGCGTTCACTAAGAAATCTTTAATAATCTACAGGTAAGGGCATGTTAAATCATACTTAATAAGATGTATTATGACGGTCTAAGAACATCCAGGGAAAAGCTCTTACTATAGTTTTTCTTTAAATTTCTTTCATCTTATCCATCTTAAGTATTTTATGTTTATAGTAAATGAAGTTCATTTTGTGACAGTTACGCAGTTTCATGTCATTGAAATACCCTCTTTAATGCCATTTGTCTGTCTTCCCGGGTAGCAGTTCTTTTTCTTCCTGTCCATTCACGAGAGTGTAACCTATGCACATAAATTGGGGAACACAGTTAATTTACTATATTCATTGTAAGAGAAATTCAGCATACAGCCAGTATAATTGCTGAACATTGCAAAATGAAGTTAGCCTGTCCATTTAGCTTTACTAGAATTTAAGTGGCCAAATTTATCAGTAGCATTTCCTTTAACTCTTTTTTTTTTTTAGATTTTTATTTATTTATTTTTAGAGAGGGGGAAGAGCAGGAGAAAGAGAGGGAAAGAAACATCACTGTGTGGCTGCCTCTTACATGCCACAAACTGGGGACCTGGCCCACAACCCAGACATGTGCCCAGACTGGGAATCAAACCAGTGACTCTGGTTCACAGGCCTGCGCTCAATCCACTGAGCCGCACCGCACCAGCCAGGACTCTTTACTCTTTTTAAGTCCGCCGGGCCTCTAGGCCCCACTGGGTCTCTTGCTTTGGACCCCTTTTTAAACCTGCTGTCATGAGTTGAACTTCTCGTTTGACCCAAGTTTTTGTTTGTGATTTGGCAGCCAAGAAGGGATCTGAATCCTGACCTCATGGCTTAGTTAGCTGGGCGTCATCCAGCAAAGCAAAGGGTCACCGGTTTGATTCCTGGCAGAGCACGTCCCTGGCTTGTGGGTTCAGTCCCCAGTTGGGCAGCCGGTCAGTGTTTCTCTCTTGCATCGATGTTTCTCTCCCTTTCTCCCTCCCTTCCCTTCTCTTTAACATAAATAAATATTTTGAAAGAATAAGAAGGGAGCCGAAACCGAGCCTGTCTTTTCATTTCTGTCTGAATCTTTACTAATACTGTGGCTACTTCATGGCCACTTCTCTTACTACCTCAACTGGTGTTCAGCTTGTTTCTTCCGTCCAGGGCATTCTAGTGTCCTTTGCTTTCTTTTTCCTCTGGTTCGTAGCGTAGCTGTTGCTTTCTGTACTTTCCAGGGTACTGGCATACTCAGGGATTTTCCTGCCTTGAGCTCTCCTGGTGACCTCTGGCTCTGTGCTTCCTGATTCAGGTCTGTTGTTAGACTCCCTTGGACTCTGCCCTTACTGCATTCAGGTCCTTCCTTAGTTTTCCGAAAGCACATCCCACTGAAAGATCCTTTCTCCCTGCAGTCTTAGCATCTTCATTTCAGTAACTCCAAGCCAGTGATTCATAATGATCATTTTCATTTTAAAGCATTTTCTCTTTTCCCCAGTAAACAGTACTATTTTTTAGTGCATGGAGGTCTCTCAATGAAAGTCTGTAAAAGATTTTTAGTTTTTAATTTTAGAGAGCGTAAGGGAGGGAGAGAAACATTGATGTGCAAGAGATATATCAGTTGGTTGCCTCTAGTACGCTCCCAACTGGAGACCTGGCCCACAACTCTGGCATGTACCCTGACCGAGAATTGAACCGCAAACTCCTTGGATTGCAGGCTGGCACTCAATCCACTGAGCCACACTGGCCAGGGCTCAGCTACATTTTTAAATTTTATATGTGGAAAATGTCAAACATATACAAAATTTCAAACATACACAAAAGCAGAGTAGATGGAACCCTCATGTACCCAACACCATTATTAAAAGTTTGCCAGTCTTTTTTCATCAATTTTTCTTTTTCTTTTCTTTACGGATTATGTTTTGACTGAAAATTCTTTAGTCCATTTAGCATTCACACACATTCCTCTCTACCCTCAAAAATCATAGTTACTATTTGAGGGAGATCGTATTGTGAACATACGATCTTTTAAGTCCTCTCAGCAGATACATTCAAATAAGTTCTCACTTTCAAAATGAGTATTCATGCTATGTTTTGGTTTTTGCCAGAGTGGAGGAATAAATATGAGTGTCTGGGGTAGGGGACATACACTTCACGGCCTGTGTCTGCCAAGTAGCAATCAAGGGTTCTGATTCTAATACTGTGACCTTCATCTAATTACTTGAGTTTGTTGTGAAAGGAATGACATTGGCTTAAATGGTATAAATGCCTTAGCTCTAAGTATCCAGCAATTGAAAATTTGATGTAGGTTTGAGTTTATTTTTTTCTTTTATAATTTAGCATTTTAGCATAATGCAACATACTGATTTAGCTTCAAATGAAGAAATGTAAATGACTGTCAGAAGGATATGAATTTATTTCTAACTTATCCATTATGAGAAAACTTTTCCTCTGGAATGATTGCACATGGCTAATGTGTTAATATCTGCTTTTCCCTAGAGAGCCTCCTTTTCATCTGACCAGAAGAGGCTGGGGTGAATTTCCTGTCAGAGTTCAAGTTCACTTTAAGGACAGCCAGAACAAGCGGATAGATATCATACATAATCTGAAGGTATGGTAACAAAACATTGCTTGCTGGAAATGAAGTTTGTCTTCCACCTGATACTTGAAATAGTAGGTTAGGCCCTCTGAGAAAAGCAGACAGGCCAAGGATAGTGGAAACAGGATAAATCATTTTGAGTGTGCTGTGCTTACTGCTGTAACACCTTTGTCCTGCGAAGGTTGAGGGAGGGGCCGTTTTTACAATTGAATGTGCGTTCTTTAAAAAGGTGAACTGGACACTTGAATTTCTGACCAGAGCTCACTATAACTGTGTGTGTACCTGGGGCTAATCTTTTTTATTGTTTTAATCTACTTCCTTTTCTATAAAATGAGGCAAATACTTAAAGTCCTCAAATAACATTTTGTTCAATGTCACAACAATGAAATGTCATGGAGCGTAACTCTTGTGTATAGTAATTAGCTTCTAGTCTGTTTGCTTTCCTTCGTTGTATTGTGTTTCCCTTAAAGTCGAAGAACCTATCAACGATTTTAAGTGAGGGGTTACTGTAATAATCAAGTGTAACAAATATATTTATCTCCTAAGGGTAAAGATTGAAGTGACCATGTTTTAGAAAATATAAAATATTATACAAGGTTTTAATACTTTTGGTTTGTATTGTCAGAAATCCTTCACTGATATAATCACGTGATTTGTTATGCAGCTGTTACAAATTTTATTTTACAAAGTATTTTCTATGCCTGAGGAGAAATTGCCATTATATAGTAAGCAAAAAACACAGATTGTCAAGCTATATGTATAGTATGAGGTCCAACGTGATTTTAAAAAACACAATAGAAACATGGCAAAACGTTGGAGTACATAATTGAAGTAATGACATTGTGGGCTATTTCCCCTGCTCTTTTTCCCTGTGTTTTTTTTTTAAGTATTTTTCCAATTTTATATAATAAACATTTAACTTTTACAGTTAGAAAGGTTTTTTTAAAATATTTTATTTATTTATTTTTAGAGGGTAAGGAAAGGAGAGAGGGAGAGAAACATCAATGTATGGTTGCCTTTCACGCGTCCCCTGCTGGGAACTGGCCTGCAACCCAGGCATGTGCCCTGACTGGGAATCAAACCGTGATCCTCTGGTTTGCAGGCCCACACTCAATCCACTGAGCTACACCAGCCATGGCAGAAGACAGTTTTTTTAATGTTCATGTAGGTCCTCTCTGTAGTTGTCCTGTATACATTCCCTAAAGTTAAACTTCTTCCAAACACACACACACACACCCCACCCCCAACCCCCCCCCCACCCCCGCTGTGGCTTAGCACATTGTTCCTGTTAATGACTCCAGACTGAACTGAACGATCAGAGTACATCTGCAGAATTTCACTTTTGTTCCCTTTGCTCCACAGATGCACCTTTTCACCTTAGGGCGAAGTGAAATTTGCCCTCCACTGCTTTCTGCGCAGTCATTGTAAGGCCACACTGCTTCACTCCGTGTGCAGAGTGTTTTCTGGAGATTACTGTGAGACTGGACTGACTGGTGATCTCATAGGAAGACTCAGACCAAATAAAGAACATACACCCACTTTGTTCAGAGGGGCAAAATATGGTCCCACTTAGATGAATGAGGGTTTAATTAATTTCATACTTACCATCTAATATTGCACTGCACACAGCCCTTCTCTATAAAGTAAAGGAAGTTTTTTGCATAGTTTTCATACATATTTGAATTGTCCATATCACTCAGAGTTCCTGATGGAAGACTGAGACACAGTGTTTTAAAATGACATTTTTAAAACATTTCTTGTCAAGTGTTTGGAAAACTTAGATTTACTATTTATTACGCATAGATTGGCCTTGAGCCCTTCACACCTGCATTGTGATCGTGTGGTGTCTGTTTGGACTGGAGCATCATTTTTCTTGTTTTTTTCTGTGTTAACCCTCAGAGTCACTTTTTATTCTTCCCTCTTTGTTTTAAATACTCACTTGTAGACTGTTATTCTTTCTTCATAATCTTTCTTCTATTCTACCTTTTTCATGGTTTTTGTCCCCTCAGTTCATTCCTCACACCACCATCAGATTAGTCTTTCTAAACTAGGAGAACCGTTATGACATTTCTCTCTGAGAAACCTTGATTAAGATCCTGTTGTTCAAGTGATCCTGCCTGCTATTTGGGACTCTTCACATTTTGACTCAACTCACTTCCCCTAAATTATCTCCGGTGAATACCCTGCATGAGCATCCTGCTCCAGCCCCGTCAGTCCGTTCATGTGCTAGAAATGCCCTGGGCTGCCTTCTCCTGGAATGCCTGTTTGAATTCTTTCCATTCTCCAAGTTCCAATAACTTTCCTTGGCTAGTTAAGCCCATAGTGATTGATCTCTCTGTATCCTGAATTCTGTAGTACATACCAATCTATATTTGATACTGTAGTAGTTGTGTTAAATATTAAACTAGTCTAAGTATTTGAGTTATATAAAATTTAAAGTGCCCACAATGTATGAAATTGGCATATCCTGCAGCCCTGACAAGTGGTCATATAACGTGTTCTCAACCATCACCTTGGGGCACAGTAATTCCCAGCTAACCCATTTATGTATTTAGTAAATAAATGTTTGGAAGGGTCTTTCATAAACTGCCTTTAAAAAGTTGTGATCTCATTTTTTCAGAACAGGACTTTTGCTTTACACGAACCCTAAAGTTCAGTGACAGCATTCAGGACTCTCCTAAGTCCTTTCTTCTCCAGGCAAAACCTGCTCTTGTAACATTTCTTGTATGCTGTGCCTGAAACTAGAAATAGTTCCTCTTGCCATTTGATAACAGTTCTGTTTTTTTATCAGTGTTTCCCTTAAAATGTGGTCCCAAGAATGAAACAATGAAGTTTACAGAGAAGCTACTTTTATAAACTAGAAAATATGAAAATGATGTAGCCTAAAGTATTTTTGCATAGTTTTTGTAAACATCATCTAAAGCATAATACTTGACAAGATTTTAAATAAGATTTTATCTTAAGATGTATAAGTAAGCACAGTGAAACTTAACTTTCTTTTTGTCTTTAATAGCTGGATAGAACTTACACTGGCTTACAGACTCTTGGAGCAGAGACGGTAGGTTTTTTTTCCTACAGTATTTTTTGGGAACAAGTAGACTGAAAATTGATTTTCATATTTAGAAAAAAATGAGTGCTAAAATTTAAAAAATAGTTTATATCACCTTTTTGTCTGGTTTTTTAGATGTGGTAAAATACTCATAAAATTGACTATTTTTAAGCATTTTCCTCTGCCCCCAGCCCCTAGCAACCACCCTTCTACTTTCTGTCTATGAATTTGACTATTCTAGATACAATATAAGTGAATCATACAGTGTCGTTTGTTGTTTTTGTAACAGGCATATTTCACTTAGCATAATGTTCCCAGGGTTCATCCGTGTTGTAGCATGTGTCAGAATTTCCTTCCAGAAAAGCCTGAGTAATGTTCCATTGTATTACATACCATATTTTGTTTGTCCATTTATTTGTCAGAGAGCACTTGAGTGGCTTACATCTTTTGGCTTTGTGAATAATGCTGTTAAGAATGTGAGTCTGTTTGATTGAGTCCTTGATTTTAATTCTTGTGGATGGATAAATAGAAGTGAGATTGCTGGCTCATAGTGTATTCTGTTTTTAAATTTTTTTCATTGCTTTAAGAGAGAGAGGGAGGGGGGTGATGAGAAACATCAGTTTGCTGTTTCATTTATCTGTGCCCTGAATAGGGATCGAACCTGCAGATTTAGAGTATCAGGATGATGCTCTAACTGAGCTACCTAGCCAGGGCTGTTTTAAATTTTTTGAGGAACTGCCACACTGTTCTCCATAACAGCAGCCCCATTTTATATACAGTGTGTAGGGGTTCCAGTTCTCCAGCACTTGTCATTTTATATCTTTTTGATTGCAGCTTATTTTAGTGGGTATGCAATGGTATTTCATTGTGAGTTTGGTTTGCATTTCCCTAATGTTAATCGATGTTGAGCATCTTTTCATGGGTTTATTGGTCTTTTGTATAGCTTTGGAGATATGTCTTCAAAGCCTTTACCCATCTTTGAATCAGGTTGTTTGGTTTTTCGTTGTTGAGTTTTAGTTCTTTCTATATTCTTGACATTAGTCTCTTATCAAATATATGATTTACAAATATTTTCTCCCATTTGGGGTTACCTTTTCTCTCTGTTGATTGTGTTCTTTGATGCACAAAAGGTTTTGGGGGGGGTTATTTATTTATTTTAAGAGAGAGGAGAAGGGAGGGAAAAATCTGAGAGGGAGAGAAACATCAACGTGTGGTTGCCTCTCATGTGGCCCCAACTGGGGACCTGGCCTGCAACCAGGCATGTGCCCTGAGTGGGAATTGAACCAGCAACCCTTTGGTTCATAGGCTGCACTCAATCCACTGAGCTACATCAGCCAGGGCAAAAGTTTTTAGTTTTGACATGGTTCACTTTATCTATTTTTTCTTTTGTTGCCTGTTTTTTTGTGTGTAATTTCCAGGAAATCATTCCAAATCCAGTGTTACAAAGCTTTGCCCCTGTATTCTTCTAAGAGTTTTATTATTTTAGGTCTTATCTTTTGGTCTTTGGTCCATTTTGAATTAATTTTTGTATATGGTGTAAGGTAAAGCTCCACCTTCATGCTGATGCATGTGGATCTACAACTTCCTCAGCACCATTTTGCTGAGAGATTGTCCTCACATTGAGTGGTCTTGGCATCCTTGTCAAAAATCATTTGACCATATACGTGAGGTGCACATGTCTTTGTTTATGCTAGTGCCACACTTGGCAGTTGCTGTAGCTTTGTAATTTTAGGTTTTGAAATCAGAAGATGTGAGACCTCCAACTTTGTTTGTTCTTCTTCTTACCACCTCCCCCACTTTTTTGGTACTCATGATATATCACCAGTAGCCATTATAATTAGCTAGTTACACTTTACTCTCTTTAGGGAAATGTGCTGTTATGTCAGAAGATATTTATTGAGCACGTGCTGTATGCTAGGCACTGGTCCAGTTCCTGAGCATGCAGATTTCTACACAGATAGCTGCTGTTCCCAAGAAGTTCCATTCTTGGTTCTGTTGAGCACAGGAGAAGGTGTACAGTAAGCATAAAAGCAAATAAGGTTTCACTTACCAGTATGTGCAATAGAGAATAGCAGGGGAACAAGAGTCTTGCTTTACTTAGGTTGGTCAGGGAAGGTCTGAAAAGACAACATTTGATTGAGACCTAATGGTGAGAAAGAAGCAGATGTGCAGAGATTTGGGGGATGAGTGTGCTAAGGCATTGAAACAAATGGAAAGACCCCAATTTTATGATTGGTTTTACTCAATTATCTATAAAGCCAGAATAGTTTATATTCTGGGGTCGTTCTTTAGTTCTTGAGATTGAAATTGCCTTTCAAGTATTACTAGAAATCCTCTGTCATATCTTTTAGAGTACCACATTCTTAGAAGGCTTGGGGCTTTCTGGCCACTGATGATGAATTCACGAGCTCAGTTACTGCCCGGTTTTGTAGGTAGTGGACGTGGAGCTGCACCGGCACTCCCTCGGAGAAGACTCCACTTACCCTCAGTCCTCCGAGTCGGATGCCTCTGATGCACCACCATCTTTGCCTTTGACCATTCCAGCCCCAGTGAAGGCTTCCTCGCCAATAAAGCAGTCTCGTGAGCCAGGACCTGATACCTCTGTGGAGAAAGGTAATATGTTTTCCCTTGTGTGGAAATGTATGTGTTCCTTATGTGGAGGACTCACTCTGGGGCATTCCTTTCTCTCATTTTGCATAATATTGAACTGATGCCTTCAGAGACTTGGAGTGTATGGAGGTTTTCCCTAAGCGGGCGTGCTGCCTCTGCTGCACACTTCTGCCGTGAAAGTGCCTAGGTGCTCACTCACCTCAGAAAGTAGTTTCATTAAGTTCTTCTAATGTTTTGTAGAACACAACACTCACTAAAAAGCACTACATTTTTTAAAAAGAAGTCACTTTGATTTTCTGTGGCCATATTGCTATTTTTGTAGATTCAACAAAAAACTATATTCCTTCTCTCCAGGACATACTTGAGTAAATCAGTGTTATAAATTAGACTGTTCCACAAATCTTATTCAGTATGACAAATCATTAATTAAGGAATAGGTACTACTCTTCCCACATGAGAAAACAGAACAAAACATCAATTTAATGGTAGTGAATTGGAAAAATCAATTAGCAAACCTGTGTGCACATTAGAGAAGGAGACTCGAACACAAGTCTCGGGTGCAGCTAAGCAGAGAGAATCAAAACCTCTTCCTAAATAACTAAATAAAATTATTTTTTAAAAAAAAAACAAAAACCTCTTCCATGCGAGATGCACTGGCAGGCAGCAGGTCACCCTGCCGTCACCTCCTCACCATTGTAAACGAACTCGCAAACATTCCCTGTACAGTTGGATGGTTGCCTAACAAAAACTTCAGTCCTGATTTTGCAGTATTAATGTTGGGTTTTACAGCACAGACTTTGTAAAACCAGTTTCTCTTGTCAAGTGCCTTTGTGCCTTGGGGCTTCTTTTTACAACAGGCAACTCAGAGAAGCAAGGCTTATCCAAGTCCATAAGGTTGGGGCATATCATTAAACTGACTTTCTGCTCTAGTTTGGGTTTGTAGGTTTGTCTTACCGGAGAAGAACAGAAGAATGTGGATATTTTAACAACCATATTAGAGAGGAGATAGGCATTAAAAATACAACAAAGATGAGGGGAAAGACCCGTTTTTACCATAATAAAGACTTTTCAATCCAGTTTAGGGAACTATCATAATTAATACCAAGCAGATAAAGGCAGTTGCATTTTTAAGTTGCACCAGTCTTTTTCATTAGAGGGAAGACTACTTCTCATTTGTCGTGGCACGGAGAAATTATAAACAGCCGTCTGAGGACAGCGCTGTGTCGCAACCGTGTCCAGCACTGTCGCTGCTGTGCAGAGCGTAACGTCTCTGCCACTGTCGTTGCACTCGAATCTTTTAGTAAATGTAGTAAATTCCAACTAATTCCAGCTAATTCAGTGAGTTGCCGTTCTTTATAGTGGTAGGTTTTAATTAAAGATACGTGTGTTTTAAGCTATTTTATGTATAGTAAATACAGAAATATATTGAATTTTGACATTTTTAGGTGGAAGAAAATTATATATTTTTTCTGGAATTAAAAAGCATTAATTTTTATCCTTTGACAACTGCAGTAGTTTCTCCTAGTAAGTTACAAGAGACTTTTCAGGTCTGATTCCCGATTGTGTGAACTTAAATATTAAATACCTTATTTAAAATGTAAGATTCAGCATCAACAAATGTTTAAGTATTTAAGTGTTCACTTATATAACTTACATGTAAGAAATAAAATTGATTCTAAGTGGTATTAGTTTAGTCTCTTAGACTGTATTTTCATGTGATATTAATATTTTAGTTTATACATAAAATCTCAACTTTATTCCTCTTTAAATTTTAGTTGCATATTTTTTAAAAATATTTTATTTATTTATTTTTAGAGAGAGGGGAAGGGAAAGAGAAAGAGTGGGAGAGAAAGATCAATGTGTGGTTGCCTCTCATGGGGCCCCTACTGGGGACCTGGCCTGCAACCCAGGCACCAGCCAGTGCACACCAGTTTTTTATCATTCTATTCTAAGCAAAAGCAAAGTACAATTATTTATTTTTAGAGAGAGGAGAAGGGAGGGAAGAAGAGAGCGAGAAACATCAATGTGTGGTTGCCTCTCATGGGGCCCCTACTGGGGACCTGGCCTGCAACCCAGACATATGTCCTGACCAGGAATCGAACCAGCGACCTTTTGCTTTACAGACCCACGCTCAGTCCACTGAGCTACACCAGCCAGGGCAAATTTTAGTTACATCTTTATGGGCATTTAATAAGATATGATATCATTAGATTAAGTGAATTTTTTTGAGTTTTCCTCTTTAATATAAACAGTTTTCGATTTATATATAAAAAGTTGGGAAAACATCATGAATTCATCTACTTTTTAAAAATATTTTATTTATTTATTTATTTATTTATTTATTTATTTCTAGACAGAGGGGAAGGAAGGGTGGGAGAAAGAGAGGGAGAGAAGCATCAGTGTGCGGTTGTCTCCCATGCCACCCCCACCAGGGACCCAGCCCACAACCCAGGCATGTGTCCCGACTGGGAATTGAACCGGCGACCCTTTGATTCCCAGGCCAGCATTCAATCCACTGAGGCACAATAGCCAGGGCTATTTTAGATTGTTTAAGATTTATAGTTAATATGTTTTCTAGTTTTTCTAAAGAAGCATTTTACACATATTCTATGCATATTTACATTTGTTAAAAAATAATACAACAGGCCTCACATGGGGTCACTTACACCAAGCCTCATGTCACCAAACTGAAACCGAATTACATTTTCGGCCTCTCCCAGAAATGGAATCTTAAAGCAGTGAGTCAGGAATCCCCAAGTCTGCACTGGGTAGGTAGGTAGTCTGCCTGATAGGCCCCTGCCATCCGCTAAGGAAGGTCACCTCACCACAGTCAATTTGCTTTTTACTCCTCCAGCTGCCTCGTTCCTGCCCCCTTCTGCCTCTGAAAGGCTTTCATTTTGTACGGCTTCTGGAGCCCCTTTCCCTCTGCTAGATTGGATGCTGCTTTATCCATGAATTGTTGAACATACTTCATCTCAAAATGTATAATGAAATAATAGATAACCACAAAGTATATTTATTTTACTGCTAGTAAATGGCTTAACTGCTTGCTGAAATGATGGAAGATTTTTATTGTTTCATTTTCTCACAAAGGTAAGGCTTTATTATTTCAAAGTGATTAATGATTTATCATTTGCCTGTTTCATTTCAAGCAGGATTCCCAGCCAATACTGAAACTGAGAGACACACTACATTTTATTCTTTGCCATCTTCATTGGAACGAACACCCACCAAAATGACAACATCCCAGAAGGTTATGTTTTGTTCTCATGGCAATTCAGCTTTTCAGCCAATAGCATCAAGCTGCAAAATCGTGCCACCGAGTCAGGCTCCTAATCCTGAGTCACCTGGGAAATCCTTCCAGCCCATCACCATGAGCTGCAAGATTGTTTCAGGTACACAGATGATGTGTGTAAAGTCGATGCGTGTAAAATTGTTGGAATGATAAAACAAAGTACTGTGAACCCTGGCTGGTGTAGCTCAGTGGATTGAGCACGGGCCTGCAAACTATAGGATCGAGGTTAGATTCCCAGTCAGGGCACATGCCTGGGTTGCAGGCCAGTTCCTTGCAGGACAGTTCCCAGCAGGGGACTCACGAGAGGCAACCATACACTGATGTTTCTCTCCCTCCCTCTCTCCTTCCCCTCTAAGCATAAATAAATAAATAAATAAATAAATAAATAAATAAATAAATAAATAAAATGTTTTTTTTTTTTTTTAAAAGAACACCTTGATATTAAAAAAAAACAAAGTACTGTGGTTTTAAAAAATTTTTTTTAGTTCTACTAAGCTGGGTTTTTGTTTATTTAACAAGTAATCACTTTTGATTAGCAAAGCAAAGCAAAGATGCCACAAAGCAAAAACAAAAGTCGTCTGTATGGAAACAACTTTAGAGATGAGGCAAGAAGTGAAACTCAAAGAAGTCAAATTTTCATCTCCAAGAATCAGCACAGGAAAATGTTCTCTAGGATTATGGTTGAATTTGAAGTGGGAGTTACATTTTGGGGATTATATAAGGATACCAGAGCTACTAGAAAACATGTAGAAGCCTTTCAGTGTGCAGTTGAAATATCTTTTATACTCTCTAACCACATGAGAAAAATTATTTATTCCTATTATCAGTAGGTAGTTCTGAGCCTTCATTTTCGACAAGGTTGAATTACTCATTGCCTGAAGGCAATTTCACATTTATGTTGGATAAACTTTTAGTGGGAATATACTTTATGGTTTTGACTCTACCAACTCAGAAAAGACATGAAAGGGAGTCATAAAAATATTTAGGCCCTGGGAGGCTTTTGTATGGTACTTCATGAAGGGGGGCAGGAATGGTCTTTGTTAAAAATCGAAAATTAAGTGGAAGTATGATCCAAGGCTTTGAGATTGATGAGAACTAAAGAATGCATCATTTTACCTACCAGTTAGAAGCACTTTGGAACTTGCTCATTCAGAGGTGGAAGAGGCTGAATGTATAAATTGGTTTGAAGTTTAGAGAAATTTGTGGGTGACAAATTTAGTCAGTAAAATACAACAGAGGGTGTTTGTACATTGGGAACCCGGAGCATGTTCTGGAACATGACTGTCTGGATTGTGGCTGTCACATAGTGCTAACGGAAACTCACTTGGAGTGAGTGACTTTCCTAGTTTCCTGTTGGAAATTAATTGCAAATCAATACTCCTGGTTCCTAAGGAAAACTGTTCACTTAACTAATTTCCTTACTAATTTTAGCATCTTCGGGTATAGCCAGTATCATAACAACCTGCCAACGATGATAAGAGATTTATCATCTAGAGATTCAGCAGTTTCACACTTATATAAAGCACGGCTTATTGAACTTTAACGTGCCTTCGGGGGAACTTGTTAAAATACAGATTTATATTTGGCAGTTCTGGGGTAGGGCCTGAGAGTCTGTTTCTAACAAGCTCCCCATTGATGCTGGTGCTCATGGTGCTGTCCCACGGATAAGGCTGCAGAGGGCGAAACACACTGATCCCCGGCCTCCGCCTGCTGCTGCTGAGTACCTGACGCATACAGTCGTGTTTGCTTTCCCAGTTTGTCACCTCTGTCCTGGCAGTCCTGCCCTTCTTTCTTTATCTTCCAGCATCTTCTTATATGGATTGAATATATCTATTTTGCTTAGTGTATTTTTCTCTTTTTGATTAATAAAGGTTCCCCTATATCAACACCAAGTCCGTCACCATTGCCTCGAACCCCAACTTCCACTCCAGTCCATGTGAAGCAAGGTGCTGCCAGCTCTGTTATTAGCAATCCTTACGTTATCGTGGACAAGCCAGGGCAGGTGCTTGGAGCCGCCACTCCCACTGCAGGTGTGTGTGTGACCGCTACTTACACGATCCGAAGATTGGGTCTTTTTAAAGATGAAATTCTAGCGTGACTTAGTAGCCATTTAATGGGAGATTGAAATCTTTATCCATGAACAGAAGGGAATATATAAGAGTAACACCAGTGCTATTTCTGAGAGAAGATGTACTCTTTGTAAAAGTTTTGTTTTAGTAGTTTACTTAAGATTTCTTTTTAGTTTCTAAAGATTAAAAGTAAGCCATAATTAATTTTCAAAAAAAAAATTGATTTTATTTCATTTGGAAGACATTCATTCTTTTCGTGCCTGCAAGCAGTGTGGTTACTAACTTTTTCAAAGTAAGCTTTAGTACAAGAATAATTTTGTGAGCCCTGTATATTTCACCCCAAGTTAAAAAGCCATCTTTACTTTTCTGTGAATACGATGATTTTTACGTGTGGGAGGAAAAGTGTACCCCACCATTATAAACAGAAAACGCTGATGGGAAGAGTAAAAAACGGCTGTGGACTTACCATGTTGGTCACCATCAGCTCATGTGACTACAGACTGCATTTCAGCGTTGTTTTAAAAGTACTTGCACTAACATTTTACTTACTCCTTTCAATTAAACTACTTAAACATGTGCTCCTAAGTGTAAACTTTACTGTAGTTTTCACTTCTAATTAAGAGAAATTAGGAGAGAGGCCTGTGACATAATGAAACTTTTTCCCCAAAATATTTTAACACACATGAAAGTGTCAGGCCATTCCGAGTAGAGGTTGTTTGTTAGTTTGTTTGTTTTGGTTTTGATTTTTTTAGAAAAGTTGGTTCTTTTAACAGTTACGGCGATTGTGGAACTCTTTTAAAAATAAATGCTGCTTTCCGCCCGGCTGGTGTAGCTCAGTGGGTTGAGTCCAGAATCAAAGGGCTGCTGGTTTGATTCCTACTCAGGGCACATGTGTGGGGTACAGGCTAGGTCCCCAGTGGGGGGCTGTGCAAGAGCAACCACACATTGATGTTCTCTCTCTCTCCCTCCTTCTTCCTCTCTCTAAAAATAATAAATAAAATCTTTAAAAATAAATAAATAAATGCTACTTTCAGAAATTACCAAATAACCTTTTGAATGTGTATGTAGGGATGCTAACTAGGTGTCCTGTGAGGATGTTTAGTTTGGCAATCAGCCAGACGTCTTTGCAGACAAGTTTGTAAATGGGTAGATGATCAGATACCATTTTTGGTCATTTTTTGACTGTAGATAATGGGACTTATTTTTATCAGACCCTGATGGTAGTTGCACAGATGGAGTATACAATGCGAAACGTTGGAGGTATTTTCAAAGAGGTATAACCTTCTGGTTACTACTTAGAAGGAGCTAGAATGTACTTGAACGCACACAGTTTGGCACATTGTTAAACAACCAATACCACTCTTCTAGTGTTATCTTTTTATATAAGTAACAGAGCATGTATATGTAAGTGTACTTATTTTACTTGTTATTCTACACTCCCTTGCTAGCTTCTGTCCCTTTTCAGGTTAGTGAAGTGGTCAGCTTTGTAGGATGAATCCTTGTATTTTTTCTATAACAGCTTCAGGGTTGTAAGTTTTCAGCCCTTAAAAATGAAAAATAAATAGTGGGGAAAAGGAGAGGATGGTAGAAAATGCTTTAAAATTTCATTTTGCAATTTATACTTCACTTTTACATCTGCCTTGTTCACAGGAAGTCCTACCAACAAGCTCTCCGCTGCCTCTCAGGCCTCCCAGGAAACAGGTTCCCCTGTTCCTAAAATTCATGGAAGTAGCTTCGTAACTTCTACTGTCAAGGTAACACTCTATTACATTATTGCATTTTGCTAGTTTTAAAGACAGTGTCTTTCAGTTCAACAATAGTTTGTCAGTTGATACTGCAAATTATGTGAAGTAGAACCTTTCGGTGTCATGCTCATTTTCACCAGGGGCCACATCAGTGTTGTGGTTGCCTTCAAAGGGCCGAATGTAATTTTAGGACTGTATGAATGTAACTACTCCATAACAATTAAGCTAGAGCTCAGTGCTGCCACTGGGTAGAAACAAGGTGTCAGGCCAGATTCTGCCGCAGGCTTGTGTTTGCCACCTGTGCTTTAGGCTAATAAGTAATGAGTATCTTAAAGATCATCTTACTCCAGAGTTCTATACCTTACCTTGATCTTTTCCTAGTGTAGAAAATGTTTCTCCCCCTGACTGGTGTGGCTCACTTGGTTGGGTGTCATCCCACGAAGTGAAAGGTCGCTGGTTCAGTTCTTGGGCAGAGCACATGCCTAGGTTGTGGATTCCATCTAAGTTGGAACACATACAAAAGGCAATCAATCCACGTTTCTCCCTCTCCCCCCTCCCTCTCCCTCCCTCTCCCCCTCCCTCCCTCTCCCCCTCCCTCCCTCTCCCCCTCCCCCTCCCTCCCTCTCCCCCTCCCTCTCCTCCCTCACCCCCTCCTCTCCCTCTCCCTCCCCCTCCCCATCTTCTTCTCCCTCTCTTTCTAAAAAAATAAATAAAATCTTTATGTAAGAAGGAAGGAAGGAAGAAAAAGAAACTATTTCTCAATGCTTCTTTCTATTGGTTACTCAGTATCTATTTGAAAACTTACCTGATGAGGCTGCCTATTTTTATGGGGGTGGGGGTGTGGAGGGAGCAGCTTTTTAATATATTTTTCCTTATAAAAATATTCATCTGACAAATACCTTTTTCCTATATTTTTACCAACAAGGAGTAAATATATTTCCTTATTTTTCCATATGTCAGTCATTTAGTTACTTAAAAATAATTCTTCTATCCACTTTGGTTTTCATTTTTCAGAGTAATAAGTCCTTTGAAATTTGGACCTGACTTGTTCAGATCAAAGTGCTAGATATACGCTCACTGTTTAGCAAAGACAATACTTACTCTTTGGTTAGTCATTCAGCTTATTGATCATTCTCGGGACTGCCTTAATGCCAGGCCTTTTGAGGTATAAACTCCTGTAGGAGAGTTCCTAAGAACTCAAATATTATTTCTCCCATGACGGGTGCAAACATAGCATTTCTTAGGCACTTAATGATGATGATACAGGCGAATTTTGTCTCTGAATTCAGTGTAGTCTGTGAGCATTATGTTACACAGATTCCTGAATTGAAATAATTTCCATTAAAGTCTTAATTCTTTGCCAGTCTGCTTTTTAATATTTGTTGATGATCTCTTCATTACACAGTGAGGCAGTGTTCTTAACTTTGTTTCTTTCCCTTAACATTTATTTATGACAAATTACCTCTGAGATTTACATTTTGTATTTGAGAATTAAAGACAAATGACACTGTTTTGGATGTTGACTTTTGTTGTCTTTGCATGTGCTAATTGAGTTCTTTTGGTCATTTTGTGTTTTAAATGCTTATTGAAAAATTTCCCCATGCCCCGGGTATTTCTTCTGTGTACAGATAACAAATCAAGTTGTGAGTACTCTGAAACACTGAAGCACTCTAACTGCTCGTCTCATTCATTTATTTATTTAGTACATAGGCTCTAGGGATAGAAAAGAAATCAATTTGGCAGGAGACTGGAATTGCAAACCAGCAAGTGAACTAAACCTTAGGGGTGGTGTGATAGGAGCCTCCCAGCGTATGGGGCACAGAGGAGTGGGTTTCTGCCAGGTTACCTTGGCGTTTCCTGCCAAGCCTTTTTTTGCATTTGTTTGATATAAAAATGCTGGTATAGAAGACCCCAAAGAGGTTTGGGCTTTTAGTTTTGGTTTGGTTTTTGGTTTATGGTGCTAGAGAATGTAACATACTTGTATTAAAGATAAGTGACTATAGAGTATGTGAAATCACGCATTTTATCCTAATTGTACAATATGTATTTTTACATTCACAGCAGGAAGATTCTTTGTTTGCATCTATGCCACCTCTTTGCCCAATTGGGAGTCACCCTAAGGTTCAAAGCCCCAAACCCATAACTGGAGGACTTGGAGCTTTTACAAAAGTGAGTGTTTCTTAGGGGATTATCCTACAAGTCATAAGGTCTTGTTACGTGGTCTTTTTTGCGGCGTGTTGGCGTGGACGGACGCTGCCCCGCAACAGGTAACTCACTGGTCTGTCTCAGTTCTAAGACCAGGTCCTACTTCGGAGATGTGCTTCCACTCATTCAGTGGTGTCCACAGGACAGCCTTGGGGCCCAGCAACACGGGAGCTTCAGAGAGCACAGTATGTTTCTCTGCTGCCTGTCACCAGTATCTAAAACAGATGACTGGGCTCAGTTTGCAAATGCAGAGGATCAAGTCCAGACCCTACTGTGGTCCCTTTAGTAGCTGTTGTGGGTCACCTTGAAGCAGTATTTTTACCTTTCTGGTGGAGTCATTCTTCACAGACCAAGCTTCATTAATTCATTAATTCCTACAACAAACAGAATAGATTCAGATATTAGTAGCTTTTGTCTTGGGATATTTATTCAGTATCATTATCATGTTTGTTGCAAGGTAATCATCAAACAGGAACCTGGTGAAGCCTCTCACGTGCCCACAACAGGAGCAGCCAGCCAGTCACCACTCCCTCAGTATGTGACTGTGAAAGGGGGTCACATGATAGCTGTGTCCCCTCAAAAACAGGTCATAACTGCTGGAGAAGGGACTGCCCAGTCACCAAAGATTCAGCCCTCCAAGGTTTGTGTTGGGTAGGGATGGGGAGGTCAACAGGTAAATGACCGTTATTTGCCTAAATAATTAACAAGTGCTGGCAAGGTAAAGGGTGACGAGGTTGCAGTCCCGGAAACCCCTGTAGGTGACAGCCCATTGGGAAAGCACATCAGTTGCTGTGCGCTCCTCCTGCTCTTCCGGTAATCCTTGACAAGAGCAGGGGCATGCACAGTGCGACGGGGGCTCCAGGCACAGAGGCAAAGGGACACTACGTTACCTCTATGGCAGCGAAGGTGATTGACTTCACGAACACAGCTTCCCACCGATACGTTCCGAAATGGGTAACTGACAGCACCAAGGTCTTACATGCGGTTTACTTTTTTGTTTCTGGTAGGAGGGTACTGTCGTGTTACCTCTGATGTCCAGGCTCTGTGATCTGTGCAGTGATGGTTGGCTCTTTGGAGAGTTTCTTTTCTGTATAATTCGGAAGTGTGGGGAATTAAGGTGTTGGGAGAGCAGTAAATTACACACAGATTCATGTTTTCCTACAACTAGTGACAGAGGATTTGAACCCATGCCTGCTGATTCCAAGACTCCTCATCCCAGAGCTAATTAAAATGTGTGCCATCGTCTGTACTTAAACATGCCGTTAGAACATTCGAAGTTAAATAATCCGACTTAGGGGGCAGATATATTCTAAAGCTGTTAAGAACATTATGTGAAGTATTTGTTTTTCAACTTGAGACCCAGCCTATCTAGGGAGAGTTCATTGTTTTTAGGGGAAAACTTTACAACACACAAAGATTTTATATTGCTTAGTCTAGATAGCTACATGAGGATCAAAGTGAAAATTTACGGTGTCATATAGGTGGTCCTAGAATGTGTAAGGGTCCGTTCCTTTCCCCAGTGTGTCTGGTCATAAGAATCACTTGGCGACTAAAAACACATAGAGATACCCAGGTTCCTGTCTCAGACTTACTGAATCAGATCATCTTGGGGGTTTGGGGGTCTGGATGTTTAAAAAGCTCCCCTACTTAAACTCGTATGATCAGGCACATTCAGGAACCATGGAGCTCCAGCACCAGTTCAACTTGGCGGCTTACACGGCCAGAACCACTAAGATGGCTGCCCCAGCGGCTTGCTGATGCGCCTGCTGTGGTTTTGACCAGGGGCAAGTGTTTTGTTAGTGTCTGGTAGTGAGTGAGTTACTGTCATCTGGACTTCCTACTCAGACACTTTGTGTATGTTCATCAGAATCTCTTTTACTTCACTTCGAGATATATGGTACTACCGATTTTGGTTTTTGAGTTAATACAGCATTGCTATTTATGCTCAGACGCTCTAAATAAGTTAGTTTCCACTTTGCGCTGCTTTGCATGTTGCAAATCCACTCATCCAGTGGTGCAGGAGAACTGGATTGGCTTTCTTGTCCCGTTGCCGCACACCCAATGGCAAGGAGGACTGAGAGGAAGTAGATGGGTTTGCACTAGAATGCCCTGAATAAAGTTTAAGGGCACTAAAAAGAAAAGCTACAGAAGAATATGAGAGAACTGCAAAGAAGCACTAGGGCATGAGAAGACGTCACCGTTTATCCAGGAAATTTAATTCATGCTTTGGACTCAAGATACGGAGCTCTCTGCACGACCAGGCAGTCCCTGCTTATTGATGAAGTACATTCCTAGAAACTGCTGGAAACCAGAAAGGATGAACAAGATGGGACTGTTTTACTTTCCATACAACTTTGGCACAGTATAAACACAGCTTATTTTCTTCATGAAAGTAGAGAGGGGCTCAACTTTTGACCTGAAAAGAGATAGGGATCAGTGGGTTCATGTGGGAAAGCAGGCAGTATGTACAGTAAAAAGAGTATTCAGACTAGAAAAAATAGAGCTTCAGACTAGAGCTTGTTAGAAATCTCAGATCTCAACCGGTGATTACTGGTGTGGCCTGGGCAGGTTTATCTCTGGGAAAATATCTTCTGTCTTTCAGTTGTAGATTAGAGATCATCACACGGGAGGGACCTAGCACAGAGCAGGTACTAATGCAGATGACTGGGGACAGGCCTGCTGTACGCATGCACGAGTGCCATGGTAACAGCAGTTATCACTGAGCACTAAATCGTAATTGGCTGTGATGTTCAGTGTCTGGAAGGAAAGTCACATGTACAGAATCCTCACCTTCCTGTCACTGAAGTGAATTCTGACCTACAAGTATCTGTAAAGGGCGCAGGAAGGGCATAAGTAGAAACATTGAATCAAAGCATGAATCTAAGTGACGTGTTTATAACAATACAAAAGGAAGGGTGCCTGCTTTGTAAAACTAGAAGGAAATTAGGAGTACAGAGAAGGTTCTAGGCCAAAAGGTTATAGTGTTTGAAAGAAAAGCAAAACTAATTTAGGGTTGTAGTTTCTACTGAAGAGCCTTCCTTGTGTCCATAGACAGCTGTGTGTCGGGTTCCCCCAGAAGAAGGCCCAACTTCCTCATTCTCTAGTTTTTAGAATGAAGGAGGAGCTGTTAATCTTGCCAGTGCTGTGTTCTTAGTGGATAAGCTTTGCTAGTAAAAACTGCCCTCCCGTGGCCAACCTAGGATACCACGTTTTATTTGACTCTTGGAGAGATTGTGTCATATCCTGGAAATTTTGAAGCAGTTAGTGTGGCGATAGAGTTTGGCGTAGGGAGAGAAAAGCAAGTCAGATGCATGGAATTTGGGGAAAGTAAGTAAAATAGGTTCAATATGTATGTATTATTTTGTAAGAAATTGGCTCTCTTTAGGAACACAAAATAGATTGTGTGTAATTGAGCTTATGCAATAGGCAAATTTGCTATATTTAGGATATGTGAAGACTTGTCCTAGAAAAATGTTCACTTGCTGTAACCAAGATATCCAAAACCAGAAGCTTAAGTAAGTTTATTTCTTTCATACATAAAAGACCAGTAGGCAGTTCTGGTGTGTTGATCCCACAATCATGAAGAATCTAGATTCCTATTTAGTTGCTTTGTCATTCTCAAAATTTGATTTTCACCTTGTGGGCTAAGATAGCTGCTTCCATCTCATGCTGCCATCTTCGTATTTCTGGCCAAGAGGAAGAGAGAAGGGGAACCGGAGAGAGGAGGCACAGCCAGAAAGTTGCACTCATCCCTTCTGTTCACGTGCCTTGAGCCAGAAATCAGCTGTGACCAGACCTACTTGTGCAGGGGCCGGAAAACATAGGCAGTGTTGTAAGTGGCCATGTCCCTAACCTGACAACTCGGGGCTCTGTTTCTGTGAGACAGAAGCAAAGTATGAAGTTGAGGTTCAACTGGAAATTTCTGCTATACACCGAAGATGTTTTTCTGTTACTAAGAAACTCTTTTAAGTGAATGCACAGAAAACTTCCTGATTATGAAGAAGAGTTTTTGTGTCTCCACATCTCTGGGGGGTGACCCTCCCCGTTCGGCAGCCACAGGAACACTGTGTTGTCTGCAGAGTGAGGCCCACACAGTCAGAATGAAGCGGTTTGCAGGGTCCTCGGGAATTGTTTTAATGACACAAGACGGCTAGGGGAATTCTCTTCTCCGTTCCAGGTCAGCTTGCTTCTTTAAAATTTGTTCTTTCATTCTCTTGTTTCTTCTTTCTTTCCCTCCCTCCTTTCTTAAACTTAGATAAAAAGGGGGAGACTATTGTATACAATAAACGACTCCCATGTACCCAGTATGTAGTTTCAGCAATTATCAGCATTTTGCTAATCTTATTTCTCTTCCTAGAATATTTTAAAGCAGAGATCAGATGGTACATACTTTAATTTCTGTATGACGAACAATCTAGGGTTTAGGATCAAGGTCCAGTGCCCTGGGCAGATGCTGAACACAGTGACAAATACCCCTCAGCACTCTCTCTGTATCTGCTGAGTATCCAAGTAGTTGTGTAGATTACCATTCTTCAGGTTATAGTGTTATGGTCAGCAGCAGCGATCATTTACTGTGTATTTCCTGTTGGCTTGCATTTTATAAACTTACTCTTTTATGCCTCATAATCTTACGAGATAAATATTATTGATGAGATGTCTAAAGCTAAAGCTCAAGTTAACAAGTTAAATAACTTACCAGCTACTATCTGAAGAAACAAAACTGGGAACCAGGTCTGACTGCTTAGAAACACCTGTGTTCTCTCTTTTGTGTTATTCTGTAGTTTATGTAGGCGACTGGGGACATTTCCTTGACATCAGCCTATTATCCAAGTACATGGCAAGTGTATTTCTCTACATTCACATTCCTTGAAAAGAAACATATACAATTTACTAATTATTTAACGTAAAATTCTCATTTATCAGCTGTATGTGGCTGATCATCTTTTCCATCTATTTAGTAATCCTATTATTTTTTAATTTATAAAGATTCTAAAAAAATAAGCCCTGGCTGGTGTGGCTCAGTGGACTGAGTGTTGGACTGTGGACCAAAGGGTCTCTGGTTCGATTCCCAGTCAGGGCACATGCCTGGGTTGTAGGCCAGGTCCCCAGTGGTTGGACACACCAGAGGCAACCACGCATTAATATTTCTCTCCTCTTTCTCTCTCCTTTCCCCTCTAAAAATAAATAAAATCTTTTTTTTTAAAAAGATTCTAAAATTTCAGTAAAATACAGAGAATAATCAGTACTAATGTAATGAATACTATCCCTGAATTAGTGTTACTATTTAATTTAAATCATTTCTTCTCTAAATAAAACATGACTGGTGAAGTTCACTTTGTTCTTTTCAAAAGCAACACTGTCATGAATTTGGACGTGTAGCTTTCCATTCCATACTTCTATTATGTAAACACATAGCTGTAAGTAACATGTAATGTTTGCATGTTTGAAAATTTACATAAAAGATACAGTGGACCCTTAAGCGAGATGGTTTTGAATTGCACAGGTGTCCTAATGTACAGATTTGTTTCAGTAAGTGCCTGTGCTCTTTTCAGTCTGTGGTTGGGTGTCCATGGATGCAGAGGGCTGACTCTCCGTGTTGAGCTGCGCTGTTTTTTGTAGTGGACTTGGGCATCCATAGGTTTGGTACCTGCGGGGGTTCCTGAACCAGGTCCTGGTGGATACTGAGAGGCAGCTTGGGGTAGTGAAGTTTTGGGGGAGCTGAGTTGTACTTGGTTTTTCCAGCTGTGTGGGGTGTCAGCACCCCAGATGTCCATGCTCGGGGGTTCCCTGTAGTCCTGAAAGTACAGTTGCTACAACATGGGTTACGTGCGTTTTCACTTTTATTAGACATGCTGATGCCTTTTTGGAGTGGATATACAAATTTACTTTTCTACAGTCAGTGAACAAAAGCTCCTATTTTTTTATATCCTGTGGCCAGTTCTTGGCATTATCAGACTTTTACGTTTTTCCTCTCCAATCTTATGGGTAAAAAGTACTTCTTTATCTTTTTTGCCTTTTTAGGGCTGATCTTTAGCCATTCTCATAAAAACCTTTTCATCTAGTTTCTGGTGAGAAGTTCTCTTTATAAAATAAAGACCTGGGGAGTGGAAGATACTGCCCCACCATGCTGTTAATTATATTGGTTCTTCTAATTGAACATCCTACTATTTGTTTTAAAAGAGCTCTGTAATAACTTCCAGTCAAAATGGCAGCATAAGTAAACACAGCTTGCCTCCTCGAAAAACCACATTAAAATTACAACTAAATTATAGAACAACCATCACTCAGAACCATCAGAAATCGAGTTGAATGGAGGTCTGATAACTACGGAATTAAAAAAACCACATCCATTCAGACTGGTAGGAGGGGAGAAGACATGGAACAGACTAGTCCCACATCCATGTGTGTTGAATAAAAAATTCTAGAGGGATATCTCGGGAGCAAGGATTCCCAGCCCAGGGTTCCAGTGCCAGGAAGATAAGTCCCCATAACTTCTGGCTATAAAAACCAACAGGTATTGAGTTGATAGAAGAAACATGGCCCAGAGGAAAAAACAGATCAAAACTCCAGAAAAAAACAAGCCATTTATCAGATGCAGAGTTCAAATACTGGTTATGAGTATGCTCAAGGAATTTAGGAACTCAGCAGTATTTAAAAGATCCAGTTAGAAATGAAGAATTTCTAACATAAAGAATTTGGAACATAAGGAAGCAAAAAACAACCAATCAGAACAAGAAGAAAAAAGAATCCCCCCAAAATGAGGATAGTATAAGCAGCCTCTGGGACAACTCCAAGAGGTTTAACATTTGCATCATAGGAAAAGAAGAGAGAGAGCAAGAAATTGGAAATCTATCTGAAAAAATAGTGAAAGACAACTTTCCTAATTTGGTGAAGGACATAAACATGCAAGTCCAGGAAGCACAGAGTCCCAAACAAGATCAGTGCAAAGAGGCCCACTCCAAGATTCTCATCATAATGAAAATGCCATAGGTTAAAGATAAAGAGAAGTTCTTACAAGGAGCAAGAAAGAAGTGAATTACCTACAACAGAGCTCCCATAAGACTGTCAGCTGATTTCTCAAAAGAAATTTTGCAGGCTAGAAGGGATTGGCAAGAAAGATTCGAAGTCATGAAGAACAGGGACCTACAGCCAAGATTGCTGTACTAGCAAAGCTATCATTTGAATTGAAGGGCAGATAAAGATCTTCTCAGACAAGAAAAAACTAAAGGAGTTCATCATCACCAAATCATTATCATATGAAATGTTAAAGGGACTTATTTAACCCTTGAGGGGTCACGTGGATGACAGTAGTCATCCCTGCAAAATAATCATCAGTTTTAGTCTAATGTTGACATGGCAGTGCTTCATGTACTCAGATTAATAATCTTCGAAAGCTGTTGCATCACCTGGGTTCCAGCCCAGGTGCAGATTATCTGGAATTCTGCAACAGAGTTGGATGACCCGCATCATTCACATGACCTCTCACACTCTGTTAGGAAGCGCGACCACTGCAGGGTTAAGACCAAAACTATGAACAATAAAATGGTAATAAATACCTGTCAGCTGTTGAATCTAAGAAACAAACTAAGCAAACAAGAACAGAGACATCGAGTCATGGATACAGAGAGCATTTTGATGGTGGCCAGAGGGGAAGGAAGAGTGGGTGAAGAGGTGAGGGGACTAAGAAGTACAAATCAGTTACAGAATAGTCATGGAGGTGTAAAGTACAGCATAGGAAATGGAGTAGCTAAGGAACTTATACTCATGACCCATGGACATGAAAAATAGTGTGGGGACTGCCTGAGGGAGTGAGGGACGCTGGGTGGAGGGGAGCAAAGGGGGATAGATTGGGATAACTGCAATAGCATAATCAATAAAATACAATTTTTAAAAGAGTTCTATAGTATTTTCTTACTTTTAGAGAGTTCACTTTACAGTATTTTCAAAACTAGGTATTTCTAACTTTCGTAATTTAGGTACTGGGGTCTTTCAAAATTCAGTTAAATATGCCCTGACTGGTATGGCTTGGTTGGGCATCATAGGACAAAGCAAAAGGTTGCTGGTTTGATTCCCAGTCAGGGAACATGCCTGGCTTTCAAGTTCGGTCCCGGTCTAGGGACATACCAGAGGCTACCAGTCAGTGTTTTTCTCACACATCGATGTTTTTCCCTCTCTTTTTCCCTCCCTTTCCCCCTCTCTAAAAATGAAATATTTTTTTAAATTCAATTAAATAACCTTTTTAACCTTTTAGTTTACACTTTTTCATTTTTAACCAAATGTCTACCTTTAGGAAAGGAAAGATTAGAAGTACATGGAAAAACAAGATTTCTTAAAAAACAGTTAGAAGAGGTAGCATGAGTTGCAGGATTTCGAGAGATGAAGAAATAATCGTTTTGGATGGAGATAACCTGGAAGGGATTACAGAAGAGGTGATACTTATTTTTTTAAGATTTTATTTACTTATTTTTAGAAAGGCAGGGAGAGAAACATCCATGTGCAGTTGCCTCTGGCATGCCCCCCCACTGGGGACCTGCCCCACAACCCAGGCATGTGCCCTGACTGGGAATCAATGGTGACCCTTTGGTTGACAGGCCGGCATTCAATCCACTGAGCCACACAAACCAGGGCTGATATTTAAATTTTTATAGTGGAGTTTATAGTTCTAATGACAGTGTTTATTGCACAGTTTTTCATAATGTGAAGTTTAAAATTGCCTAAGTATCTAAAGTCATGAAATGTTCATTTACATACATTGTGGTGTATATATATATTGTAATATCATTTGGTCATCTAAAAATGTTTTTAAAAATAGTAACTGGAAAGTGGTGATGTGTAGAATTAAAAACTAGAAAATCATGAGTGATCCTACTCTTTTTAAATGAATATTGAGAAGAATTCCAAGTAAATTCACTAAAAATATTAAGAGTTTTTTTTCTGAATGAGTAGGATTTTTCTTTACACTTTTGTATTTTCTGTAGAAACGTATTAGTTTTTATAATTCAAATAAGTGATAAATAGTAGCTGGGGTGAGGAGAAAAACTACAACCTCTCATTGTAATAATCTCCAGATTGTAAGAAGTATTGCTCCTGCTCACATCTGTCGTTTGCTTTCCTGCGTCGGATTGGACTCCGTTACTAATTCTGGGGCTCCACTCTGTCGTTCGCTAGTACACGTGACTGTTCTGTTCTCAGAGCTCCGGGGAGGACTGAGAAGCAGCACCGCTGGGCTTTCCTCTGTTTTAAACAGGTCGTTGGGGTGCCCGTCGGGTCCACTTTACCTTCAACAGTGAAACAGGCTGTGGCCATCAGTGGCGGCCAGATCCTTGTAGCCAAGGCCAGCTCTTCCGTCGCCAAAGCAGTTGGTCCAAAGCAAGTTGTGACCCAAGGAGTTGCCAAAGCAATTGTGAGTGGAGGCGGAGGAACCATTGTCGCTCAGCCGGTGCAGACCTTAACCAAGGCTCAGGTCACTGCTGCTGGCCCTCAGAAGAGTGGACCGCAGGGTTCAGGTAACTAACACTGCTGGGGCCCTTTCAGCAGCACCTGCCAAAAATGTTCTTTGCTGGTGGTTTCATTTGGTATTTGATTCTGTCTAGCAACACCTAGTAAGAGGGGTGTGTGTGTGTGTGTGTGTGTGTGTGTGTGTGTGTGTGTGTGAGAGAGAGAGAGAGAGGGAGAGAGAGAGAGAGAACGCAGTAACAATAAAGATGGAGGGTATTTTTATGATGCTGCATTCAGGTTTTAATTATAGTTCTCATTCGTCCTCATCTCCACTTTGGGGTGTGTTCCAGACTTCAAACTTGTGGTGGTCATTGCAGCACTTTGGGGTACTTGAGCATTCTCTGTCACACAAAAGTTTAAACACTCTGAATGTGTTTTGGGCTTTGATGTGTCGTTTCTGTGGTGGCATGAAAAACATGTATACGTAAGACATTAAGTATTTACTAACTCTTGAAGGTCTTGATGAAGCTAAAGAGCTGCTGCGGTGAGATGGAAGGGTAGAAGGCAGGGGGTGTACCAGACGGAGGCTTCAGAGGTGGAGGACCGCAGGTGATGACAAAGCTCATTTGTGACGTAGAACATGAGTGCTAGAAGAAGCGATGTTTGCAGTTTAGAAGATCAAGCACCTGAGAAGCCAGAGAATTAAAATGTCATCTACAGTGCGGTCACTGAGAACGAGTCTTTAGCATAGAGAGGCTTTGAGTCAGGAGTCAGTCTTCAGCAAATGAGAAGTGACTGGGAGTTCAGTAAATAAGAGCAAAAAAGAGAGGTTAAGATGGTATAGCCAAGCATAAACCTCAGAGGATCTGTGTTTTGTTTTGTTTTGTTTTGTTTTTCCTAGAGCGAGGGTTGATAATGGTCTAAAAGCCAAACTGGAGAGCAAAAAGGCACCTTTCCTAGTCCTGGCTCTCAGATATTATGGTAATATAATAAACAAACAAAACAACCCCTAGCTAAGGGAGCTGCTGGAGAAGTGACATCTTCAGAGGATTAACAGGTTTAATTTTCACAAAAAGAAATAATGTTCAAGGAGGTTGAGGTTCCAGAGGGTGTAAGGACTACAGCAGGAATTCCTGGGGGGAGGGGAAGAGGGAGGGAGGGAGGAATAGGACTGGTTCATGTCAGGGCTGTGAGCAGTATAGAGAGAAGACCTCGGGTAAGGTGGCTGAACACAGGTCTGTGCTTCTGCCAGTGGCAGAAACACACAGTGGTGTAAGACGGGATTAGTTCTGATAATGGAGAGAGATGGCACTCAGTTTTAATCAGTCCCTGATAGTTGGGGGCAGCTTCCAGGGTTCTTGCTTCCCAAAGTTTTGGTGGTAATGAGGAGGACCACTTTAGCAGGCTGGAGAAGTCTCTAAGGGTCCGTTCCCTGGTGGTGACTCATATTGTTCTGTAGGCTTTGTTTCATGGGGATTCAAATTCAAAGAAACTAGAGAATTTGATATGTAAGTCTTTAAGACTCACATTTAGAAGATTTATAGCCATGTGCATCAAGAAGTAAATTCTCAGGGGTAAGTTCTTTGGTATAGGTTAGACTTTGAAAAGACGAGCTGCGGTTTTATAGCATTTGTGCCGGTTGTTGACTGTAGCATTTTGTAGCTCTTACAGTGAGGGAGGCTGGAAGTTTTGTCTCTCATCAGTGGATTCATCCCTTAGTAGAAATTGACCACAGGGGCTTTAGACAAAGGGAGAACAGTGTGTGTTCATCCACAGGTGGGATGATTATTTTACTGATTGTCTACATCACAGCACTTCTGAGAGTAACACGAGCTACTGTTAATAATTATGAGACAGAGGTGGAAACTGGAATTGTTCTGGGCAAAACAGGACATTTAGTCACTGTGTTGAAATACAAATATGAATTACTCTATAGCAGACTCTAGTATATAAATTATTTTTTAATTAAGATATTTAAGAATATCCAGCTTTAACACATTCTGCATCGAGAAATGAACTTTAGAGTTCAGTTTGTTAGTGTGTGTTTTTGTTTTGGGCAGAGCCAGCTGAGATGTTAGTGTTTTTTAATAATTATTACTCTCTGTTTTAAATTTAGAGATAACATTGCCTTCACTTCCATTTTATCTTAGTGTTTTTCCTCTTTTTTTTTCTTTTTACCATTTTAGTGATGGCAACATTGCAGCTACCAGCCACCAATTTGGCCAACCTGGCGAATCTGCCACCTGGCACAAAACTCTACCTCACAACGAACAGCAAGAACCCTTCCGGAAAAGGGAAACTGCTGCTCATCCCTCAAGGAGCCATCCTGCGAGCCACCAGTAATGCTAGTTAGTTCATCGCTAAGTCATTTGGTTCTTGGGTCTCTGGGTATGTTCATCTCATTCACCTGAGGGGCGGTCCTCACCTGTTCCTGGAAGCATTTCCATAGCGCTGCTTGGTGGCGTAATGGTAGTATTGGCCCAAATGCACTGAAAACATATGCATAATTTAACTAGAGTTGGCTTTAAATCGCCATACTCGTAGAGGTGTAGCACTGTTATTTTGGGCTTACCCACCGGAAGTTTGGGGTCAGGCAGGAACGGCACCAGGCGGAGGCGACCTGGCTGTGGAGGCGCTGTCGGGAGCCGGCGTCTGCGTGAACCGAAAGGGGAGGAGGAGCTCTGTCCTTCGCTGGGAACCAAAATTGCTGGTCCCTGGGAAGAAGTTCTGTCTCCTTCCAGAAGCCGGAACCTATTTCTGTGTAAAGGAGATAAGGATAGGACTGGAACCTAGTGTCCCTGCCTGCCATTCTTGAGACATTCTTAAGTCCGCCAGGTTCGGAGATGGAAAGGGAAATACAGCCTCAGCCCAAACACATGTCCTAAAGCCCCAGTTAAATTAAGCAATTATCCAGATACATAAACTTTCACTTTGACATGCAGAGAAAAATAATTGGGTAGTTGAAAAGGAAACAGTAAAAGGAATTACTACCTCTGAATCAGAACTACGATTGGTACAGCTATCAAGTTCATTAGAAATTAGCCACCCTTGCCAAAACGCAGTGCGTAAGCTAGTCGCCATTTTGTGTATTGCCTCTAATGGGTGATTTCCACTTTCTCACCCTGGTGTTTTTACCTCATACTTAAACAGTGTTATATCCAAAAGTTAAATGTGTAAGAAAAGGACAGTGTAAGTGTTCCAGAATTCATCAGAGAGCTATTTAGATCTTACTTGATGTATGTCACCAAAAGAAAGTAAAAAGGGTCCAAAGTCCCTAAAGTGGAATTTGAAGAACAAAAAAATAATGATGGGACACTGGGGTCATAAGTACAAGGAAAGTCTTAATTTTTCCCGGCAGTGAGGGGGGACAGAAAAGGGAGAGTACTATAAAATTACCCTGAATTCCAGCAGTTTCACTGAACTGAATCAGACACCAGAAGGTTTGGAAGCATGTCTGTGAGCACACTGAAGTGTGGATTAAAACCAACACTGGGTTAGAGAGTGTCGGATCAGACTTCCCTCAACCTTCCCCAGCGGGGTCAGAACGGTTGTCGGAGATAAGTTCTTCACTGTCCTCAGAGCTGAACTCGCCAGCTGTCATTCGGGTGAAAGTCAATAGATGTCACTCTTCAACTCTAAGAAGTTCTCACTCTTGTCAGAGAAAGGAAGAGAAAAATAGGAAAGGAAAGGAACGATGCTGTGAAGGAGACCTCCGTGGGCTCACCTGTTTCTCCGCTGAGCTTCGTGACACTTTTTATGACGTTGCTGCCATCGTTGTATTCACAGACCTACAGTCCGGCTCCGCTGCCAGTGGAGGTGGCGGTGGTGCAGGAGGAGCTGGCGGAGGCGGCGGCGGTGCAGGAGGAGGAACGGCGGGAACCCAGAGCCCCGCTGGGCCTGGAGGGATAGCTCAGCACTTGACTTACACGTCCTACATCCTCAAGCAGACCCCTCAGGTCTGGTCATGGTGACTGGTATCTTTTTCAGTGTGTCATTTATTAACTGCCTTTAATTGTAGTGGATTTACCATTACAGATCTGGGATAAGGAGTCAAATACTGACATTGTAGCCATGTTATAAATCTGTATTATTTTGGGTTTGCTTTATTTTGAGAGAAGAGGAAGTAGAGATTCAGAAAGACTTAAGTAACTTATTGAAGGCCAATCTGGTAATCCAGTAGTTACCTTTGGATTTAAACCGAGGTCTTTCTGAGTCAAAGAAAGATTTTTCACTATGCTAATGCTGCCCAAATCGTTAATACTGTTTATTACCTATGCTGAGGTAATAAACAGTATTAATGTACAGTTGAGCCCTGGCTGGTGTGGCTCAATGGATTGAACACTGGCCTGCAAACCAAAGGGTTGTCGGTTCAGTTCCCAGTCGGGGCACATGCCTGGCTTGCGGGCCAAGTCCCCAGTGGGCCATGCCCCAGAGGCAACTACACATTGTTTCTCTCCCTTTTTTCTCTTTCCCTAAAAATAAATAAATAAAATATTTTTTAAGAACAGGCTTTCAAAAAAATGTACAGTTGAGTATTTTCTCTTACAAGGAAGAAACCAAAGAGATACTATGAGGCTGTAGTGTTTGTAGTTGGTTGGATTCGAGATTAGGAAAAGGCTTCCACCTCCTCACCTTGTCACCAAAGTCTTGTCTCTCCTCTAAGGAAAGTAATGAAATTTTGGTTCTAAACATTTTTAATTGAGAAGGATGGATAGTAATCAGTCTGAATGATTAAATCTAGCTTTGGGGACTTGGTTACAAAACTCGAGTTTCTAACGCCTGCTCTGTAACCACTTTGCAGAGTTTGAGAAATGGAGATAACTGTTGGTTCTGACGCTGGACACCATTCTGTGCGGTTCTTCTGACTGAGTTGCAGAATAAGAGGAGCATTGTAGCTTGTAACATGGGACCTTGTGATTTAAAGGTTCAGAGCAAGTTATTTGAATTCAACAAATTACTGATTAGGGCTTTATTTTTCTAACTTAGGGTACGTTTTTAGTCGGCCAGCCGTCTCCCCAGACATCTGGAAAGCAGCTGACCACAGGGTCAGTGGTCCAGGGAGCACTGGGAGTCAGCACGGCTTCTGCACAAGGACAGCAGACATTGAAAGTCATCTCTGGACAGAAAACCGCTTTGTTTACCCAGGTAAGCACACGTGCACAGACAGATGGACAAGTACATGGTGGCTGTGGCATTCACATGTTTACAGCTCTTTACAAAAAGAAATTAAGGTTACATAAGAAAATGAACAATAGCCCTAGCTGGTGTAGCTCAGTGGATTGAGCGCTTACCTGTGAACCAAGGGGTCACTGGTTCAATTCCTGGTTGGGGCGCGCGCCTGGGTTACAGTAGGGGATGCAAGAGGCAACCACATATTGATGGTGATCTTCTCCCTCTCTCTCCCTCCCTTCCCTCTGTCTAAAAATAAATACATGAAATCTTTTAAAAAATAAACGATAAAATAGTATAGAAAAGTAAGAATAAACTCTTGAGATTTGGGAAAACATAAGTAGAATGAGAAGATAAAAGCCAATGTGTTATATAGATATGCAAATAGTAATGTCCTATATAGTTAATAAATTTACCAAAGCAAAACAAGGAGTATGCTTAGTTGTAAAGTTCATACTATTAGGGAGAGAGAAGAAAAAAATTTTTCTTGACACTTCATTCTAAAATTTCTCTGGAGGGACTTCATATAGGAGATTCTGAATAGCGTAGTAGGTGATTTCAGCCACAGGTGAGTAAATGCTGTATGGAATTTGGTACATGTTTCTACAGTGTTGTTTTAATGTAAGCCAAATAATAACGACAGGGAATTTTAACTGGGCGAGGAATACCATAATCATCTGAATCTATAGCTAGATCTCAGAAACTTAAACAAGGATGTAGACAGCATGACACCAGGTATTAGTAAACAATGCATTTGTTTTAAGATTTTATTTATTTTTAGAGAGATGAAGGGAAGGGAGAGAGAAAAAGGGAGAGAAACATTGAAGAGTTGCCCCTTGAACGGGTCCCGGCTAGGGACCGAACCCACAACCCAGGCATGTGCCCTGACTGGGAATCGAACTGGCGACCTTTTGCTTTACAGGATGACCCGCAACCAACTGAGCCACACCAGTCAGGGTCAACAGTGCATTTTCTGTGACTTCTATATAGAAACCAACAGTTCTCAAAGCATAGAAAAGATACTACATGTTTCTCAAATAATTTTTCTACCAAGATGATCATATAGTTTTTTCACTTTGGTTTGTTAATATGTTGAATTATATTAATTTCTCAAATGTTAAACCAACCCTGCATTCCTGGGATAAACCCCATTTGGTTGTGATATATTATCCTTTTCTGTAACATACTGAGTTTAAATTGAAAAATTAATTAGAACTTTTGCAAGGGATATTGGCCAGTAGTTTTCCTTGTAGTTCTGGTATCAGGGTAATGCCAGCCTCATAAAATCAGTTGGAAACTTCCCTCTTGGGTTTTTTGGGAAGAGTTTATGTAGAGTTGGTATTACTTCTTCCTTACCTGTTTTGTTTACAACAGGGAAGCTTTAATGGCCTGGAGTTTTCCTAATTGGGGACATTTCTAACTCTGATTTCAGTGTATTTAATAGATATAGAACTATTCTTTTTTTTTCTTGAGTTAGGGTTTGTAGTTTATATCTTTAAAGGAATTTATCCATTTCATCTGTCAAATTTATTGGCATAAAGATGTTCATAATTGTGCCTCATTATCTTTTTAATATCTATAGAATCTTTAGTGATACTCCTTCTTTTTTTAAGATTTTAATTCTTTATTTTTAGGGAGAGAGGAAGGAATGAAGGAAGAGAGGGAGAGAAACATAGATTGGTTGCCTCTCTCACACCCCCAACTGGGGACCTGGCCCACAACCCAGGCATGTGCACTGACAGGGAATCGAACTGGCGACCTCTTGGGTCACCAACTGGCACTCAGTCTACTGAGCCACACCAGCCAGGGCCCTTTTTTAATTCGTGATTTTGGTAATTATGTGTCTTCTCCTTTTTTTCTTTATATTTTTTTTACAAATTTTATTTATCTTTAGAGGGGAAGGGAAGGAGAGAAACATCAATGTATGGTTGCCTTTCGTGCGTCCCCTGCTGGGAACTGGCCTGCAGGGAACTGGCCTGCAACCCAGGCATGTGCCCTGACTGGGAATCAAATTGCGATTGTCTGGTTCGCAGGCCCGCGCTCAATCCACTGAGCTACACCAGCCAGGGCTTCCTTTTTTTTTTCTTGATCAGTCTACCTAGAGGTTTATCAGTTTTACTGCTCTCTTCAAATTACCAGCATTTGGTTTCCTTTAGTACTGGATTCCCTTTGGTCAGATGCTCTTAACTATTTCAAACACATATGAGGCCCCAGTATTTTTAAGTAGATCTTTAAAACCTTAGCTGATTTATTCTTACCTGTTATGCTGCAGCCAGTGCAGAGACTTTACCTCTGTTCTGCCACAGCTGAGACAAGTATTGTTGCCTTTTATTAAGATATAATTTACATAGATTAACCCTGGCTGGTGTAGCTCAGTGGATTGATCGCGGGCCTTCAAACCAGGCAATTGCGTTTCAATTCTCAGTCAGGGCACATGCCTGGGTTGCAGGCTGGTTCCCTGCAGGCCAGCTCCCAGCAGGGGACGCATGAGAGGCAACCATACATTGATGTTTCTCTCCCTCTCTCCTTCCCTTCCCCTAGATAGATAGACAGATAGACAGATAGATACAATTTACGTAGATTAATAATGCACAGATCATTAATGTACTGCTCAGTTAGTTTTAACAAGTGTATATTCTCATGAAGCCACTATCCCAATCAAAAGAGAGACCATTACCTTTCCAGTTTTTTCTATCACCATTTTTTCTCTTTCTGTCATCATAGCTTAGCTTTTGTCTGTTCTTGCAGTTCACATCAGTAAAATTATATAGTGTGTACTGTGTTATGTGTAGCTTCTGTTGTTCAACATAATGTTTTTGAGACTGAGCCATATGTATATCAGTTGTTTATTTTTTATTCCTGAGTAGTATTTTGTTGCATAACTTTATTTTCCTGTTGGTGGACATTTGGATTATTTCCAGTTTTTGACTCATGGGTGATACTGTTATGAACATTCTTGTATAGATCATTTCATATAGTAGAATAGCTAGGTCATAGGCTGAGTATAAGGAATTTTATAAGAAACTGACATCGTTTTGCAAGTGGTAATATCATTTCACTCCTTTGTAATATGGTAGAGTTCCACTTGTATTCATCCTCTCTGCCATGAAAGATCATTGTTCTTTTTAATTTCACTCGTTTTGGGGAGTATGAAGTAATGTCTAATTGTAGTTTTAATTTGCCTAAGGCTCCAATGCAAATTATGCCATGGCTACTACTCCTGGATTCTTCAGTTACTAGCTCTGTGACCCTGGTAAAGTCACTGAGCTTAATCTTTACATCTTTAAAATGGGGTTAAAATCTACCCTGTAAAGTTTGTGGAAAGATTAAATGACATAAGCTGTGTAAAAGTGCTTTCTGCCATTCCTGGCACACAGTATGCCCTCAGAGACTGATAAATGATCATGCATGTGGGGCACATGAATTTTTGGCACAAAGTAATCGTTTAGACTAGGGGTCAGCAGACTACACGCAAACCTTCCTATTTTTATGAATAACATTTTATTCCCTAGCTGATGTGGCTCAGTGGATTGAGTGCCAACCTGTGAACCAAAAGGTCTCCAGGTCTATTCCTGGTCAGAGCTCATGCTGGGTTGCAGGCCAGGTCCCCAGTTGGGGGTGTGAGAGAGATAGCCAGTCAGTGTATCTCTCATGCATTAACGTTTCTCTCCCTCCCTACCCTTGGTCTAAAAATAAATAAATAAAAATCTCAAGTAACATTTCATTTCCACACAGCCACTCTCATTTAAAGCTACAGCACCGAAGTTGAGGAGTTGTGGCAGAGATTGTATGGCCTGACAAGCTTAATCATGCCATTTGCATGAAAATTTGCTGAACCTTACTTTACACTACTCAAACTATAATTTTTGTTGAATAATTCTCCAGGAAATGCTAATCCTGTGCTAGCCTAGAGTACCATAAATTTACTCATTTAAATCTGGCCCCTTGGTTCAGTTTTCATGTTTAAAGATTATATCTAAGAGCACTTTGCCCTGACTGGTGGGGCTCAGTGGATTGAACGTCAGACTGCGAAGCAATGGGTCACTGGTTCGAGTCCCAGTCAGGGACTTGCCTGAGTTGTGAGCCAGGTCCCCAAGTATGGGGTGCGTGAGAGGCAACCACACATTGATGTTTCTCTCCCTCTCTTTCTCTCTTTAAAAACAAATAAGTAAAATCTTTTTTTTTTTTTTTTAAGTAGTTTGGACACAGTTATTTTGGTAACCAGTGGTTTGGTGTTTTTGAAGACACTGCTGCCAAATAAGGGCTTGCTACTACATTTATTTACTCATTCTACATTAGGGTTAAAGGTAAAAGGTCATAAATTTGAGGATTTTTTGGAAAGGTGCACAAACACTCCATATAGTTTTGCTTAGCAAGAGTTTCTTGGATAGGCTGTAATTCTAGGGGCGTGTGTGAGTAAGGAATAAATCGTGCCTGCTCCCAGGGCAACATCATTGTTTCACCCCATTTCGTTTCTGCAGGCAGCCCCTGCAGGACAGGCATCTCTAATGAAAATATCCGATGGTACAGTGAAGTCTGTGCCAGCCACTTCACAGCTCTCGAAGCCCGGAACCACGATGCTGAGAGTCGCAGGAGGGGTGATCACAGCGGCCACTTCTGCAGCAGTGGCCGTCTCAGCAAATGGTCCTGCACAGCAGGTGAGAGTCGGCGTGACAGGAGAAAAATCATCGTGAAACATAAAAGTCGTAAAATCATAAGGAAGTCATTTAGCAGGCACACCAGTGGCTGTCTTTTAAAATATGGCTCTCTTTTAAAATGAAAATGTAATTTCCATACCCTAAAATTCACCATTTTGAAGGGTACAGTTTAGTGATTTATATTATGTCCTCAAGGTTTTGCAACTATCGCCATCTAATTCTAGAATTTTTTTATCATTCTGGGGAAAAATGATCTGCATCTCATAGTGGTCGATGGACATTTGGGTCGTTTGTGCCTTTTGACTACAATGAGTAATACTGCCATGAACATTCTTGTCTGTGTTTTTGTGTAATCATCTGTCTTCATTTCTCTTGGCTGTATACCTAGTACAAGGATTGCTAGGTCACCTAGTAACTATGTTGAACATTCTGAGGAACTGCCAAGCTGTTTTCTCAAACTGCTGCACCAGTTTAGATTCTTACCAGCAATGCATAAAGATTCCAGTTTTTCTGTATCTTTGCTGATACTTGTTCTTGTCCATTTTTTAAAACTATAGCCATTCTGGTTGATATGACCTGTTTATTTTGGTTTTAATTTGCCTTTTCCTGTAGCTAATGAAGATACTGAGTATCTTTTCTTTTCCTTTTTTTTTTTGAGAGTTGTGTAGTTTTGGAGAAATGTTTATTCAGATCCTTTGCCCATTGTTTAGTTGGGTTATTTATTGTCTTTTCATTATTGATTTGGATAAACAATGTGACATAGCCATAAAATTGAATATTAGCTATGAAAGGGAAGGAATGAAGCCCTGATAGATGCTGCAACACATTCTCACCTGAAGCTCATTCCACTCTCCGCTTTCCCTATCCCTGGATGAAAGCAGTCACTTTCCTCTCATTTGATGTGTGACGGTGCCCTGCACCTCTGCTTAGTATTGAGGGCTCCTATCTCCGGGCCATGTAGTAGATGTTTGTGGAATGGGTGTGGCAAGCTTTCAAACATTATAGGGACTTTTTAATAAAGCTCATTTTGTTCTAGTTTTACATTCTGAGAGTATATCCTCCCACTTTTTTTGGTGTTGAAGTATCCTTTTTTAAAGGGAGGTAACCCAATGCTACTGCCTCATTTAACAATTTTCTGGCCCATAAAATCTAAAAGTGTAGGATCCACCAAAAAAGAAGCAATCATTTTAAATGGCATGACATACCTGGCTGGTGTAGCTCAGTGGATTGAGCACAGGCTTGCGAACCAAAGCATCGGCAGTTTGATTCCCTGTCAGGGCACATGGCTGGGTTGCAGGCCATATTCCCAGTATGGGGTGTGCTGCAGGCACCCATACATTGATGTTTCACTCCCTCTCTTTCTCCCTCCCTTCCCCATCTCTAAAATAAATAAATAAATAAAATCTTTTTTAAAAAATAAGTAAAAATAAAAAAATAAATGGCATGACATTTAATAGGCAGGTAGTAATAACTAGTAGATGATATTTATTAAGTGTGCTGCACTGCAGTCCCTGTTCTCTGTAAGTTGCACTGCTTTCTTGTCAACTTCTGTTATTTCTGTCCCTGTGCATGCGCAGTCCGAAGGAACAGCTCCCAGTTCATCATCAACTATAGGTTCCATAATGAAAACTTCTGGGCAGCAGCCAGTGTGTGTGAGCCAGGCCACCGTGGGGACCTGCAAGGCTGCTGCTCCCTCTGTCATCGGTGCCACGTCCCTTATGTCCACACCAAACCCCATCTCTGGAAAAGCTACAGTGTCAGGTCAGTTGTATCGTAAAGATATTTCTATCTCCCTTCTTTGTGCTAGAATATTTGGAAGGTCTTAAACAATATTTTTTAAGGTTTTATTTATTTATTTTTAGAGAGAGGGGAAGGAAGGGAGGAACAGAGGGAGGGAAACAGCAGTGTGTGGTTGCCTCTCACACAGCCTCTACTGAGGGACCTGGCCTGCAACCTATGTATGTGCCCTGACTAGGAATCGAACTGGTGACCCTTTGATTAGCAGCCCACACTCAATCCACTGGGCTACACCAGCCAGGGCCTTAAATAATATTTTTATAATGAGTTATTAAAAATAATTCAGTAACATTTTCCAGGTAGCTGCTTTTTAGATAAATTCTTATTTAAAAATCTATGTGTAAACTTCTAAGTCTGAGATGGTTTTGGAGATTGAGTAATAAGGTTTATTTTTTCTTGAATAGTAATTTTAAGTGATACAATAAAACTTCAGCCTCTTGGAGCTCCAATGGGTATTTTAGCTTCTTTCATAATTAACTTTGTGGAAAGCTGAGGGTTCGCTCTCTTTAAAGTACCAGTAGCTTTTCTAAAATCAATTTTAAATGTAATTCATTATAAAATATATGTCTCTCTGTTTTCACAGAGCGTGTAAAATACCAATCAGCCTAGTTGACTCCAAGTCATTCTTAACATTAGTTATAGTGGGTCGTATTAGGCTGACATGCTTGAAGTCTGACAAGAGGAATGGTATGTTTTTGACACTAAGGGACTCCAGAAAAGTGTGCCTTTTACTTCATTGGGTAACATATAGAGCCCAAATCCAAATTGCCTTAATTAAAATAACTTACCTTAGCCCTGGCTGATGTGGCTCAGTGGATTGAGTGCTGGCCTGTGAAATAAAGGGTTGCTGGTTTGATTCCCAGTCAAAGCACATGCCTGGGTTACAGGCCAGGTCCCCAGTAGGGGGTGCAAGAGAGGCAGCCACACATTGATGTTTCTCTTCCTCTCTTTCTCCCCCTCCTTCCCCTCTCTCTAAAAATAGAATAAAATCCTTTAAAAGACAAAATAAAATAACTTGCTTTAATTGCCTGATAATAATACCTACTTCATAAAGTTGAGAGGATTATAAATTTGAGAGGATTGAATGATTTAATAAATGTATATTAATGTATGTCTGATGTGTAGTAGCCACTTTATAAATAATTGCTACTACTATCATTTTCAGTGTCATCATTATTGTTAGTCCACATTCTTTTATCTGCAATTCTAAAATCCAAAAAGCTGTGAAAACCAAAGGTTTTTTACCCTATAACAAATTTTAAGGTGACATCTGGCCTCCATTGATAGACTGTTTATACTACGTAATAGCAGTGTCTATATTTTGCAAAGAAATATTAATGTATTTGATCACATTGTGCTATGCTAGATACCAGGGGCTTATATAATACACAGCTTTGCTTCTCCAATTTGAGAGATTACTTTTGTTTTTCTATAATTCAGTACGGACAGATACATTTTTTAAAAGACTTAATTTATTTTTAGAGAGAGACATCAACATGTGAGAGAAACAACGATCAGTTGCCTTTCTCACTCCCCCAATCGGGGCACACTGACCTGCAGCCTAGTCATGGGCCCTGACCAGAAATTGAACTGGTGACTTTCTGCTTTGTGGGCTGGCACCCAAACCACTGAGCCACACCAGTCAGGGTCAGACAAATACTGTTATAAAATATAATACAAATTGCCCTGGCTGGTGTGGCTCAGTGGATTGAGCCAGGCCTGCGGACCAAAGGGTTCCTGGTTCGATTCCCAGTCCAGGGCATATGCCTGGGTTGCTAGTCTCCAGTAGGGGCATGTGAGAGGCAACGACACAATGATGTTTCTCTCCCTCCCTCCTTCCCCTCTCTCTAAAAAATAATAAATAAATAAATTAAATCTTTAAAATATATATATAATAAAAATCTCCCAACAATGTCAAACTTGTACAAAAGTTTCTGGACACTCTTAATTTCTATAATAATGTGACAGATTAATGTTTTATTGTAGAATGGTAACAGTGTACCAAGTGACACTGATAAACAGACACAAGTGAACATCACTGAGCTGTATATCTCCATACAAACACACATAAATACACACACAACTTAGTACCTTTGAGGAAGAGATTGAAGCAGGTGTTATTCTTATGTTGTAGCTGTCATCACCACGTTCCGTGCAGGACTCAAACGAAGCCCCTCTGTCTCGTTTGCAGGCAGTTAGGGACCAAAGATTACCCCTCTTTGGGGCAGTCAGGGACCAAAAGATTTAAGGCCAGTCTGTTTTTCTGTGACTGACTTTCACCCGCAGGTTAAATGGATCAAGCTCTGTCTAGTACAGGGAGTGCTTTCCTCACTAACCGAGTGTTTGGAGGCACTGAGTCAGGACTGGAGAGGAGATGAAGGGAATTACTATCATAAGAAATGAATGCCCTCCTCTTCTGATGTTTTAACATGCAGTAAATGAAGTCTCCCTGCTTTATGTTCTGGTTTTGTAAGATGCTGCGATGAAACTTTCTGAATATTTTTATAAAAGTCAAAGTATTTCCAGCTGGCTGATGGTTTCTTAATTCAAGTTTGTGTGTGTTATAGACCAGCTTGAACAAGGCCAGTCACCATGGTAACTGGAGCAGAGGGGGCAAGCGAACAAGCACTAGGAGACAAAGTCAGAGTGGGGGGGGGGGGGCAGATCACTCAGGGCCCGGTAGGCCATTCGGAGAACTTTGACTTTACTCCAGGGGGAGCCACGGGAAGGTTTTAAGCAGAAAAGTAACATGGTCTGCCTTACCTTCTAACAGGATCCCTGGCTGCAGTCTTTAGACTAAACTTTGGGGCACAAAGTGGAAGCAGGGAACGGACCAAGAAGTAGACACTAAGAAAGAAAATCCAATGATGTGTCAGGGAGTCCCAGCAACACCACACTAAAAGGAGTTCCAGGAAAAAAAAACAAAAAACAAAAAAAACCCAGAAAATAGTGGGAAGGAAATTATCCAAGAAATGAAACAATTTATTCCAGAATGGAAGTCCGTGAACTTCCAAGGTCAGATGTCACAGTGCCCAGCACAATGAGTGAAAGAAAGCTCTCATGGGGGCACAGTTTGTTCATGAAATCACACCAGCATGGACAAAGAGAAGATTTTAAAAGCTGTCAGAGATACGAAGTTCAGAAATTGCATTCTCATTGGGCTCTGCAGTGGCAATGCTGGGAGTTAGAATACAGCTTTTCAAAATTCCAGGGGGAAATTACTTTCAGTTTAGAATTCTGTAGTCAGCCAGGTCATTCATTACTCAGTGTGAAGACCGACATATTTTCTGAGAGGCAAAGTTGCACGTCTATTTCCTGTGCACTTTGTCTCAAGACATTACTAAAACCCACGTTTACCAAAGGGAGGACTGGTAGACCAACCTAGAGGGAAGGCAAAGGGGGCTCCCAGGGTAACGGCGGAGGGCGTCCCCAGGAGGAGAGCTTTGCTGCAGGCCTAGAAAGCAGCAGTCCAAATGGGAGCAGGTCAGAGAGCTTCGGGAAGGGTGTCTCCTACAAAAGCGGGCACTGTCAGTGACTTAGGATATTTGACTAGGCAGAGAATTGTATTAAAGGTGGTTTATAACCTTCTTGAAGGATATGGGAAGACTTAGTAAGATGTGAAAAGAGAACTAAGCAAATGAAAAGGAGGAAACTATTACGCCCAAAAAATAAAATGGAATCATAGTATCGTATTTTTTAGATCAATAGAGAACCACAAATATTGGAGTATTAGGAAAGAAAGGGTATAATTACCTTAGAATTGTCTGTCCTAGTAGTATGTAAAATCAAAATGTTCCATCATAATGAATCAAGGCCTACAATGTATACATTCTTTTTAAAAATAAAAGAAAGGACCAAAAGGGGTAAAAGTGGATGCTACTGAGGAACTAGGTGAGGCTAGGGGGATGGAGCGGAGGGTGGCTGTTTTTAGTAATAAGCCTTCCAGCACTTTTTACTGTTCAACTGACAAGCATGCAATATTATTATAAAAATATGAAACATCAAGTCATTGCATTACTCTTTGGGGGCACATCTCAAGAAATACTTATAGCAACTGATTCAACACTAATTATCGGAAAGAAAAATTTCTTGTTTATTTACAGCTTTGTTCTAGGAAGGATTTAAGATGATTCCATTCCTTGAAGGAACTGCTTTCCAGAGCCTTACAGTGTCTTTAGCCACTGATCTGTGCTGTTTGTTTTGTGCTCTCCCAGTAAAGCCCTTTGTCTTATCTTTCCTTTCCTTCTTTGTTTTTTGCGGGCACTCTGAATGGCTAGGCTAGTTCTGTAACAGGAAAAGGGAATATGGAAATGACCTTTATTTTTATTTTTAAACATTTATTTACTTACTTTTTAGACATATTGGGGAGGTGGAAAGAGAAGGAGAGCAATATCAGTGTGTGGCTGCCTCTCACACATCCCTACTGGGGACCTGGCCGGCAACCCAGTCATGTGCCCTGACTGGGAATCGAACCGGCAAACTTTTGGTTTGCAGGCTGGTGCTCAGTCCACTGAGCTACACCAGCCAGGTCTGGAAATGACTCTGAAGGAAACTGGGAGCCCTGGCTGGTGTAGCTTAGTGGGTTGAGTGCTGGCCTGCAAATGAAAAGGTTGCAGGTTTGATTCCCAGTCAGGGCACATACCTGGGTTGTAGACCAGGTCCCAGTTAGGGGCATGTGAGAGGACTGATCAGTGTTTCTCTCCCTCTCTTTATCCCTGCCTTTCCCTCTAAAAAATAAAATCTTAAAAAAATAATAAAATTTAAAAATAAAGGAAAAGTGGAGAGGATGACCCTTTCTAAAATGATAAGTTAAGGATGTCCGATGTCTGAAAAGTAGAGGCTGCACAGAGACAGGAAATTATAAAGTCTAGTGAGCGGAGAGATCGGAGGACTAGATACGTTGGGGCGGCAGGAAGGAGATGCAGCTCAGTTGGGACCAGAGTAAAATGGCCTCTGAATGCTTTGAAACTGACTTCGGAAACATTCTCTAGGCAGTAAGGAATCAGAGAGGATTTTTATGTAGGAAAGTGGCCATTATCCCAATCAAGATACAGAATTTTATATCCAAGTTTATACATATTGCAGCTATATACAAAACAAATTGTCGTAGATAGTGGGAGGGGGTGTGGGGCAGAGGGGAATAAAGGGGAGAAAAAGGTGGGACAACTCTAATAGTGTAATCAATAAAATACATTTTTTAGAAAAAAACAAACATGGAAAAAAATACCTCAAAATGTTCAATACTGCTTGTCTCTGCAGTAGAACTTTGGATGGCTATTTCTCTTTTCTGCTTTTCCAAAAAATTTCTGTATTTGTGATTGTGGAATAAAAATAAATAATCACCACATCATTGTTTCACTGTGAAATCTGCCACATTCATTGCCTCATGCTTCCAGCTCTTTGTTTATTGAAAAGGTAAGTGTCCTAAGAATGTCCTCTTGTGAGAAATTATAAATGCTAAAGAGGGAAGATACTTTGAGGATGCATCTGATCTTCAACTTGGCCCTGTCTTCCAACTGATTTTAGGATTGTTAAAGATTCACTCCAGTCAGTCCAGTCCCCAGCAGGCTGTGCTGACGATCCCCAGCCAGCTCAAACCACTCAGTGTAACTGCATCTGGAGGTGTGCAGACCATACTGATGCCCGTGAATAAGGGTAAGCCCCTCACCGTGGGCCTGTTGTGGGGTGTTGTCTCCAGGTCTGTCCTGGGGGGAAGTCCATATTCTATTAGCTGGTGACTGCTCCCCCCTTATATAGCCTGCCCTTTGGCCATCACAGTATTCCCTGGCACCTTGAACTTCCAAGCAACAGCTATAGGACTGACAGTAAAACCCAGGTGGCTCATTGGCGTCTGATGGCTTCCCATTTGTAAAGGTGAATAGAGGGGGGATATTTTAAGCATTTATGAGAATTCAGGTTAATTAGATTTTTATTTTCTTAGTTCAGTGACAAGCTCCCATTTCCACAGCTGATGGAAAATAACTTAGTTACCCTAATAACTAATGGTAAACAATCCACCTTGTCAGAGATCACCGTTAAAAAGAACCTTACCATTTCTGTGGTACTGTGAATGTTTTTGTGCTGTTAGCCTAAAATGGGGCCATCCTCAATAAAATAATTTCTGTATTTTGCATATCTTTCCCTTTCTTTCTTTTTCTTCTTTTTCGTGCCTGCTAGTGGTTCAGTCATTGTCTGCCAACAAATCACCTACCATTCTGCCTGTAGCTGCCCCAGCTCCAGTTGTCTCCAGCTCTGCGCCAACACCTGTTACCAAAGGTACATAGTTTCTCACAGTATATTTGCCTGTAGGTTTTATACAACACTTGAGTGTAATGAGTCCCTTGAATTTCTAGCATCTGTGAATGAGCCACCTCAAAAATGCATACTGTTTATATAGTAGACTTGATTTTGAGGGCAACATAGAAATGTAGTAAGTTTTCTGCCTCCCAAGGACCTAAAATCGTGTTGAAGTAGATAGTAAGCATTGATAAATGCAGGATAAGTGATCTGGAAAGTAAATGCAGGGATATTTCTCTTTTTTTTAAGATTTTATTTATTTTTAGAGAGGAGAAGGATGGGAGATGGAGAAGGAGAGAAACATCAACGTGTGGTTGCCTCTTGCATACCCCCTGACCCCCACCCAGGTGTGTGCCGTGACTGGGAATCAGACTGGCGACCCTTTGGTGCACCCATTGGCGCTCAATCCACTGAGCCGCACCAGCCAGGGAGACGCTGGAATATTTCAGTCTAGGAGGTCTGATCAGAGTTGGTGGGGTGTGGAGGGGGCAGGAGTATGTGTGCAACGTGGACAGTAACCTAGACTTTAAAAGAAGGAAGCATTTTTAGCTATGGAGAGGTCATGGCCATGCCAGATTAAGGCAACAGCAGAACAAGGACCCACAAGACCCAAGCTAACAGTTCTTCTTTTGTCTGCTGGCCCTGTGCTGATAGGTGCCAGTCTCCTGGCTGTGTCCCCACGCCAGCTGTGTGGCAGTTTCCTCACTGGGTTTCCACGGAAGGGCTTTTGTTCTGCCTGCACGTGTCCCTCCATCATTGAACCCTGACAGCTCTCTCATTGTTGCTCTTCCCTTGTAGTGAAAACCGAACCAGAAACACCTGGACCAACCTGTCTCTCGCAGGAGGGTCAGACAGCAGTGAAGACAGAAGAAAGTTCTGAGCTGGGAAACTATGTTATTAAGTAATTATTTTGGCTCTTTCGGAGGGGGTTGTATTTTGGGTGTTTTTCTGAAACTTTTAAAAAGCCATGCCTGTGACAGTTGAGCATTCGCAGTTGTGTGTGTGTCGTGTCGGGTCCTTGGATGGGTGGAGGCCCGTCCGTGTGCAGTGGGCAAGTATTGCCACTTGATGCACAGCGCAGAGTCTTCACTTTACACGTTCATGTGACCGGAGGGAGCACTTGATTTGTTGCTTAGACGCCTCGGGTGGAATTACACGTCTCCCTCCCGCGAGCTTGCCAGCATGTGCTCACTTTGCTCATGATGTAGTTACTCAGGTGTATACACATCTTGTGTCCAAGTACCCATATAACTGCCTAAACAGCTGCCTTTCCATGGGCCGTACACTCTCATTGCTTCTTCTAAAAATACTTCACAAGGTTTTCTAGTTCGTAAACTGGGAGCCCGCCTCAGACCACGTATGTTGCTGTATCTCAGACTGCTGGGGGCTGTAGAAATTCAGCCCATTGCACGTGACAAGTAATAGTGCAACTCATGCAGTAGATTTTCTGCTGCTGTGGCAATCACAGCACAAAAAGATTGGGTTCCTATTTATAAACACAAGTAAAATGTTTATATTTGCATAATTTGCCATTTCTAGGGCCTTGTCTGTTTATTTAATCTTGATGTTTCCTTTGTAAGGCTAGAATGATCTTCTTTTATAAAGAAAGCTATCTGTAGAAGGAAAGACCTGCCAGTATAATTTATTTCCTTAAAAAAGGGGGCAGATACATAAATTTATGTGTATATGTGACCAGAAACTGTTACATGTATTTGGGACCTTAATTTTCTTTCCTTTCATCCTTCTCAGGATCGACCATTTGGAGACCATCCAGCAACTCCTGACAGCGGTGGTGAAGAAGATCCCATTGATCACCACGAAGAGTAAGACAATTAGACTAAATATATGGATGCGTTTTTTTTTAAGCTGTGAACTGCTTGGGATATTGAATCTACTGACTTAGATCACATATGTTGTCAGTTAACATCACCGTGGTAGTTTCCCGACAAGGTGTCAGCTGCCCCTGTAGGTCATTTGCAGAGTTTTAGGATTCCCAGCACCTTGGTCACTCAGTCGGTCTTGAACTGTCTTTAATGCTTCATCTCCGGAAGGAATTTTCTTACATTTTTTGGTATGTAAATCATCACTCTGTTGTGTATGTCATTAAAACTGCATTGGTTTGTAGTACTTATTAGTAAGAAAAGAAATCAGCGTTTGGCCCTGGCTGGTGTAGCTCAGTGGATTGAGTGCGGGCCTGCGAACCAGACAATCGCGGTTCGATTCCCAGTCAGGGCACATACTGGGGTTGCAGGCCAGTTCCCTGCAGGCCAGTTCCCAGCAGGGGACGCATGAAAGGCAACCATACATTGATGTTTCTCTCCCTCTCTCCTTCCCTTCCCCTCTAAAGATAAATAAATAAAATCTTAAAAAAAAAAATTAATGAACTTTATTTAAAAAAGAAATCAACGTTTGCCTCCATGGTGCCAGGCTCCGCAGGCCCAGTGCGTTTGCTGTCTAGTCTCTTGTGGAATAGGCGGTGTCATCTCGGTCTGACAGGTGGGGAAGTCAGGTTTCTGAGTAAAATAAAGTAACTCGCTCATGATCACTAGCTGTGGGTCGTGAGACAGGATGCAAACCCAGTTCGGTCTGGCTCCAAAGCCATTCATCTTTCCTCTGCTACTGACTGTCACTCACTTTGCAGAAGTGCATCACGACCTCCAGCAGTGAAGCCTGCTGTGTCACTGCCCCTGTTAGCTAGACTGAGTAATGGCTTCTCAGCGCAGGTGCCCTGACCGAGCCCCCACCGAGGGGCAGACAGCCTGTGGATCCTTGGGTGTGTGCTCTTGGCAAGATCTCCACAAATGTTCAGAGGGAAGGGGTGAAGCACGTCCTGTTATGTCACAGTTGTGTGAGTGTGACCGTGGTAGGCCCAGTACAGACTGCCTTGCTGATTTTCTTCCAACAGTTACTACTGTTGGAGGTTGTCTTTTTTTTTTTGTTTGGTTAAACTTCGAGGCGCATTTCATAGTTCAAAGTAAACTTTCAGCAACATTTTCCTAGCCCAGGGGGGAAAAACATTCGAAAAATCTTTAAAAAATAAATTTAGGTAAAAGTAGAGTATTAGAGCTGGAAACAGTTCAGAGACCATCTTTCCCAACAGTCTCATTCTGCAGTGAGAAGACCGAGGCCCAGGGAGGTGGATGTGGCCTCCCCAAGGTCACTCAGGCAGAGGCCAGCGCTGGATCGCAGGCCTCCCGGCCCTGGGGGGAGGGCCGTGTGCACTGACTTGAACAGCTTCATGCCAGCAGATGGCCTTTCTCCACCAGAGGGGCCGGTTTCCCAAGGCAGGGCAGTTGTTCTCAGTGCACACAGATGAGATGTGCACTGAGGAAGAGATGTGCTTCTCTTTAAAGAAGCATCTGAACTTGCCCAGTGAGGAACATATTCAATAAAGAAGTCTAAAGAAACTTTTGGACATGCCCCCAACAAATAAGATTTGAGTTCTGTCATAGCTTCATCCAGTTGGCCGGACATGTGCTTCCAGGTGAAGACGCCAGCTGTTTCTCCGCCAAGTCCCTGGAGCAGTACTGCAGCTGGAACATCGGAAAGCGGAGGGCTGCCGAGGTAAGAACCCCTGTCCACCCAGCTGATGCGTGGCCCGCCGCTGAGGGCTGGGCCTGTGGGGGAAAGAGCCAAAGCACACGTGTGTTCTGGCAGCTTCCGTAAACCTCGTCAGGTGGAACACGGATAAAATGGGAAGTGTATTTTGTTAAATATTTGATAGGTCTTTTTCCTTGGTTAAAGAGCTTGTTTTTCAGAGACTTCTTGCTAGCCTTTGAAAATGGTCTACTTGATTTTCTTGCATTGGTAAACATTTTCACAAACTTAAATGAAGGTCAGTATATTAAAATTAAGTCAAATGTTAGATTGAGTATCTGCAGTGTGGCAGCTGCTGTGCCAGACAGTGGGGTGGTGGGGAAAGAGCATGTACACAGGCATGGGAGCTGGGACACGGCCGGCGGGCTGGCTTTGGGGACGGGCGGGAGGTCATAGGTTGGGACCAGGTGGGAGTGATTTGTTAGAACATGTTGCTAAGTTGAAATATTTGATTAAGGCTCAAAAATTCTTTTTAAGTGGCAAAGAGCAATGACGATGAGAAAAGTTTTACAAGAAATACTGGAGAAGAACCCAAGATTTCACCACCTGGCACCCCTTAAAACCAAGCACATTGCTCACTGGTGTCGCTGCCACGGCTACACCCCACCTGACCCTGAGAGCTTGAGGAGCGACGGGGACTCTATCGAGGACGTGCTGACCCAGATCGACAGTGAGCCGGGTGAGCTTCCGGTGGACCTCACCGAGCGTCGCTGGCAACCCAAGGGGCTTGGCATGGCACGCAGTGTCCTCTCCTCAGCCTCGGCGGATCCGGGCCACGCCTGCCCCAGCAGTTTACCTAGGGCTCGATGGGCTCCCGTGGAGCCCAGGCGCCCTTGCTCGCCTCCAACCACGCGTCCCTTCCCATGTGCCTCCCACTGGTAGAGTCCTTGCAGAACTACTTCTGCCCAAAAGTCCCAAGTGCTGTGCTCCAGCCAGGAATGTGCTGGCCCGGGTCATACAGTAGGTGTGCACCGTTTGGTCAGGAGACCCCTCCTCTGCACCGTATCTTCTTGGCAGACTTTGCTAATCCCCCTCCTGCTCTCCAGGTAGGAGTGACTTCTCCTTCCTTGTGACCTTACAGCCCCTCACAGGCACGCCTGTCCAGCCTCACTGAATCTGAGGCACTGCCATCACTCGTTCTCCAAACCTAGCTAGGAGTTCGTGGCCCGGTGTCGGAGGCACAGGCGTGAACAGTGTACAGTGCTGCCGATAAAAGGAGTCATTTCGTGACGACACAGGCAGCTGTGTTACGTGATTGGGGTGGGGGAGCAGGAGATACATGGGGAGAATATTTTGAGTTTCACTTTAAAGAGGAGGAAGGATTGTTTTCTCCTCCAAATCCCATCTCTGTAGAAAAAGAGAAGTCCCTCCTCCTAGTCTAAGGGAGCCTGGCGCATAGGGAGGGCGTGGGGGCCCCTCAGACTTGGCACAAGTCCCGTTTTCTCCGTGCAGCCTTCCTGAGGGCCCCGGTGCTGGGGGCTCCTCCATTCTCTGGTCTCCAGCAGCACCTAGATCAGAACCTGGGAGTTGTCGTGCTTGTGTATCTAAGCTCTTTGGGGAGCAGAGACAAACCGTGTTGATGACTCCCGTGCTCACTGGTGGTAAATGGCAAGCACGATGCTCACGTGCACTGGGCTCTCTCAGTGGGACGGATTCACGCTGAGCACCAGTCAGTACAACAGAAGCAGCCAGGGGCTGGCTGCTCTGCCACCGTCCTGCGGTGCTCCTGAGCCCGCCCTGTAGCTGGTCTGGACCTCACCGGCTTGTCCAGAAAGTGGGAGGGGCACACTGGAAGGTGTCTGGAGCCCCTGCTGGCTTTACAGTTCTAATACTCTTCATTAGATTTTGTATAGATCAACTGTTAAAGACTGGATGCAGGGTATGCGCTAAAATGTTAACAATGCTTATCTCTGAGCAGTGAGAGTATGGGTAATTTTCGTTTTCTTCACTGTGCATTTCTAAATTTTCCAGATTGAAAATATGAAAACAAATCAGTCACTAATCTTTGAGTGGTGGGGAGATGGCCTCGTTTGGGTGGCATCGGTCGGAACTGTGTGCTGTTTTGTCTCAGACTGCAGTTACCGCACACCCGAGACGCCTTCTCTGCCCGTCCACCTCATGAATTAGGGCCTTCAGTCACAGATCCGCGGAATGTCAGAACTGGAAAGGTGGTCCATTCCCTTGATACTAACCCCTGTTCTCTGGGTCTCAGACCGTGTCTCACAAAGATGGAAAGTCCTTTTCTTTTGTCACTACTGCTCTCATAAGACTGGTGACCTCTCATTTAGAGTGCCTGTCATCGTTGTCTTCGGCCGACAACCTCTGCCGGAAGCTGGAGGACCTCCAGCAGTTCCAGAAGAAGGAGCCGGAGAACGAAGAGGAGGTGGATGTCCTCAACCTCTCAGAGCCAGTGCAGACAAACATCAAAAAAGAACAGGAGGAGAAGCAGGAAGAGATGAAACTGTACCTGCCACCAACACCAGGATCGGAATTCATTGGTGACATCACCCAGAAGGTAGGGGCTGTGGCCTGTGGTGCTGCTGGATCATAGGCCAGGGCAAGGAGCTTGGACACACAGCCGCGCAAACTGGCGGCAGACTTTCGGGGGAGTAAATGTATGGTTTGCTTCTGCCTGATAAACTTGGGGTCTGCTGCCCACACCAGGGCCCTTGGGCAAGAAATCAGCTTACATGTGGAAAGGCTGCTTGTTGAACATGGAATTGAAGCAAAGGCAGCTAGATAGTTTTTTCATCTCCTTTCTTCCAGTGTGCCTCAGTAAAAACCCCTTTCACTCATGAGGCATGTCAGTATTTCCAAGTCACACTTCAGAGGGTAAGCTGCCCCTCGCATTCTCACAGCTCCCAGGTGCCCTGTCCGGTGAGGATGTACCTTGAGGTGCAGGGGAGAAGGGGTCGCCCCTTCGAGGGAACTCGGCAGCTGTCCACCAGCTGCCGCCTGCAGGTACTTAGGACCCAGAGTGGAAGGCAGTGTTTGTTTTCACTCACAGGAGGAAACAAAAGATGGGGCGCATTTCAAGTGCGTCTTCGTCACCTTTGCAGACGGGGCCTGGGTCTGATTCCAGGCATCCCAGTGTGCCGATCCCGCTGTCGGAACTCATGGCTAATCCGCCTCATGTTCTCCCACGAAGGGAATTTTCGGGGTAAATGCGGGATTGTAATAACATTTTTAACTGTCACTCAGAAATGCAGAGAAATGGGATACCCAGTTCCAACCGCCCTCTCTTTGGGTGCCTGTTGAGAGAGACGTGGTTTTAATGTAGAAACAGGAACGAGCGCCACCCCTGCTTTTCCAGATTGGGATCGCCCTGCAGCCCGTGGCGCTTCACAAGGACGTGTACGCGTCGGTGGTGGAGGACATGATTTTGAAGGTGGGTGCCTGCCGGCAGCAGAGGGTACGGCCAGGGGCACAGTCTGGGTGCCAGGCTGTCTTGAGTGAGGGACAAGGACAGAAACAGAACAGACATGACAAGTTTTAAGATTTCCCACCTTATTGAGGCTTTAGTTTTCTTTTTTTTTTCCTGATTTTTCAATGAACTATAGAGTGTGGTTCTTCCGAGTGTTAAAACCTCAAAACCTCCAGTTAGAGTCTCCTTGCTGATATCACTCTAATGTTACACTGAGTGTTATTTCAAGTGCTTTTTAAGTCGTCTGAGGTGACAGTTGGTGCTCTCATTGTTCAGGAGGTGACAAGACAGAGCCTGGGGTTTCTCTACCTGTCACAACAGCAACAGAGAAATAGTCACAACCATCCCTTCCCTGGTGTGTCCCCTCCCACAGCAGAGCTGCCTCACAAATGACCTCCCTTGTGTTCCTTAAGGATGTCTGATGAGCATTGCCCCCGTGCTGAAGGTTGCAAGTTTGAACCCCAGTCAGGGCACATACAAGAAGCAACCAATGAATGCATAAATAAGTGGAACAATAAATCAATGTCTGTCTCTCTCAAATCAAAAAATTTTTTGAAAATTAAAAAAAAAATCTGATTAATGAAAATTACTCCCAGTTTCTCAGAGGCATGGCTTCTGTCATTGTGGCATGTTATTCATGGTATGTGACTCGAACCTTTAAATTTTCCTTCAAGATTTTCAGTCCTGAGATACACTTGTTGCCAAGGTGCAGGGGACGGGGTGGGGTCAGATCCATCCCTCCTTGCCTGCAAGCAGATGGCCATCTTCGACAGTGACAGCATGTTCTGTTGTAGGCCACAGAACAGCTGGTGAGCGACGTCCTGAGACAAGCGCTGGCGGTCGGTTACCAGGCGGCGCCCCACAACAGGTACCTCGGTCTCTCTAGTGGGCGATGGCAGGCTCGCAGGTGTTTCCTGACCATGGGGTGCTCAGCAGGTGCTGCTCACTTCAGTCAGTCCAGCAGGAGTCGGAGGCGTCCGAGTGGGGATGTGCTCAGAGCCCACAGGCCGAGGGTCAGCTTGGCTATGACGAGGGAGCGCTCGGTTGTGCTTTACCCAGCGCTTGTGGTGTCCCAGTCACTACCGCACAGGCACCGCTCAGCAGGGCTCTGCTAGGTCACAGGGTCAGACGGATACCAGCTCTTTGCATTAAAGACGATGCTAGTGCCCATTACATGTTCAAAGTTGGGGTCAGGCGTCACAAAGATACCTAAGTTCTTTTCATCACGGAGCTCATAGTCCCTGGTCAACAGCTGGGAGACCTGGCTTGGCGGTGGTCACACCTGGCTCTCCTAGCACATGAAGGATAGAGCCCGGCTTCACACTCGGGTGTCACTGCTGTAAAGCCCACAGGCTTGCCACTGTCTTCGCTGCCTCTGGTTATCAACAGTAAGGACACTGACTTTTGCTTTTTCCTGGACCCTGAAAGAACAGCAGACAGGCAGGCCCATGTCCACATCCCGGCAGTCCTTTCGCAGGGGACAGACATTGTGTCCCACTGTGCATAAAGGCTCCATGCATTCAATGCTGCAGCGGTGCCTGCAGGAGTGAAGAGGACTGCATGTGAGGAATATTGGGTCCGACTTCACAGGGATGTAATGCGTGGAGCAGTGGAAGAGGCCTTTAAGGAAAAGGGACAGTGAGGCTGAGCTTGTTGGTGTGGTCCCACAAACCAAAAGCTCCTTAGTTCAGTTCCTGGTCTGGGCACATTCCTGGGTTGTAGGTCAGGGTGCTTAAAAGAGGCAACTGATGGATGTTTCTCTCTCACATTACTGTTACTCTCCCTTTTCTTCTACGTATCTTCTCCTCTCTCTAAAAATAAATCTTTTTAAAAAGAAAAGAAAAAGGAGGGGGAAGCAGGAGTTCCAGTCATGCTGTTCATTGTTCGGCCTGAAATCAGGAGTGGGCTGAGTGCCTGCTGCCTGCCTCCGTGGCCCCAATTTGGAGATACGGAGGGACTGGGGTGCTTTGTTTTTTGAGTATATTTTATTGCTTATGCTGTTACAGTCCCAATTTTATCCCTTTGCCCTCTCTCTGCCTGGTAACCCCCTTCCCTCCAGCAGTGCCCCCTTTAGTTCGTACATGTAAGTTTTCAGCTTCTCCATTTCCTATGCTATTCTTACCCTCCCCGTCTATTTTCTACCTACCAGTTATGCTCCTTATTCCCTGTCCCTTTTCCCCCAGCCTCCCACTCCCCACTGATAACTCTGCATGCGACCTCCATTTCTGTGATTCTGTTCCTGTACTATTTGCTTAGTTTGTTTGTTTGTTTGTTTGTTTTTTAGGTTCAGTTATTGATAGTTGTGAGTTTGATGTTACTTTACTGTTCATAGTTTTGATCTTTTTCTTAAATAGGGACTTGGGTACTTTTGATGGGAACATTTGACATCACCCTTGGCCTAGCGTGACTTCCTTTCCATCTTCCTGAGAGATGGCAGACGTCCCAGGGTTCTGTGGGTGCTGACGCAGCTTTCAGTCCACTCAGACTGACTTACAGAAATGCTGTTGTTCTGCTGCACTTTACTTCACTTTTTCTCAATCCTCAGCATCTTTTTTCTTAATTATTCAATGAACTTCTTAAAATCCTCTCACACCTCTGACTGGGGAGACAGCTCTGCGTCCTGAGTCAGGCTGACCGAAGAGGGCAGGCTGCAGCTTCACCACATGAAGGATTAATAGGAGGGGGAGGGAGAGCGCGCCTGGCCAATCCTGTCCCCAGGTGGCCCTGAACCACACTGGTCACTCACCGTATCCCCACGTGTCAGGGCCTGTGCAGGAGCTGGTCCTTTAGATGAATTGTTTAACTTATTAGATGTTTGAGAGAATCGTACCTAACAGCCTTTGTTTTTTGGACCAGGATTCCCAAAGAAATTACAGTGAGTAATATCCACCAGGCCATCTGCAACATTCCTTTCCTGGACTTCCTCACAAACAAACACATGGGGTTACTGAATGAAGATCAGTGAGCGGCAGGAAGGTGCCCCTGGAAGAGCAGGACCTGGAGCTGTATCCAGAACTCCAAACCGTGGTCTCTTCTGTGGGAGCCAGGGGCGGTTTTTTGTGCCTCCGAGCGTCCCGGCTGCCTGCCCGTTCATTGCCTCCACCTGACTCAGTGTGTCTACCAGAGTGTCCATTCCGGGGTCAGATGCCTTCGGGACAGAGGCTCCTGACTGCAGAGTGAAGCCACGGGTGCGTGCTCTGTCAGCTTGCATTTGTGCACTCAGTGCAGCGCCACAAGAGGCTCCTGAGCTGGGCTGGGCCATGTGTCTCAGGTTCTTCTCTCCTTGGGGTGTCTTCATGGGGGCACTTTGGGCCCAAGCTTCCTCCTAGGACGCAGAACATGAACCCAGCAGGCTAGAGACTTCACTCATGCCGGGGGCTGGGGTTGCAGGCAGCCCCCGCAGTCGCCCTGGTTACATCTGGAGAAGGACCAGGCTTCAGCCGGGGCAGGTGGCCGCAGTGTGGGAGTCTGCGCTCAGTCTGCATGCATCAATGGCAGAACGAGGTGACGTGGAAGACAAAGGCCTGGGCGGTTGCAGATGGAGCAGAACTCTTTTTGCAGAGCATAGGAGCACTACCACAACCAGTCTCAGAGACGGGGGGGGGGGGGGGTAGACAAGTGCAGGTCGGGGATGGCGGATCCCAGCCCGGAAAGGCCTGACTACAAGCAGGAAGCTTGCTGTGTTCGCAGTAGACGACACCCACAAGCCCTGGGCTCTGCGTGTGCCCGGCAGAGCCGGTCCTTGTGGCTTGTGCGGTCCGTGCTGGGCCACGGGGACTAGCTCCTGTGACAGGCCTGCTGGGTTGTCCTTGGGTCCGTGTCCTGTTCTCACCAAGTTTTTCACAAGAAGGAAGGGGTTTCAAAGAGAACAGCTGTGAGTGCCTTAAAGGTAGAGAGATGACTGCTGAAGCCAAAACACAGGGGTGTCTGCCCAGAGGCCGTGAGAAAAGACTGTGTCCACAATGGGCAGAGAAGCAGGAGAGGAGGAGGAGGAAGGTTAGCCGTCTACCTGGATGGTGTTTGGTTCCATTTAAAGAGACTCTGGCCCGGGCTTCCTAAGAGTCTGTGTGGAAGGAAAGGGATTCTCCTGTCGGGAAGCCGCTCGGAGACCGTGAAGCCTATGAGCAGAGTTAAAGCCAGGCAGCAGTTGGTTTTCACCAGTCCTGCAGACGTTTGTCAGGGAAAGAAGGCGGGGAGTGACAGGATGAGAAGTCACCCTCTCTGTTCAGCATCTGAGGATTTCAGGTGCGGGAGGGAGTCTGTTGGGTGAGGCGAGGACGTGCCCTGGCTTGGTGACGGAGTGGCAGTGGAGGCTCGCGGTCTCTGTGGGGAGGCCGGGGCAGGGCCCAGGGCGGCGGTGGGCGTGGGCGGCGCCGGCTCTGCAGGCCGAGGGTTCATCCAGGTGGAACGGGCGTCCTACAGGGGTGGAGGCCTCAAGAAATTATCTTTTTGCAAAAGAAATATTAAATAATCTCTATTTGTGTGTTTCAACTGTATTTGTATCAATGTGTAACATAATTGTGTAACAAAAATGCCTACAATAAATCTTTTACTATTTGTGATGGGTTTTCTGAGTTTGAAGCACTACATACACTTTGGTGGGGTTCTTCCTACATTAGGTCAGAAAGCCAGGATGGGGTAAAGAGACAGGTACTTACGTGTTGAAGTCTTCCTCTTCTTCCCCAAAAGAGCTTGAGGCTATGCAAGAAAAGGGGAACCAGTTACGTAGAAGTCTGAAAAATTTGGGAAGATGCATGTTGACCTTGGACATCGATTTGTCGGCTTGGGGCAAAGGAAAACTGAACTCAGCTCAGAGCCAAGGGGAAGAGGGAACAGCAGCTCCTGGGTGACAGGCTCACTGGTTTGTCTGGTGGGGTACAGGGACCCACACCTGCATCCTGAAGTTACTCCTGCCACAGTCCCGCTGTGACCGTCTGCCATCATAATGGCTAAAAAGGTTAGCAAAACACCAGAACATTTGTGAGAATGACGGCTTTTCTATATCCACCCTCACGAAGTAACTAAAGACTTCGAAAGTGCCCCCTCCTCGGCAGGAGGCATTGCAAGACGCAGGGGGCACAGCTTTCTTGGCACCAGACTTTGTGTCAACCCGCAGGGAGAGGAATTGCCTGGACAAAGAGTAGGGGCTTAGGCTTCCTCCCTGAATGGTGTCCTGCCGGGTTTTGGCAGGAGCCACAGGCAGCACCTTAACTGGGGCCCCTGGGCCTCCCTCTCACTGCAGGGAGGAGGGGCTGCCTGGGGCCAGCAGGGTCCACTGCTCAACCGTCGCCCCATGTGCCCAGCTTGGGCTGCAGGGCTGCCTGCCAGCGGGGCCAGGCTTTCTCAAAAACTGCCTTCTGAAGTCTGGCCTGCAATCCTGGAGTTATTGTGGGAATGGAAGTGTTGATATTTGTGGTGGGTTTTGTTTGAAGCACCACAGCACAGAGATGAGGCATCTTCTCTGAGTGACTGCAGTGGGAGGACCTGGGGGTCCCCTGGGGCCAGTGGGCAGTGCAGCCTCCCAGGTGACACAGGCAGCTGCTGGCCTTGCTGCCTTGGGGTTCGGGTGGTTAATGGTGAGCTCTTTCAGCTGAAATCAGCTAACAGGTTGAGCTTTTTATTTTTTAAAACTTTTTACAGAATTAAATACAAAAATGCTTACATAGAACATTAGTAAATAAGGTGTAAAATACAGAAAGTTACCCATAAATCCCCATCTTGAGGCTAAACACCACGTGAGGGCTTACTGAGACCTAGCATCAGAGAGGACGTTTCTTCCGAACCCTGATCTTACTTGGTGTGGTAAGAAAGGTTACCAGGTCGGGGCATTTGAAAAGCCATCTGTTCTAGTGCGTCCAGAAAGGTTCTTGGGCGCGCGGTTATGCCAGAATGGAGCAGGCCCACCTCGTCCCCACTGGGACACAGCAGACCATGGACTGGGTGGCAGGAGAATGAATGGGATTCCCAGACAGGCTCCCAGGGAGGGAAGGGCACTGCCAGGTGCAGGGTCCAGTGAGAGGGGCTGTGTGGGCAGCATTGGAGTAGGTGGAGCAAAGCACAAGAGAACAGCTGCTCCGTGGGGAAGGGGGGAGGGTGCCTGGGCAGGAAAGAACTGCTGCCAGCTGTGCCCTGTTGGCCGTTTACTACGCACCCTGCACCTAAACGGGTTTTCTTAGAGGGGTAGGGATATTAGCCTCGTTGTGCAGATAGGAAATGGAAACTTAAATCACTCACAGCGAATGAGCAGAGAAGGCAAGACTGGACTAGCTTCAGACAGTTGTTTTACCCTAGGCTCCTGGGAGTGGGAACACGGGGTGGGGGGGTGACAGGCTGGGTTGGTGGGTTTTGTGAAGGACTGCGAGGAACACCAGTGTGGACTGCAGCCCAAAGCGAGCGTTGCCGAGCGTTGCCGGTCTTGACAAGCCTCCGGGGATACCAGCAGCAGCTGAGGGAATTACAGTCCTTATTACCAAGGGGAGGATGAAGGAAGTCACAGGAGAAAGTGCTTGTTTATAATTAAATGAACAAGAAATTGAAACAGTACTTTTTTGCATGTTGGTAAAATCCGAGATTGTTCAGTTAACGTGTTCACGTCCCACAGAATGCCCAGCAGGCAGTCTCTTAGAAACATCCAATGAGCCGATGAGGTCTGAAAGAATAGAACTCTGTAAGCATAGGGTTGTGGTTCTCCCTTCCCAGTATTCTCAGAGCATCCATTTCCTCTGCTGGAACGAGGGGGAGGGCTGTGCCTGCAGCGCTAGCACCTCCGCGGGTTTGCCCGCTTTGCAGCCTGAGCTGGAAACAGCCCCGCCTGCACTCTGAGGTGGTTCTGAGACCCGCATGCCACCTCTTATGGCTTAAGTATGTGCTCCAGACTGGAGCCACTCGGGCTGGAGAGGGACACATCCAAATGGAAATCCTCGAGTTTTCTTACCAAAATTGGCCTAAGCTGTGCCGCTGATCTTTAAGGAGGGAGATAAACTCCTCCTGAGTGTTTGCAGGGCTGCGATACAAATGGGACCAGGCTCGTTGCCCACGCGGCACTGGTGGCACCTGCGGAGGAAGACGAGAGCTTTCCAAAGGCAGAGTGAGCTGCAGTGAGCTCTCCCGGTCACTGGGGGGCAGGCCGAGTGGGCATGGCGGTCAAGGCTGGTCTTTCGGGCTGAGGCTGATGCGGCAGTCTTCTAAAAACTCCCAATTCTTAGGGTGGGTGGTAGTTCCCTTCAAATTACCAATATAGGAAAAAAACTGGAATTGGTAATAGAATGTGGGGCTCAGAAACCTTGCACAACAGAAGTGGCACTCAGTTCACTACGAGCACTCATCCCAAGAAATGCTAATGCGTCGTTAAGACATAGTCCAGGGACCTTGGCCATAAATTGTGTCTTTGAAATTGAAACCCTATGATTGGTTCCCTCTTCTTTTGGAAATTACTTAACTGATTATTATGAATCACATGCAGGTGATAACCTAAGATTTCTTCTACAACTTGAACGTGTGGGGCCGTTTGTAGAACAGTCACTCCCTTGGGTTACCTCCCGAAGGTGATGACATCATGCAGCTGGGAAAACAAAGCGGACACCACTGGTTCTTCCGAGGACCTGTTGTCATGGCCACATGCCTCAGCCCCTCTGCACCAACTAGTTCAGTTCACAACAGAATTGGTCCTCAAGTTCTCCAGATTTAAAAACTGAAGGGTGTCTTAAAAAGGCAATTTAAAAAGACCAGAAGCCTTCCGCACACTTTCTTCTTCGAGAAGGAAGAGGATGGCTGAGGTCCAGCGTTGAGCCTGGTGGTGCCATGTCCGTCTGTACCTCTGCCCTGCTCAGGCCTGCAGCCTGGTGGCAGCTGGGGTGGGGAGGCGCCAGCAGTGAGAAAGATGGCCCTTCCCCTCTGGCAGCAGCGGACTGTCCGTCGGAGCTCCCGCCCCAGTGTCCTGGCAGGCGGCTCTGACCCCTGGCCCGGCCCAGCGGCAGGCCTCGCTGCTGGGCCGTCTGTCACACGTGCAGGATCGGCCTCGCTGCTGGGCTGTCTGTCACACGTGCAGGATCGGCCTCGCTGCTGGGCTGTCTGTCACACGTGCAGGATCTGGGGAGCCGGAGCCTGGAAAATGGCTGAGGGGTTAGGAGTGAACTTCCTCCTTGCCTCAGGCACCTAGAAGAAAAATGGGACCACATGTCACTGGGCCTCCTCCACTTTGCTCCCCCAGCTCCAGGAAAGTACTTCCCCTTTGTCTTCCAGGAACTGAAACTACTAACCTGAAGGGTCCGTAGGGGACCCTCCACAGTGGGCAGGGTCACTGCATTAGCAGGTCCCACATGGCACACGGACTTTCCATTCTGTTCCCTGAAGCTGCCTTGGGGTGGAATCAGGAAGCTGAATGGTCCCCTGTCCCTCCATCTTCTCTTTTCTCCCACAAATGCCCATCACTGCTGCTCAATGGCCAAGGGAAAGGCTGGGACGGAGGAAGGAAAGAGACCCTGCACACCCTGAGAAGCCAGCACTCAGGGAAGACCTCCTGGCCAGTAACAAAGAAGGCCCTTGTTTGCTGGGGGGATGATTGGGTGCTCAAGACACTACCGCCCCAGCCGTACTGCCACTTTACACCATTAAATCTGACTCCTAGTCTACAACCGGGAAAAAGCCTGTCCCAAGGCGCCCAGCCCCTCGCTCCGCAGCACCAGCTCCTGGCTGACCTGGAAGCTGACCGGGCTGCTGTCCCATCTGGAGCTCTGGGTTGTGATAACCGTGGTGGGGTTTGCCTTCGTGGATCTTGATGGCTTCGCCCCAGTCCAGGCCTGGAATTCCTGTCTGAAGCAGAGAACATGGTCACAGCCCCACACGGGGCCAGCCACCCCACCCCCTGACAGTGCAGGGGCCACTGCCCTTGCCCTGTGCTTCTTGGAATATTCTTGGCTGTGCCCACTGCCGAAATCCTGCTTCAGCTCCAGGTGCTCCTTTTTCTCTTCACAAAAACAGCTAGGAGCCTTGGCCGGTTTGGCTCAGCTGGTTGGAGCATCATCCTGTAAACCAAAAGGCTGGGGGTTTGATTCCCGGTCAGCACACATACCTAGGTTGTAGGTCCGATCCCTGGTTGGGGCGTGTATGGGAGGAGACCAATCAATGTTCCTCTCTCACACCTGTGTCACATGCTTGCACTCTCCTTCCCTCCTGTCTAAAATCAACATACCTATTTAAAAACAAAACAGTGCTGGCTGGTGTGGCCCAGTGGATTGAGTGCTGGCCTGCAAACCAAAATGTCACAGGTTCGATTCCTAGTCAGGGCAAATGCCTGGGTTGCAGGCCAGGATCCCAGCTGGGGGCTCGCAAGAGGCAACTGATCAATGTACCTCTCGCGCATCGATGTTTCTCTCCCTCTCTCCCTTCCCACCTCTCTAAACTAAATAAAATCTTAAAAAAAAAACAACAACTAGCGGAGGAGGTGCACTCCCTTAGGCAGAGCCACTTCTCTGGAGAAAGTTCATCCAGCTGACCAGCCTGGCTCCCCCCTCATGCACTGTGACGTCTGCTCACCGGACCTGCGCCCTCCCCTCCCCCCAGTAAGTAGGGGAAACTGAACTCTCTTGCTGCATATGAGCAACCCGCTCTGGCAGCTGCAGCAGGGAGTCCGGAAGCCCCTGGAGCTCCTTTGCCCCACACTGCAAGCACCTGGTGGGTGCTGGGCCTCAGAGACAAACGTCGGGGCCCTTCCCTCTGGTGCCCCCTATAGTGTCTCCCGCCACTTTCAGGGGGGCTCCGAGGCCGGGAACCAGGGAAGGCCACTCACTTCCCACACGGGTCCCTGGTGGCCCTACGTCCCCGCACCCAGCACAGCAAAGCCGTCCGTACCTGGCTGCCCGTGAGAAGGGAAATAAGGCTCAATTTCATGTTTAGTTTTTAATAATTTGTCTTATTATTGCAGGAACAAGTATAAAGGACACGTGGATAAAAACAAGGGGGCGGAAACAGGAGGGAGGAGGGGAGGGCTGCGGGGGCGGGCTGGGATGGGGTAAAAGGCAGAAAACTACTTAAACGATTAAAATTAAATTAACAAATAAAAGTAATTTTATTAACTGCTCCAAAAGAGAATAAATCAGTGACCATGACAAAACCCTGCAGGGCTCTGCACTTGAGCGTGGGTGCGCAGCAGGGCAAGCTGGCTCCCGGGGGGGGGGGGGGGCAGAGACAGGGCTGAGCGCTTCGCTCCATGTCCTCGGAGTAGAGCACTGAAGACTTGACTTCTCAGTTCCTCTGAACGAAAAAGACCTATTTTAATCATATCAACTCCACGACTGGCTGGTGAGCGCAGGAAGGCAGAGACCTGCTGTGTCCACCAGAGCACCTGGTCGAGGCCACGTTCTGTGGAAGAGTGTCCACCTGGCTGGAGCGGCACCCACACGTGGGCTGGATCTGCTCCCTTCTCATCCCACCCACAGCTCTGGCTGGCTGTCGGGGCCCGAGGTCAACAAAGCTGCCTTTTCTCCACGGCAGGGGCACAGCTGGCCCACGGGGCAGGCTGTGTGAGCAGGGGCCGCTGTCTGGTGCCAGGAGGCGAGCTGGGCCGGGGCCCGGGCCCCAGGAGGTCATTTCTGCTCCTGAGGCTGCAAGTTCCGAAGACCAGATGCCTGAGCCATCTGCTGCTCCGTTTCTCCTGGGGAAGCAGGTCCTCCCTGGGTGTGCCCTTCTGTCCCCAGACTGAGCTGGGCCTCGGGCTTGGCATCCCAAGCTGCTGTGGGCGTCCCAGAGTGGGAAGCGACCAGGGCTAGGGGCTGGAGCCCCAGTGAGAGGGGCTGTAGCAGGGACGTAGAAGGCACCAAAGACAGAATCAGCAGCACCTGTGGACTGCTCCGGAGAGAGGAAGGCAGACTAATGGCTCTGGTCCAGAAGGTAAAGGCCTGACCAGTGTAGCTTGGATGGGCTTCCTGTCATTTGTCGGACTGATTCTCACGGCACACACCTGGGTAGCGGGCCGGTCCCCAGTTGTGGGTGTGGAAGAGGCAGCCAGTCGATGTTTCTCTCACACACTGATGTTTCTCTCGCTCTCCTTCTCCCTCCCTTACCCCCCAAGAATAAATAAATATTCTAAATCTTAAAAAAAAAGATAATAAAAATGTAGGACTGCCCTGGCTGGTGTGGCTCAGTGGATTGAGTGCCAGCCTCTGCACCGAAGGGTCGCCAGTTCAGTTCTGAGTCGGGGCACGTCCTGGGTTGGGGGCGGGGGAGAGGCAGCCGGTCGCTCTTCGATGTCTCTCTCCCTCCCTCCCCCTTTTCCTAAAGGTAAATTAAAAACAACAACAATAACTAGGACTAGCCCAGGCCACTGGGCCCCCTAACCAGATTCTACCGCTGCCCGCCTCACGCAGGTCTCAGGAGGACCCCGAGGGCTGCCACCCCTCTCACTGAGGGCAGCGGGCCACCCAGAGCCGCTCAGAGAGCCCTGGGCTGAGGATCCAGAGGCCTCTCGACATGGCTCCAAACAAACCGCTTAACCTCTCAGAGCTTCGTCCCCTCGGCTGGAAAGCAGGGCTACTGGTCATGTCACCAAGTGTGAGCCTTCATGGTGGGCGCTGGGGGACCTGGGAGGCTCGTGGCGCCCCCCAGTCGGCCCTCCGGCCACTCCCTCGGGAAGAGAACAGGGAGATGACTGAGGAAGGAGCTCGTCTAAGAGCGGGTGGTGCTAGACCTGGGCCCAAGGTGCTCACCAGCAGGCACAGAATTCTGGGGCGGGATCTGAGAAGGGCCACTCCGGAGGCGGCGGCAGCGGGCTGGCTGCAGGCAGGACCCCGTGTGCCCGTGTGGCCCGGCAAGGGAGGCAGTCGGTTCTCACGTGGAGACCAGGGGCCGGGCCGGGCAGGACCTGCGGCCGCAGTGGCCACGGGGGAACAGCTCGCGTAGGTCAGGTGCAGCTTGCGAGAAGGCAGGCAGGAGAGATGGCGCAGGCCAGGCTAGAGCTGGGACAGAGGCCAACTGGCCTCGTGCGGGGCGAGCAAGCGTGGCAGTGGTGCTGTGTCTCCAGGGGTTCAGGGACCAGAATTGCTCTTGCAATTTCTGCTTCACGGGTGAGAAAAGGGGCAGAGAGGCCCAGTGTCCCACCAGGTTTATAAAGCAGAAAGTGGGGCCACCACTGAAGGACACTGTTCAAGAAACCAAGTGACTTAGGGGAGGCGGCGTCTTAGGGGATAACCTGTGGGGGCTGCAGATTTGGTCTCTGGGCCATGACCGGCGTGGCTCAGTGGGTTGGGCATCGTCCTGCAAATGGAGGGGTTGCTGGTTCGATTCCTGGTCAGGACACATGCCCACAGTGGCATGCCAGGTCCCTGGCTGGGGGCGTGCCACAGGCAACTGATTGATGTCCCTCTCTCACACTGATGTTTCCTTCTTTTTCCTCCCCACTCTCTCTAAAAATAAATAAATAATATATTTTTTAAAAAACTGATCAAGGCGAGACACATGGGGTTCCACTGCCTGCTCTGCGGGAGCACGTGCCGGCCGCTCAAGGCCCCCGTCTGTGAGATGGGGCCAGCAAGAACTCAGCCGATCGCAGAGGGCCACCGTGGGGTCCAGGAGAGACGGTCTGTGGGGGGTCCTGAGCCTGGTGCCCAGTACAGGTTAGGAGGAGCAGTCATCAGTGCCTCTACTGTCGCTGGAGCTGGTAGGACCAGCAGGACATTCAGACCCGCCGTCTGCTCGCCAGGCCAGGGGCCGCTTCTCAAGCCCAGCCGTTGCTCGAACATCCCAGCGAGGGGCGCTTAGCACCACGGGAGCCAGCGGCCCCATCATCAGTTCTCATTATTAGAACTCGCTTTCCTCCCTGAGCTGAAGCTGCTCCCTGAGTGCACCCCCTCCTTGTTCTGCTCCTGGCACCCAGAACATCAGCCACGGGAAGGCGCTGCACACCTGGGACCTTGGCCTTCCGGGCCTGACCTCCCGTGCAGGCCCTGTCAGCCCGCTCGGGGCGACCTGGTGCAGCGGCTGGAACCCACCCCTCCTGCCCTGCTCCCTCCTCCCCCACAAGTTAAGAGCATGTGCCCTGAACACACACCCACACTGCAACGACCAGTTCCTACCAAGTCCTTTTTTTAAAGATTTTATTTATTTTTAAGAGAGGTGAAGAGAGGGAGAACGAGAGAGAGAGAAACATTGATGTGTGAGAGAAACATCAACTGGTTGCCTCTCGCTAGCCCCCAGCTTGGGACCCAGCCCACACCCCGGGCATGTGCCCTGACAGGGAATCACGTAGGCGATTTTTCCATTTGCAGGCTGATGCTCAGTCCTCCGAGCCACATGAGCCAGGGCCCTATCAAGTTCTTAAAAACTGCGGGCCCAGGAAGGTGCCTCTGGGGAGACAGAATGTTCTACATGCCCTGACAATGGTGGTGGTCCTCAGGCTTATGCAAAAGCCACCCAGCTGTACACTTAGAGTGGATGGACTTTACAGTCTGGAAATTGTACCTCAGCACAGTTGATTCAACACTAAAACTGAGACAGCATGGATGGAACTGGAGAGCACTGTGCTAAGTGAAATAAGCCAGGCAGTGAGGGACAAATACCATATGATCTCACCTGTAAGTGGAACCTAATCAACAAAACAAGCAAACAATACATAACCAGAGGCATTGAAATTGAGAACAATCTGACAGTAACCAGAGGGGAGGTGGGAGGGGATAATAGGGGAGGAAGTGGGGGAAGGGTTTTCAGGAACATGTACAAAGGACAGGTGGACAAAACCCAGGCGGGTGTGGAAGCAGGGGAGGGGGGTGGGGATGGCTCTGGTGGGGGGTAAATGCAGACAACTGTACTTGAACAACAATAAAACAATAAAAAATAATAATAATTAATTAATTTAAAAAAACTAAAACTGAGGTGGAAAGTTCACATCTCTTTACCCTTCAATTCCACAGGTAGGAATTTATGCTAAACTTGGCAGGCCCTGGCTGGTGCAGCTCAGTGGATTGAGCGGCCTGTGAACCAAACAACCGTGGTTCGATTCCCAGTCAGGGCACATGCCTGGGTTGCAGGCCAGTTCTCAGCAAGGGACACACGAGAGGCAACCATACATTGATATTTCTCTCCCTCTCTCCTTCCCTTCCCCTCTAAAGATAAATAAATGAAATCTTTAAAAAAAGAAATTATGATAGGAGCAAAGATTTAGCTATAAGGATGCTTATCACAGAAGTAATTTTCTTCTAAAAAATTGTTTACTTTTAAAAGGTAACACCGGTACATTCTTTGTTAAGGTAATGGTCCAAGAGAGAGAGCAGAGAGAAAAGTCACTCGGGCTCTTTCCTCCCTGGACAGGATCCGCCCTCCTTGCCCTCCGTGCCCTCCGCCTCTCTCTGGTCACCATTCATGCAGGGACACCCTGTGCTGATCTGAGTAGATAGGTGTATGTCAACATCCCTCTGAAAAGGCAAAGAGTAGCAGGCATGGTATTTTGCATGTTGCTGGTTTGATGTGGGCCTATTTTTTTTAAATTTTTATTTATTGGTTTTAGAGAGAGAGGGAAGCATCAATCTGTTGTTCCACTCAGTCATGCATTCATTGGTTGATTCTTGTATGAGCCCCAAGAGGACTGAGCCTGCAACCGTGGGTATGGGGACAAGGCCCTGAGCAGCTGAGCTCCCCAGCCAGGGCTTGATGAGGACCTACTGGTCCACAGAAGCCAGGCCTTCTGTTATCGGTGCATCCTGGGCTTCCCAGTGGCCCAACCTACGGCGCAGCCATAATTAACCAGTCCCCTTGGTCAGCAAGACGGTGGGGTTGTTTCCACCTTTTGCTGTACAATGTTGCGACAGACCTTACATTCCTTAGCCCCACCCCACATAGGGAAAATTCCTGGAAGTGAAGTAACTGGACCAAAGGACTAGCGTTTGTAATAGCCCCAGATTAGAATATTCAATAGCATGACAGTAGATTAACATGTTTAGATAGAGAGACATTTCTATAGGATAAAATACTCCACATCTATGAAAACTCGCGTTGTGGAAAACCGTCTAGAAGCATGGACAGACACCCACAGCATATACAGCCGGAAACTAACCCTGTAACGATTATAAATGAACATGCACTCAAATGCATGTTAGGATCCCTCAGGGGTGTCCAAACGTTGGTGTCTCTGCGCCACACCGGAAGAAGCAAAGTTGTCTTGGGGCCACACATTAAATACACTGTGGCGTGTAATCACACACACACACAAAAACCTCACAAATTTACAGTGTTGTGTTGGGCTGTGTTCACAGCCATCCTGAGCAGCGCACAGCCCGTAGGCCACAGGTTCGACACCCCTGGTAGAAGGACCTACCAGATTGGGGCGGGCTCATTTCTGTAATTTCCATTTTTTCTACAGTGAGTATGTCTTCGTTTTGTAATGAAAAAAGGGAGAAAGCCCTCAGGTGTCCAGGGGCCGAGCTGGAAGGCCCTGTGCGTGGGGCGGACCCTCAGACCTGTCCTCGGTGCAAACCAGGTCAGCGGCCCTCGGTGAGGTCCCCGAAGGACCACCAAGGGAGCGCAGGCGGTCCACCTGTGCGCACCGCTCCCAGGGCTGGGCCCACCTGGTGGAAGTTAAGGGGAAGCAGATTTCAACTCAATCGAAGACATGGCTTTCTGACCCGGTGCAGCCCAAGGAGGGAGTGGGCTGGGAGTGAGGTCGTGAGCACCCCGTTAACGGAGGTGCTCGCTCATTCTCTCCGAGGCTGGTCAGGGAGTAGCCAAGGAGATGCCTGCCGCGCCCACGGACTGAAGGAACGACCTTAGAGGCTGCCCGCCGCCCTCGAAGTCGTGTGGGATGAGGGCTCCGGGCGCCCCCTCGCACCCATCCATCCGTCCTCACGGCTCCGGGCCCCCATACCTGTACGACGTGGTCGCTGCTGCAGCCGCGTCCGCATCGCCGGTGGGGAGCACGTAGACCCCCCGGACAGGCGAGGCGGGGGACTTGCTCCTGCGGCCGCCCGCCCCTGGCCTGCGCCCCTGGGTCGCATCTCTGGTCCTCGCGGGCGCGGGCCACACGCCGAAGTCCCGCTGGTACTGAGTAAGCGGCACGTCCCGGCCCGGGTCCCGGATGCCTGCGGGGGACGCGCCCGTACGCGAGGCAGCACCGCCCCGACGCGGCTCCTCGCTCTCCAGATCCGAGTAGTTGTGCAGGGTCAGAGGCACCGCCACGTCTGAGCGGTCGAGCTGGTTCCAGCGCCGCGCCAGGCAGCAGAGGCGGCTGATGCAGGGCCACGCCATGCCGGCCCCGGCCCGCCGCTCGGCTCCCGGCTCCGGCCGCGCCGCCACTGCCTGGCATCCCCGCCCCCGCGGCCCCCCAGCGCCGTCGTAGCGCCGCCCCTTGGCCGGGGGTGGCCGGGGGGGAGGGGAGGGCTCGGCGACGGCCGGGGTGGGAGGTTGGGACCGGGTGTGCACCGCTGGAGCAGGGCGAGGGCCAGGGACAAGCGCGCCACCGGAAGGGCGCAGAAGCGGGGATGGGAGAGACGAAACGGCCTGCAGGCGTTGACAAGGGTCCAACTTTTATATGTTTCATAATTTAATCCAACGTTTTCTTATAAATCAGGCCTGGCTACGCAGAGGGCGAGGGTCGGAGGGTGAGATGCTGGGGATCAACCTCAGTCAGCTCTCGGGACAGCCTGCCCCCGCCTCCGCCTCTGCGCGGGCGTTTTTCTTGGGGGACCATCTGTGGCTGCCGTATTTGTGCCAAGCTGCACCGCGGTGACTCGCAGTCACGCAGGGCAGCTGCAGCGATGAGGGGGTCACAGGGAAAACCTGGGGCCAGGCTTCCCAGAGAACACAAGTTTGAATCAGCTGTGAGTCACCCAATTATTTGCCTTTGCAATGCTAATTTGTGAGTCAATCGGTTTCCACTGAGAACTGGCATTAGCCCTCAACCGACCTTTCCCGGGTTCTAATTTTAAAGCATGGTAGGTTTTATTTAGTTCATAAAACTGCCACAAATTTTTGACCGCTAGTGATGCTACAAACGTTCCCCTCCCGCCTGGACCTACATTCTTGTTTTATTGCAAAGCTAAATTTGGGTAACTCTCCAGGCTAAGGGGTCAGTCTACTGCATGTGAGTATCAGAAGGTTCCTGAATACTTGACACATGGCCTCTGTGCACACCGCAGACCAATTACACTGATAATGCTAATGAAACAGCACTCGTTATCCAGAGCTCCATTTCAAGCACATCGTTGGACGGTATCCGATGTGTTGCACCTCAGAGGGGACTGCAGTACAGCCCCTGCGGTCACAACGCCGGCTCCTCTTCCAAACCTCTGCCTGTCTGAGCCTGAAGTCACAGCAAAGTGACACAATGACTGCCCTGGCAAGAGCATGCTGTGAAGACAGTGGGAGATACAACGGCAATCCTGCTGCCTTCGTGTGACCTCGTGCCAGGCCCTGAAGTTAACCACCTAGATTTGGTGACTGAAATATTCAGTTGTGCAGAAGGGAAAAAAACCAACCACCAAGAAAAGCAGCTCCTCTTGTGTTTACTCATTCATCAGACAACAAAGGGCACTTACGAGTGCCTGGAGCCTTCGGGAAGTTCACAGTGTAGCAGGGCAGCAGACAGGAAAACCGATGTAGTAGAACTGGATAAAGACAGCCAGGAAGAGTGAAAGACCCTGCTGGGTGCCAGGACTCGCCCTGTGTGGGGCAAGGGAGGGTAATTGGCCTGTGGGAATGCAGGGTCCCAAGGAATAAGGCTTCAGGCAGAGGCAGCAGGGGCCAGACAACAGAGGGCCCAGGGAGCCTTAAAAGTTTTTCACAGGCGACAGTCGGGAATGACTTAAGTGTTTAGCACTGTGCGGCTATATGGAAACGTACAAGGATACTTTACAGACCAGCTGGAGCAGCGTGTCTCCACAGTCTGGGTTAGAGACGAGGCCCTGGACTACGGTGAGGCCCTGGCACCCAGGTGAGTGGAGAGAAGGGGCCGCACTCCAGAAGTAAGAGCTGAGAGGAAAATCTAGAATGGCTTACAGGTTTCCAGTTCCGATGGTGGTATCGCGCTCCTTGAGTCAGCAGTTACATTTGAGGTGCCCGCACAGTGGGGCCCAGCACCTGGAACACACCTACTGAGTCAGCGTTCTGAGATGCTCACTCAGGGAGTTCAGAGCTCAGGACACGGGCTCATGATGACTGCAGCCGCAGTCAGCAGGGAAGGGACAGCGGCAAAGGGGGCACTCCTGGGGGTGCCGCACTGAAGAGGCCGGATCAGAGGAGGCAGCGCAGCCCGAAAGGCACTCTATCCAGGCAGAACACCTCCCTGGGGTGATCAAGTGTCAGCAGAGAAGCCAATATGAGAAAGTAAAATATCCTAGGGGGCAAACAGGAGAGTAGGGCAATTGCCAAACCTGTGGACGGTAAGGCTTATGCTTCCAGAGCCGGGTGCTGCCCTCCAAGGCCTCTCCCGGGGAAGATGTGGGTACTTGGCTGGTCCCTGGCTCCAGCACGGAGGGACGTGACAGAGACAGAAGCGCTGCAGGGACTGGATTTTCTAAGGCTCCTCCCGAGCACCACAGAGCAGGGAGAAGAGACAGGTCTTCAGTTTCCCTGGTCTGCCCCTGGCAAGCCATGTGTTTCATTCTGGGCTCCCCGTGACACGTCCCTGTGATCTCAGCCTCCCATCCTATCTCTGAAAGCACTTCCTGCCTCATCCAGATGTCACAGTTTGCTGGCATCACACTCCAAAACATCAGACAGAGCACAGCGGTGTGACTCTGGGCAGTTCCCACACGACTGCCCTGGTTCCTTTCAGGCAAAATGGGGACTGGATTAAAAAAATTCTCTCCTGGGAGTGACATTGGTAGTTCACAGTAGAGTGAAAAAGACCTGAAAAAATTAGCCAAACCCTGGACAATCACATGGGAAAAAGATGTGAAGCAATGCCAAATCCCCGAGCCCTGGGGACAGGCTGCCGCTCAGCTGCCCGCACCGTGCGAGGTGGGCACGACTGCCACCGCCTCACAACGCCCAGCGCTCCGTGCCCTGCACCTCACAAGCCAGGGCCTCGACTCCTCTCCAGCACGAGGTGACGGAGTGGTACGGCCTTCGGTGGCACTAAAACACTAAAATCTCCCTTGTAAATCCGCTTAAGAAAAACTTACGTTCTCAAATTGCGTTTCCTAGAAATACTTTGCAATCACGAGGGCAAGTTATTCCCACGAAAGTGAGGCGACTATGGGGGCCGGTGTCTGCCGCGTCGGTAAGATGTTTCAGCTCAAAGAACGTTCGTTTTCAAGTGAATGTTCGAGTGAGACGCAGTTAGACTCGGATTCATCCGAGTTTATCCGAGATACTTCCTGTAGTCTTAATTAAGCTACAATTTTAACCTAGAAAGCAAAAACCTAAAAAACTTTTTTTATGTCACTTGTTGCCAGGAAACATTACCTTTCTTGAGAACATTTAGAAAATACCGCAGCTGTTGTTTCAGACCATGTCAGAGAGAAGACACTCTTAACTTCTGTCAGTCAACCCAGCAAAGGAGTGGCAGGTAAAAGTGAGTGCTCAGCAGAAGTTCGAGGAGGCCAATGTGCAGAAACCTGGGAGCCATTCCAGGTTCCCCTCCAAGCTTCCATCATGTCTGTCCCTGCGCCCCTGCCGGGCTCACGGCTCCAGCCACGTCACATGTAACGAGATTCCAGGGCGGCATCAGTGTTCTTCAAAAAGACACACGCCATCTGTTTACAAACTAGAGATACAAACCTTTATTTTGCAACTGTCATAGTTCACTTTCTAATAAGACATGTACTGAGGACACAGTTTAAAATACTGGGAAAGCTGCACATGCCGGGCCTTCCCGGCAGGGGCAGAGACGAGGGCACTCCGGAGCTGATGGGTTCCTGGGGCTTCTGGGCCATGGGCTGGGGGCGTCAGTATCATCCAACCGCAGTTTTACTTTGAGCCGCCTCCTTTTTTGGGGCTGTTAGTCCTCATTTCATGCCAAATTTTCACTAGAGGCTCCCTGTTCTTCCATATGAGTTCATGACCATAAGTAATATACCATCTGGGAAAAGAAAAACAAAGCAGGCCCGACATTCAAATAGTGTGACATACGAATGGTAAGTACAATGATATCAAATTGACATTTAAAAATTAATGCCAATTAATGTTTAGGTCATTTACTACCTGGCTTATTAAAATAGCTGATTGATTGATTTGCTATAAATCTATGCATTACCTTTAATATAGAGAGTATGGAAAGGGTCTAGGCAGGGCAAGACCACTTGTGACTGATCTGCACAGTCTAAGCACTTCCTTCACGCACACACTGCTGGGTTCACCACAGCCCCGCAAGTCAAGCCCCTTCTCTTACAGACACGAGGGAACCACGTCTGAGAGAAGGTAATCTGCCCAAGATGCTAATAGCAGGTCAGACTGAGTCTCAACCTGGTAAGAAAAGGCACAAGTAAGAGTTTACTAATGATGGCTAGTTTAAATGCTTTTCATCATTTTCCTCCTGGCTACACAAAGGGTCATCTGCTGATCCAAAGTCTGCCCACCTTTTAAATTACAGTTCCAATCCCCACTCTCCTGTTAAAAAATGCCTAAAAGGAGCCTGAAGCAATGAACTGAGGAAGTGGAAGTGCGGAGAGTTTTAGTCTTAATTTGCTCACGCTGCACAGCTAGGAATCACCAGAACACAAACGTGACTCTGAGCCTGTGCTCTAACCGCTGTGCGGCACAAGGGAGCACCTGCTGTAAGCTGAAGAGCACAGAGTGAGTGACAGATGAGAAAGACCTGCTTTTGAGAAGTTGAGCAGTCTAGGTTCTGCAAGACCAGGCACTCTACCAAAAGGCAGCACAGGCTGCATGAGCCTCTTGTCCTGGGGGAGAAGCTTGGAGGGCTTCCTGGAGGAGGTGGGGTTGACCTGAAATGGCTGTCCTGAAACCTTTATTTCTGCCCTGGTATCCCCAGATTTCTTGTCCCGAGGCAAAGACCACGCTTTGTTCATCTTTGCATCTCTCAGACACCTGACTGGAAAATGCTCCTTTTGCTTTAGATTGGTACCAAAGTAGCAGTTTAAGGTTTTACTGCTTTTAAATGTCATGAGCATTTTTTTCATTATAAGGTGACTGAATTGTACCTAAATCTTAATATGCACTCAAAATAAAATCTGATCATAAAAATAATCACCATTAAAATTTCAAAAGGTTAAGAAAATCAGTAAAGTTACAGAAAAAGATATTTAAAAAACATGCAAATTAATAGGCATATAACAGATTTCTTTTGGACTTAGAATCAAATT